GATGATCTAATATCCGATTCTATGTGAAGTATTGTGAAGTTGTAAAGACAATCATCTGTCATCCTAAAGCTTCATAAGCAGCCAACATTTTATTCACAAACTTTTTATGGTCCAAAAATACAGAAGAATATATAATTACTAGTTACCTTTAAACGTTTGACTTTTACGTTTTTATCATCAGTTTAGCTGTGCTTTATTATTTTCTGATTCACCAAATGTCAACTTTCTTTATTTTTTTTTTGATGTGTCCTTATGTTCTTTAATTCCGCATTTGTCAACACATAAATGTATCATTTCGATTATCAAGGAGCGACCGATGTAATAACCGAATCAATAGGTAGAAAATAATATTTTATTATACACGATTACAAAAAAAAAAAACTATAGTGGTTATTATTATTAGGGTTTGGCTTTATGCTTTTACCTGTTTTATGATATAATGAATGATGTTATGAAAAAATGTTTACAAATGATATAAGTAGTTTAGATTGAAAACACTAGAAGAAGAAGTTAACGTTTAGGCTCGAGGAATGAAGAATAGCACCTAAAGGAAAATTCAGAGGTGAAAGTTATGGTTGATGGGACAAGACAAGTAATAACAAGGAATAAGCGTAAAAGGAAAGAGGAGACAAGGAAGACTAAAAAAGAGAAGGTTTAATATGATTGAGAATGACATGAGGGCGGCCGGTGCACACGACAACAATGTGGGAGATCGGATTAAATAGATATTTAGGACGTGGGTGGTCGAACTTAAATCGTTGGAATGCAGTTGAAGGAAAAGAAGAAAAAGAAGAAGATATTTCGTTAAAACAAACTGTTTTTTTTTATAAAATTACGAAAATATAAAGAAAGGTTCAAGTTTCTTGAATGACGAATACCGGTGGATGATAATTATAGATAAAAATGTTGCTGTCCCCAAAAATCTTAAAAATTTGCTGCTCGAGACGATGTTACGAAAGTACCTACTCCCATCTGTGTTAGTGATGAATCGGAAAATAGATACGCGTAAAATATGGTGATTAATTATTAATTAAGTAGACGTCAAATTATTGTATTGATTACGGTGGATTTATATTAAAAAATTTTAACTAAACACGTTTAGTATTTATTTTAGAATATATTTTGAACTTTGAGATGGGTAACTATACTTACTTGTCTTTTTCGATTTTCATCAAGTCAATATAGCCAATATATCAATATAGTTTTCCAGTTCCCATGTCTGGTTATTGTGAAATGACTTTCTTATATGTGCGTTATTTAAACATCAATTAAAATCATTAGTCCTCCGTCAACTTGTTAAATTCATACATATCTATTAATTAATTACTTTTCGTTGTAAATTATATTATATTGTATAATTGTATAGTCAATAATCATTAAAAATTCATTAATTTTCGTATATAACGATGATGACATAGCAGCAGTGACAACTATATTTAATTTTAGAATAGAAGGGCCGATGCGCGCCGTTAAAATGTCTCGCTAAACTATCCACTTTATAGTTTAGAAAACGCATTTAGAGACCAGATTTTAAAATTTCGTTTCTACAATATGTTCCTACTGATATACATATGCTACAAATCCGGCCTCTATTAGCTGTAACAAATTGTTCTTGTTAATTTGTTTATAGCAGTAATATAGGACAATTTTTAATGAATATCTACTGCGTGTCCACACCTCTTCCTTTAATAAACCTCCACTAGCAAATGTATCAAACCTTTCTCTTAACTTTTGGATTTTCTCAAATGACCCCTCTCCCACCAGTGGGAGTATTGCTTAAAAGTTACATAAAATACAGATTTTGTTACAAATTCTACAAATTCAATTATTAACTGTTCAATTTTTTACCTGGACATACAGTAAGCAAAACCAAAATATCTGGCTGTCAAAAAGATTTTTAATCTTAATTCAAACACAGAAAACCTCCTTCGAAAATTCCCTGTACCTATTGGAAATATGCCAACATTATGATATTCATAACACCACGGAGTTCTGCGATTCCATTATACCTGTACATACTTAGTAAAAATGTATCATTATTTTGGTTAATATATAAAACAGATGATTCAATTATTTTTTTTATAATTAACCGATGGCCAATGTGTTAGTGGTACAACCAACATTGTAATAATGGTTACTGTTCAAAACCTTGACGCTTAAATCTCCGTTACGTTAAACTGGCAGTTATTGGTTAAAACTTAAGGGACATTGTTACAATAACGACTCTTATGTATACACAATACAAATGGAAGATAACTATAGTATATCTATACTAGTAAATCATTAATAGATAAAAAATTTAATTGGTAATAATATTATGTACCTACGCCGATGGTTTCAAACATTATTACCGATTTTACTGCAGTATAACTTTTCTTTTTTAATTTTTCTTGATGTTGCCGTTATATTATAGATTTAATCTGTAATCATTTTTAATGTGTCTTTAAATTTTTGCATGAAACTTGCCTTTTTTATGATCATAAATCATGTCCTTGTACAGAATACTAAATTATTTATAAAATAATAAATAGTAATGATAATTATTATTATACTTACAACCTATCATTAAAGTCTCTGGAAAATAACAACATTTCTCATTCATATTTTACGTTAGGAGTATTTTTAAATTTTTTTTTTTATTTTTTTTATTATTATAAAAATACACTAGTTTAAAAAAGAAAAAAACAGCCATCCAAATATTGTAATAATCTATTGTTTATGAACATTTTTAATACCTATTTTATGTGCATAATAATGTTTTAATTTAACTAATAGAATTTATACGGGTTTGAGTACAAATTTTAAATAAATTGATTTTTTACAATAACCCGAAACGAATTATATCACTCATAGCGAGACACTTTTCCCAATCTGTTTTTCCCAAAAGTTTTTTTCCCCAATTCCTATTTTCCCAAAAGTTTTTTGTTCTAATGCTTTTTTTTTTCAATACCTTTCTTAACAAAATTGTTTTTTCTCCCAATGACATTTTTCCCAAGATTTCTGGAAAAAGTTCAAATATTTCAGACATTCAAAACATATTTTAAGTATAAATAATTGTTCTCAATTAAGAAAATATTGTTGTATCAATAAATCACGTGGTAAGAATAATCAGATTTATTACAATTTTATACTATGACCAATTGTGTGACCTAAAGATCAAAGGTATTCAATCAAATCATTGTTGTCAATAAATTCCTTATATTTGGAAACAATATTTAACTTTATTGCTTCTAACTTCTTGTATAACGACACTTCCTTATTTTTATCCCAGATCCAGCTGCCATAACATGCACTTAGTGTCAGCTTATTTTTTTAATGTTTTGTTAAAAATGTGTAAACGATGGAATGGTATCGACTCCTAACTAATATTGGAAATGAATATGCCATTCTTCTAAAAAATTAAAAGAGGCCTTTTTTATTAACTAATATAATAAATTTAATTAACTGGGAAAAGTCAAAAGTGTACTACAACCCATACCACAACATTATAGTTAGAGATGAGTGACACCAAACATTTAAAATTCGATACTCGATACTCGATACTAGTTTTATTTCGATATCCAATACCCGTTTCTTGATACCTTTGATTAAAAATAAAATCAAAATAAAAATTGATTATCATGTTATCGTTTATCGTTTTTACATCATAAAATATAGAACTCAATACCAAAATTACCTAAAATTAGATATTTGATACTGTCTTTACATATCGAAGATATCCATAGGTATAGAGGTATCAAATCGCCCGTCCCAAATTATAATTATGTAATTCAAATATATTAAACATTATGTTATACAGAGTGTCCCACGCAGATATAGCCATTTTAATATCTCCGGATATTATAAAGATAATTTTTTTTTTTACATATATATTACTCTCAGGGATAAAAAATACACATTTGAATTTCAAATAATTGTTGATGTTTTCATTCTTTTCAAACAATTTTGGCGTATCAACTTTTAATTTTTATTATATTCGTGATTTTTTTTTTTTTTAAGTGTACAGTCAATAAGCCATAATAATTATAATCAACTAGCAAATGCGATTAATTGTATCCGTTTTTTAACGTTTAATTTGCTTGTATAGAAAATTATACAAAATTGACTTGAGCCCATTTTTCCGTTGGATCATTGATCCAGTAGGAGGAGGAAGGCGGAGATTTATCCCCGAGCGTACAATTTTCAGGGATTTTCTGGACGTATTTTACGTATTTATTTTATGTATATTCACTAACAGATACTTCTATAATTTAATTCGTCAGTATTTTAAGGGCCTAAGGTATAGATGGTGATCTATAAATACAGTAAAGTGAACTTCAACATTTATTAAGCTGAAGTTAATAAAAAGCACCAATAATTACGTTCTACCATATTTGATTAATTGATAAATTGAAAAAAAAAACACAGTACAAACAACCCATTTTGATGGTTTTGAAGATTTCTTAGCTATCAAATCAAAAAAGTTAAATTTTAATAATTCAAAAATCATTTTTTTTTTTTTTTAAATGTATTCACATATTTTGTATTTTCTGTACTCTTAGAAGTCCAGGCGTATTTCAATTCCCAAAAATAAAAACCACAATAAGGTCTTATTTGGACGTTATATTTCCCCTTTTTTCCCCGGTCGTCAAAATTCCTAGATCCAGCTATGCATAGATATATTAACATAAGTACTTAGTCTTATATATTCATATATACATATATATATAATACTTACTTAATTTGTTAACTAGATACTTCTAGTTAGAAGTCATATTAGTGCGTTTTTCCCCGGAATAATAAAATCGACTATGATGGAATCGAAAATGCCTATATTATGACAACTCGAAATTATACGAAACGTGCCTACTATACCTGTAATACCTGCACAAAACGAGTATTCTCGACGCGTGCACCTGCACCGGGCCTGGTCAGACTTACGCAATTCTAAATAGTATAATACGACCGCGGACACGCACAAGCGCCGCCTCCTCTTCGCGCAGCAGAGACGACGGCGGCACATCGAAAGTGACCGTCTGTTCACTCTCACTATCGTTGTTACGGTCCCAAGTTGTGTACGCACACACGACGAATATTAGCAGAGTATACAAAGTAATTATTTCATAAAAAAAAAAAAACCAAACACATCCGTTTAACTTTAACGTCCGAGCGTGTACTGAGTATACCTACACGCAAGTAAGGTATATGCGATCGTACACGACGAAATATTATTATCGTATAATTCAAATTTGTTTTGTTTCCGTTTAATTGGAAATTCGATACACTATTGTACACCTATATTCGAAGTGAATCAAATATTTACAAAAGCTTCAAAATGAAAATCGTAGAGCTGGCGGTGCTCTTCGTGTGCACTGTGGCGGTCCTGCACGTGCGTCCGTCGTTTTCGGTAAGTTTATAAATTATTCGACAAACATTTGTATTCGTTAAAATACATTTTATTATCGTTTTTAAAAATATTACAAACTCGAGTACCTATACAATTATTATAGTTATTGTTTTACAAATAAACTCTAGTAATGTGACGGTAGATTTTCTAAAGATCAAAATTAAAATATACCGAAAATAATTTTTATTCTTAAAGTAAAACGAAATTAATTTTAAATTCGTATTTTTCACGAAGAATAAATTGTCATTATGTATGTATTAAGGGGATGGGTATTTATTTTCGTATTTTATAACACGTGATTACAAGTTACAATTTATTTATAGAGTAGCGTAAAGTAGTCGGTAAAACAAATGAAACGTTTAAATAAATTAAAATTAAACTCAATTACTGTAACAGGAATTGAATATGAATCGTAAACGTTATCTTGTCAGACGTTTTAGTTAAAATAGTTAAATCGAACTCGATTTCGCCGTTCATTGAAACTAAAAAAATAAAATAATTCTTATGTATTTTTCTACTCCATTTACAGATGGGGTAAAAATGAGGAGATCTAAATAAATGATAATGTTTTATCGACAATAAACGCAAATAATTATTAGACAGATATTTTGAACTGGTTTTTTCACACGTTCTGGTGTTGCCCGTGACAATTTGTCTCTCTTTTTTTTTAACTATTTCAAAACAGAATTTTAAAAACTATACATACATAGAACACTAAAATAAATTAATTTGTCTATTGTTGTGAAATTATACGATTACGATTTTCTATTATTACGTGGCGCCATCCGATAGTTCGATTATCGTTCCTAAAATACCCAGGATCCTGTGTCAGCCAACTATTGGGCGTTGAATTTTTCGAAATCCGGATTCGAGATGCACACGGACCCTATCATCATCCAATTCTGTATGCACAGACAAACACAAATAATTATTAATATTCAATATAGATTAATCTCTTAGAATTATTTGGTATTTGAGTAAAAGATTTAAACAAATAATAATTATTCTGTTCCTTATTGTCGAATTATTGACTTTTCTGATTTTTCCTACTTTACCGATATCGTTATTGACATCAGTAATTTCGGCGGCACAACGAAAGCGATTATCACTATATCTGGTGTATAATGAAAATAAAAAAAGAATTCGATTTTCACCGAACCCGCATATTTTTTAAATAGTAATAAAACCTTTTCTGAAAGCTCAAGATGGTACTTTAACGAGGTTATTTTTTGATTTTCGACGCCGTTTTTTAAATAAAAGCACTCAAGTGGGAAAAAAACTTAGGAAAATGTATAATTTCACGACTTCATTATTTTATAAAAACACGGACGACGTTTTTACTAAAAAAAAAATGATTTAATTGAAAAATCACAAGATACCTTTGTTGTTGCCTTTTTGATTTAGTTTCTTACGGTATCGTCATAAAAACTTTTGAGCCACTTCTGAACTTTTAAAGAATTTTAATTTATGAGAGTTTTTTTTGCTGTAATCCGTTTATAAATACACGTAGTGACTTGAAACTTGGTAATAATAATTATATTGGACTTACCTAGACGTGGTAAAATTTTCAAAAACATCAAACGACTTTTTTTTTTGTAATAAGCGTTTTAAAATCATATTTAAACGAAAATCGCAAAAAAGATTATTCAATTTCTAAATCATAAAATTATCCGACGAAAATGGTTCGAATTCCGTAAAAAATCCATCCTAATATTTCTAAATTCGGTTAAAAATTAATACGTAATTTTGGGATGTTCAAAAATGTAACATTTTCCTCGATCCGTCATAAATCAAATCGATACAAAATTTATGTTTAAGTTTCGTTCATAGTAAGTTATAAAATTGTTTTTGTCAGGATACCATAAATTAATATTTGGTTTGATGATAACATGCACGCATAGACAAATACTTCTTTGTATTGTGTATAATGATTTTTTTTTTTTTAGCGTAATGAGCATCGAAATCGATTTGTATATAGGGGTGGAATGTTTGTATCGGGTATATGATGCAAATATATTATCGACTGGGTATTTGAAAATATTTTGGAAAAATTACAATATTATTAGTCATAATAACAACGAAATTTGATGTTATTTTTATTTTTTTAACGATATAACATCGGTAATAATAATGATAATATCATTAGGTATCTGTATTGTCGTCGATTTGAAAAATAGAAAGAAAAACACTTTATTGATGAAATTTTGACAATTTTTTTGGTTTCTCGTATGATCGGCAATATTCCATAGGTCTTGCAAGAACTACCCCCAAACATTTTCTTCTCTCTATATATATTTACATCTCCAATATAATAACAGTTCGGGGATTGGCCACCACATGCGCCACACATATTAGCCTAACTATATAGTTAGGCCAAATATATGTCGGTAGATATTATCAAGAAAACGATGGGCTGTGGCGTGAAGAAGGACCGTTGCCGAGAACGACGGTCGCGCTGTAGACGAAAGTGTACCGCACAAGTACAGACCGCTCAAAGGACCGACCGCGAGAAAGGAAGATCGAGGGTGAAGCCGGCAACGGTATCGGAACGGAGTATCGTTAGACACGCGAATCGTTCGGAGGACGGCATAACGGTCAAAAAAGGCCTACAATATACAATCGCGAAATAACGAGACGTTTCCGGCATCGGCGGGCAGAGCTGCTGTGCATCATCCGCGGTCGGGCCACGGTGAAAACGTCGCGCGTCGCGTTTCGGCGCGGTAGCCGCGGTCGCCGGCCGCGTCGTGGCGCGCAGCCGTTTATTACGCGCCCGTCCGCCCCATTCCCCGTCAAGCGTCATCATCACGCGCGAACGCGACATTAATCACGGCTCGATATTATTGCCGGCGCTGTTGTAATACCCGTGCGGCTGTCGACTGCAACAATAACGTTATTATTATTCTCCTATTATTGGAACAAAACGCGGAAGATATTAGCGGACGGTATTATAAATCGCTATAGCGCTGGGCCGACCGGCGGCGGCGGCGTCCGGAGGAGACGACTGGGTTGTGTATACGTTATAAATAACGACGTGAACGGGTTACTCATCCGACGCGATGATAATATTTTTCGAACGGAACGGACAGATGAACGTCTCGCCGCCGAAGTCGCAGTCGTACACGGTGCGCGGGTATAGAAATCGTCCGACGGGCAAGGGCAAACGGCAGACGCGAACACTGTGCGTCGTGAAAGGGAGTACAAAACATACTTAGAGGCACTGTTCGTAATAATAACACTGTGTATTCGTTTTCCGACGCGTTTCCAGAGATGTTTCGGCCGTGTGTATAACTGTACACACACACACACACACACACGCACACGCGCACACGCGCACACGCGAACGTAAATGCGTATTATTATCTTATTGTATTTGATATTATGTATAGTGTGTTATCGTTTTGGCCATCTTCATCGCGTATAGTTACGGGCTACCCGGTAGATGCGCGCCGAATTCGACTGACCTTGAACTTGCTGCCTGATTCCAGAACGCCGCGGTCCAGCGGCGCCGCCGCCGTCGTCACGACCGCCGACCGAATCGCGCGAGTTTTTTTACCGCGAGCCACTACTATCATCGTCGTCATTAATGTTCTATTACTATAGAGTTCGTTTGTTTTAGCTTTATATGCATACATTATAGAAAACACTATCGGAAATAAAGCAAAATAATGAAAAAAATAACATTGATAATCCTCCCCTACATCAAAAAGAAAACACTAATAGTATTATTTAAAAAAAAAAAAAAAAAAAAACGGTCGATGTACTGATCTATTTCGTGTCTAATTACCCTCCCTTAAAAACATCTTCACTAACAGACAGACCAAACCTTCCTTCTTAACTTTTAGACTTTCCCCAGTCGTCTCTCAGCCGACCAGAGAGAGTGTTCCCTATACAAAATATAACATTTTGTTACAAAATCTACTTATTCGATCATTTATCATTCATCTTCAAGTGAACACACGCCAAGCAAAATCTTACTCCAATGGGTGTCTGATAGACATTTATCTTGTCTGTAATCAGTTAACAAGTTTTTGAATTCCGAACTTTTTTACATTTGAGTTTTGTCGTGCTTTCCACGGGATGAGAAATAAAACAACTTCGAATAGTCGCTCCGCTCACAGAAACGTTTTTAAAATATTTGTTCGCAATTTCAATAATTTTACCCTAGTATCATATAATGATATTATTATATTGTCTTACAATTATTTTTATACAAACTCAATATGTATACAACCCAATTCGGTGCAAAGTATACGTCCGGGTCTTTTTGTTTTAATATTTATTTGGCCCGGAGGCGACGGGGCGTTTTATACAGAGTATATTACACTTACTCATTATACCATTATTATACACTGTCGCCTCGAGTCTTCATATTGCAGCGCAGCAGCTCTGGCTATTAGAGTCTGGAAAAATACGATCCGCTCGCGTACACTATAATTCCATCGCCGTCCGCGATTAATCTATACGATAAGTACGTCATCGTTCGACGGGCCCACGCCCTAGTCGTCATTGATGTTCGCGCACAAAAAATCGGATCGATATTCCGTAAAAAAAAAAAAAAAAAAAAACAACATTTCAAAATATATAATATTATTATTGCCACACTCGCATTTATTGTCTCTCGGTCTAACTTACAGGTAACATAGTAAAATTACGTTGCTTATAAAGTAATTTGTGGCGTTTAGATTTAAATTCAAATTTAAAGTAGCTTTTTTTCTAAAAAATTGTCATACAAAAGTTATAGATATTTTTTTCTTAAAGAAAAAAAAAACGATACTGCTGACGATTGTGCCACTGTTCTAGTTAAGCCGTTAGGATAGTAAAGGAGAAATTTAATGTATATATGTATACGCAACGATCATTTCTAACGAACAACGATTCTGAGCGGAATTCGCTTACACGTGTTTTAAGAGGTCATAATATTTGCTATTTGAAAATAACACATTTCAAATATTTTCCCGTTTTACCTACGCTTTTCTTAGTTGTTCCCATTTATTATGAAAATTTCTTGGGAAACCAATAAGAAAAAAACTAACAAACATCATTGTAAAACCAATAAATTCACAAAATAAAACCAATACTGCACTCGGAATCTAAACATGACAAATTTTTTGGCGTAACATTTCTTTTTTCAAAAAAGGCTATGCATAGATTTCGAAAATACTCTGCAACCCTTTAAATTTAGTTATTTGTGTTTAAACTCCGATTCCAACCTAAACGCCACTATTCACGTTCTATAACTCTTGTAATTTTGATATGACATCTGTTAATTAGACTAGCTGAAACAGTAGATGCGAGTGTGATGTCCTCTTAACTCCCGGCTAATATACTACAATATTAAATATTACCGTTTTATAGATTACTTAGATCAAACGACGATAACGATTTCTACAGTCAATACTCGTACATCGATATGTTGATATAGTATTATCAAAATAATTATATAGGTATACGCGAATGGAAAACTCGATAGAATTATACGAATACAATTCAGTGATATTATTTAAATTTATTGCTTCGGTTTAAAACAAAAAAAATCACGGGCTTGCGAACTGTCTAAAATATGCCTATACATCTTAAATTACTTTAATCGATGTAAAACGTAAGACACCATTTATCTGGAAAGTATTAATTTTTTTCAGAATTTGTTTTGTAGAAAATCTAAGAGACAAGCAATTCTAAAATTGTACATTACAATTTTTTTTTTTTGGTACCTTTACTTTCAGGGATAAAACCACTATATACGTTTGATTTTTAAATGGTAACCTGAATTAAAACCTCGTCTATTCACGGAATTTTTTAAAATCAAAAGCGGTTAGTGATCACCAAAAATAAGGGTCAAAATATTGACAGAAATATAAAATTACATAGATGCTTGTTATGCCTCCTGAGATAATGAGTGTCTTACGTTACGTTAAACACTGGTATAGATATATGCACATTCCTAAAATATTTTTGTTATTTCTTAATGTATATAAAGCCACCTACCAGTATTTTGAGTAAGCGAATATTCGTGTATTGCAAATTTCGAATATTATTATTGTGGCATTGAAATGTATTATAATATATGATAAAAACCGTGCAGCACAGTAATCTTTGAAGGCTTTTAAAACGTTAGTTCGCACGTTTTTATTATATTCTATTCAAATAGTTGTTGTTATTTTTTTTTTTTTATGATAAAATTCGTGCTTTAAGCTCGGACCTCCGAATCTCGCGACTTTTTTTTTTAGTAACTCATTGAACGTTCACGATTTATATTCAATACCTGAACAAAAAATATTTGAAACACGCGACCGCAAAATCGATTTATTAAACGATTTTACCTAATAATTAAATAGCTATTGAAATTTGTCAAAAATACAATCGTACCCACTGCTCACAAACATGAAGAGCCCCATGAGAGGTACGTGAATTTCGCAGCCAATAGCCATATACTATAAGAGGACAAATCAATCAAATTTACCCTCTAGGTACCAACCCTTCATATTTACTCGTAGAATCGATTAATTGGTTGGTTTATTTATTTGCGATCGTTTGCCTGCAGAAGAGGTTTTGGGGGTAATTGCGCTCACAGGGTAGACCAGAGGATCGACTCTCGTCCGGTAGATCAGTTTTGTTGAACTCATCATTAAGTTAACAAATGAAAACTAGTGTATGGTTTATTTAATTAATGTTTTTGGATTCTACAGGAAATCGGAGTTGTCCCATACTGCATTTTTACCCGTGGGCGTCCTTGTTTGATGCAACGACTAGTGTTTACCAATGCAATACACAATTCAAATCATATATTAGATTTCGATGTCCAAGTCCATCTATATACATATGTATAAGAAATCCGGAAACGTGACAATAGAGTATATATTCTATTTTCTTTATGCTGAGTTACAACTCTCTGCAAATAAACCTATGGTTATACAGAGCGTTGAACACTGCATGTTTGTTGTCACACCACGCGTATTTTAACACCGACAGACAACCGGTCACGACTTTATAATAATAATAATATTTTACAAAAGAAGAAAATGACACCAACGCACCCAATAATAATAATAATAATAATAATAATAATCCCACAATCATAAGTCTTTTTATATTAGTATATAGGTGTAGACCGTTGAGTGTGACGAAACGACACATAAGTAATATTATTAATAGCGAGACTATCCGATCGCTGGGTTTTTTGCACGTGTGCTGCTATAATATAGGTACCTAGCTGGATGCGTGTGTTTGTGTGTAGCGTGGACACATTCCTGGCAGATAGGCTGCACACAACTCTTAACCCAAACGGTCTTGACCTAAAACGTCGTGATCTTTATTTTATGTTTTTTCAAACAGTGTATTATATATATATATATATATATATATTTATATAGTTAGGCAGATAGGTAAATAGGAATACGTATATTAAATAGTTGTACTTACATTGGTTGGGTATTTTTTATTAGGTGTATTAAACATTAACGTAGAAACAGTCGGACGTCTACACGTCCAAAAGTGGCGTTTGACGTGCCCTGCTAATGGATTATACCTAATAATAATTGTTTTTTCGATTATAATAATATACGCTATAACAAGGCTGGGAGATTTATCAGTTTTAAACTCATAAAGTTAACTTAATACAGACAAAGTAAAGTTAAGTTACCTCATTGTTTCTGTTTAACTTCGTTAAGTTAAAAGTTAATATCTAAAAACAAATATTTAAGTTTCTATTAACATTAATAAAATTTCACATTTTCGTTGGCAATCAAGAATAGTTAGATCGAGAATATCTAATATATTTTTTTGTTTATCGTGAGCCAAAACGAGAAGAAAATAAAATCGCTGAATGAATGGTTAAAAACAGAAAATATTACTCGGAATTTCACCAAATTTGGAGATTTATCAAATGAGAAATAAAATGTCGAATTATGCAAATTTGGCATCGGCCAAAATTTAACGTAAACAACTTAAAATGCACAAAATAAACTCTAAGTCAATACGTTGAGCAGTACACAAAAAATGCAAATTATCCAGTAATCGTATAAAATAGTAACTTTTATCGCGTTAATCTGGGCATTAAGTCGCATTCGAGAGTATAACATCGATATTGCGATCATTATTCTCGCTATACTACGACCTGCCTATATGTATAATAATAATTTCTGTATAGGTATCAACAATTCGTTAAACCGACGACGACGTTGACGATGACCTTTGATCCGCGAAACACTGCAAATCAAATCGTATTTTTTATTATTATTTTCGTATACAGTATCATTTACGATGATTGAAAACTAACGAAAATAAAAACACAATATTACGAAATAACCCTATTTTAAAATCTTATCGCATTAATTTCGTTAGATTTAGACGACGCGTATTTTTGATGTCAAGGACGTTTTTTTTTTTTTATATAATATTATTATTTTTAAATTTATTATTTATACACATATCTTGTAGTATCGTTGACCCACGCTCGGGCGTTATCGAATACGCATGTTTTATGAAAAAAAATAAAACATCGTAAATAGTTTGGACGTACGTAATAATACGGTGTGTGTGTATGTGTGTGTGTGTGTGTGTGTGTGTGTGTGTGTGTGTGTGTGTGAGAACGTTTAGATTTATAATATTGTATGTGTGTTTTATAGCCACTGTTTTTTGTCGAAATCGCGGCGGCCATTAGATCATAATATCGACCTTGATGGTCACGGGTGGACCATAAACGATGTACCACAGAGATAACGCGTAATATTAGGCTGGTATTAAGTGAATAATATCCCAAAGAATCGAGTCTACGTAAAACTATCAGATTGTCGGAAAACGACTTATGCCACTTCTGTGCGCACATTAACGGTATAATATTATAATATACTCTAGTACTACCTATTGTTTTTTGTTTTTTTTTTTTTTTAATATAATTAATTAATAAACGCGGAGTTTAATTGTAGCCTACTCACAGACAATAACATATTATTATGTTAATCGAGCGATTTTTTTTAATATGCAGGCCTACGCGTAAACCCGACGTTTGTTATTGGGAAAAAATCTTTCAAAACAAAACATTTCACGGCGACGATAGTACCTTTTTTTTCTCAAGTACAAATTTTGATGGTCTGCGGCGGTATTAGGAGGCATTAACTATATATTACTATTCAAAAGTCGAATATTTTTTGTCTTTAGCTCGACAAATTTCTGTTTTAATCGTACAGATTCATCTTTTTACCGGCAAGTAGATATTGATTTGCTCTTAAAGCCGAACGATTGAGTGTGGTTTTTTTTTGAAATTCGAACATGATGCGTTCAAATTTACTCAGTTGTGTTGTAATTGAATGTTCTGTTAGCGGGTGCATGTATCGGCGTATAGCATATATGTATGTGTATAGATACCTATAAAAAAAAATATACCTTATCGTTTAACTGAACGTAATTGTAATTATCCAATGGTGAAATATTTTCAAAATATGACTTGGTTATTTTTTCATAATTTTACCTTTTAACAATAAGACGTTCATTTGACTTGACACAACCGAGACAATACTATTGGTCGTGATAATTTGCCGTCGCCTTTGCGGTTTCGCAAGCGTATAATAAGGCGAAAACAATATCTCTGGTTGACGTTTGAATATCATTCTGATCGATGAACAATTGTGAAATAACCGTATACATAAAATAATATCGAGTGCCTACAGTCTACACCCACAATAGTTTCAAGTTCGGAATACGATCGGTTAATAAAAACTCATGATTACATAATATTGTCGTCAACTTTGACAGTGAATATTATGTCAACTAAATTATATACGAGATGCTATTTTATTTTTAGATAGTATTTACATAATATTAAATCGACAATATACGTACCTATTGGTTTAATCGTTATACGAGTTCGCCGCAGACTTGACGCGCGATTACATCAGTGGTTTTTCCACGCGGTATCCGTGTCATTGTATTAATATTATAAATGCATTTTCGTTCTTTATGATAACTGTCGCTTTTCAACACAACGCAGGCAATTTAAGAATTTCGGGAAAGGGGGGGGGCAGAAGGGGAAGAGGGACGTATGCGATTATCTACGTTTCCTCTCGTCTCTGAAAACCTCTCTTGATATACACATTAAACGTGTTTTATTAAGCAATTTCTCCGGAAAACCACAGAAACATCGACCGTTTGTCGTCAGATGTTTTGACTACACCGAACTTTTAAATACGAAGGACTCGCTGCAACCATGCAGGAAATGTCATTTTTGAAAGTGTTCATCGCGAACAAAAATTACATAATATTGTTTGAAATAAATATAAGAAAAATCAATTTAAAATTATAATTTGATATCACAAATGTAGGCAACTACATATTTTAAATGTATATACAAAATTGTTCTAGTAAACAATTTTACTTTTTAAGTCCAAATTTTTATTTTTTTTCCGAATTTGGTAAAATATATCAGTGTATAATAGTCATAACGTGACTTTTTTGTCGTAGAATTTATATATATTTATTTGTAAATATAATGACGAATATATAAAGTTTCTAAATTTTACGAAAATAACTGCAGTACTTGAATCTTACAAACAAATATTTATTTTCCGTACTTGTCTAACGTTACTTGCGCGTAAAATATTAAATCGTCAGTGTTACCGCAGTTACCGCGGTGAAAGAAAATGTCCCGTTCAAAATAACCAAAAATTTATGTTCGAAAAAAATATGGAATTATGTGGACGGTTGCTGCGGTACACCTTTCAAAAGGTATACTTCAGAAGTCCATTTACGTATACTAATATGTAGACATATGGCAACAGTTTTAATAAACTCTAAATATACATTACTTTCTTTTATTTTTTTCTACGCGGGGACAGTGACCCGTCCAACGAACGATAAATATGTCTATTTTTTTTTTTTTTTTTGTTTTATTATTAAAACATTATATAAGCACCTTGTTATTATATCTTTATCATACAGCTCGTTATTTTTTTTGGAATACTATTATTAGAGGTTATTGTTTTATTTGTTTAACCGGATCAATTTTTGAACTGCGTCATGCAGGGCCACTTTTCTTATAGTTTTGTAATAATATTTTCGTGTTCTGATTAAGAACAATATTATTATAATACGTTTAATACGTATTAGTACGTTTCTAAATACTTTTGGCGTACAATTTTATTCTCATATTATATTACGAGTAGATGTACAAACTGCATCAGTATCGATATAGGTATAAAATATACGAGTATACATTTTCGTATTCTACAGACACTATACGTTTATTATACAAACATCCAGAAAATATAATATGACCGGGTTTTTATGCGGTTTAGTACATCCGTGTGTATAAAATAAATATTTGACAATAATCAAAACATTTAAATTCAATCCGTTCGCGAAATACAAAATAAAATCCCATAAATGGTCGTGTGCATAGAGCTAATATTTATGTAATTTTTTTTTTTCATCTGGTTATTCATAAAAAAAAAAAAAAATAATATAGTGTGCACATTTTAGGTCAAGACCATTTACTACTATATTTATATACATACACACGGTTTACGTCGCACAGCTCGGGTAATTATCGTATTACAATAATTCTGCTATTTGTTGTGTTTTTTTTTTTTTTAAAAGCGCATAACACGTGTACATGTCATTTAACACGATAGTCCAATGTCAATCCAATTCGTCATAACGGTTTTCATTTTCGAAGCTTATGTGTAATATCGGTATCTAATATGACGAATTTTTCGTTTCTGGTTTTTTTTTTTTTTTCCGTATATTATCGCATGAGGAATTTTTACTGAAAAATGTGAAAAAATCTTTGACAAATAAATATTATAGGAATACCTATTTTGTTTATGGTTCTTCACCCGTGGAAACAGGAAATAAGAAATCCACGGGATAAGGAAAAATCCCCCCCCCCATCCATGACCAATACCCGACGTGGTTTCGCATAAAAAATCCGAGGATTATTTTCGATTAAGCAATGTTAGAATATTTCAGGTGAACGACCTCAATAATTAAACAGTGTATTTTTCCCTTGTCAGGCGTACGGGTGGAAGGGAATGGAGACACTTGTTTACACTCGTTCATATCGGGACTGAATCTAAAATAACTCGCGATTTACGAAAAACCACATCGGGCGGGTCAAAAGGGGAGGTGCCATTTTTTCACTTCTCTCGTCGGATCTTGCTTTTCTGTTGTCACGGAAGAAAGAACTGCCCGAGACCCGGCGTCAGATAAGAACATCCAAATATCTGTGAAATGTAAACAGCCCCTCCCTGCAGTATTCGCACCGACCATCGTAACTTATTCGGAGCATGCGCGGCGTTTCAATGACCGTATTAAAATAATATAATTGATAACGATAAAAGAAACGGTAATACCGTGGGAGACGCGATAAGTACCCAGTGAGTTGTTTGAAAAACGGTTATCGCCTGTGACCTTTTCCCGCTGCTGTACACGCCGTCACACACGACATAATTAATCTACCGCGAGTGTATCAAGCGCAATATCCTCAACGGGCCTCAAAACGCGAAACGCATATCACGATCATGTTTTATTTAAATTTGCCTGTGATCCCGTAGACTATCTCGCGTTACAATAGCGTTGAGGTAGGTATAGGGTCACGCGTCGTACACCCGCATTATAGTGGCTACCATACGACGCGCACACGATACCATACAATAATGATGCGACACGGCCACGAAAATACGTTTTATAAATTTTAATAATGTCATGAGAACCAAGGTAGGTGGAATGCACGAAAATGCGACGGCGGTCGAGACGGGGGTTATTGCGGTAACACAACCGGCGGTAACCGCGATTATCCGCACTCGACGTACGACGTTCCGCAGATAGCATAATCATCGCCCGCGATCTCCGGGGCCGAGGGTTTCGCACGACTCCGGGTGAACACGAAAAACGGCTATTACCGTGTAAAACAAATTACCACGCGCGGGAGTTTCGCAACGAAACGATATTGCACGGGGATTCGATTGCGGCGACGGCGCGGCCGCCGCGGGCCGCGAAAAATCCCCGCGGCAATCCGCCATCGCGAACCTCTGCTGCAGGTACCGCGGCCGGGTGGTGCCCGCGCGGCGACGTAGTCGATACAACTTCCGGAAGAAAAGATGTCACCGTTCCGTTTTGTTGGTCTCCGCGGGCCCGCGCGAACCCGGGGACGGCGCGCGCGGTCGGGGGCGCGGTCGCGCACAAACGATTTCAGAAAGTCGCGGGCCAAAAGAGAGCGCGTGGGCGCGCCGAGAAGACGACGACGGGGCCCATTGTCCGCGGCGCGGCTGTTCCGTCGTACGCGCGCGCATTATGCTAATCAGACTTTCTACCGTTTTGTCGTGTTCTGTGAACGGACGCGAGCGCGGGTATACGATCTTGACATTGCGCCGCGGACGACCGCAGCGATTCCGCGGTCGAAAGCGAACGTGTTAATCGATATTCGCGCGCTCGCCTAATGTTTTAACGTTTCTGCCGTCTGCGCTGCAGGCGCTAACGCGTTTCGCTCTATGGGTAGTCGATAATAATAACGACGACGACGATTATTATTGTTATTATCAGTAGTAGTAATGGTAGTAGTATAGTGTAGTAGTAGTAGTAGTAGTAGTAGTAATTGTTGTAGTAGTAGTAGTATTACCGTTTTTGTTATCACCTCGAACTCCGCCCGTTCGTTCGTCAGACATCGTATTATTATTATTATTATCGTTATTGTTGTTATTATTATTATTATTATTTTGGTTACGGTAGGTGCTATTGATAATTTAAGGCTATCGCGGACCGCCGGCTTCTCGCACGTCGCGTCCGTCATTATCACGTTTCGATAATTTATTTTTCATTACTATTATCATTATTATATTAATATATTTTTTTTTTTTTTACGTATACTATATATATGTACACATTTCGCGTATATTACAACCTATCGTAATATAATAATATCGGTAACCTTTCATTGAAATATCATTCGCAATACGAAAATTACTCATACATCGGTTAAATACGCGATTCCTCCGAAAAATCCTTGTGCCGACCGTCACTCGGGGTTGAAATTTTTTTTCGGGGGGAGGGAGGGGGTTCTGTTTATCGTTTTCTTCAAAACGTCTCAGCCGAACTGTGTTTATTTTCGAAATCTTATCGTTTTTATTTTATCGAACTATAATATCCACAGTCCGGAGACGAACGTTTTCGCGCCCGATAGTTTCAATTGAACAAATTTTAGTGAGATTGCCAAACAGAAGCGGATTAAATGCAAGAAAACAGGGTGAGGAGACAGGGGTGTTGATCATTAAAATGTATAATTGGCACAGAATAATGATACAAATGAAACATAACGAGTATATTGGGAAGCAAACGGGAACGGTCGCTTCCATCACCTCCCTCCCTGGATTTGCCATTGTTGCTTAATGGATTAATTTATAAATATGACGTTTAAAATGGCTAAAGTCGTATAATTATAAGACCTGTGCTATTTTGTCAAACAAAAAGTACGTCATACTGTGACTGAAGATAATTTAGTTTTCAGTTTACCGCGTGTTAAAATATAATTACAGTTGTTAATGCACTTATGCCATGTAGCCTAAAAAATAAAGGATGAAAATTACGCAAGAAAAAAATTATAAAAAAAAAAATCTTCTCCTGGATCAAAGATATAATTCATCTATTTTAGAAAATTAATATTTTTTTTTAATATTTGTGAATTAAAACGAAATATGATTTTAATATTATTTTCCCTCGTTACGCGATTAAAAATATTCTGATATAATATTAATATATTTTTGAACGAGATAATAGTGTTATCGTCGCTGAATCGTCTTGGCTTTTATTCCGTTCAAACCGATATTAAATTATTGGGGTATTGATTGGTTGTAGTCGCATTATAATATTATTACGAAAATGGTAATCTCTATCATTGTTTTGGATCTTCTAGTCACGAACCCGTCGAATACCCTTGAGCCGAGTATTAAATAGGTATATTATATTATAATATTAGACTCAAAAAAAAAACCATTTCGTTTTAAAATAATAATGTGTATAGATAGTATTGAAATTAGGTTTACGAAATAAATATTATTATAAAACCAGGTTTAATTAAAATAGGCAATAATTTTTCTCAAAGTTTAAAAAAACCGCTGGCGCGTCTATTGAAAACGAATATTCAAAGTCATCAATGGATTTTTTTTCAGTTTTACGTTTTTTAGAACACTATTATTTTCATTTTATCGAGTTCTAGACGTTTTCTACACGTCCGTTGTTTGGCGGTTTTCGAATACCGATGTTATGTGTAAAATAGTAGGTATATTATCTATATAGAAGAGAAAATGATAATAATACGTATTTGTTTTTATTCCATATTTTCCAATGTGGTCTGAACCCGTCTTCCGCGTGTATTATTTTAATATTATAATACAGAATTTCACATAATAAACATTATGAAATATACGGTGAACACATTCGCTTTAATATTATTTCATTATATTATTATATTGTGTACACATATTATAACACTACAAGATATGCACAATAACCTACAATTTTTACAAACACACAAATTGCATAGGTATAGGTACTGGCAATATTGAAAACAATCGATCGTCACATTCAAATAGAACGAACGAAAATCGGTCGATCCGAAATAATTGTTAACTTTAGACCAACAGTAATTTCCACGTTCATAGTTGGTTTTTAAAATTCGTGAATTTTAAACGGTTCATACGCGACACGCGAACTTTACTGTTGAACCGTTATTAGGGTTCAGTCAAAACGTTTCCGTGCAATCAATTAAAATTAATTAATTTAATTTAAACTAAACATTATTTTTATTACGGTTAATGGCCGGTGTTTCTGACATTGGGCGGTGCTGAGAATGTGCAAACGCACCGATTGAAATTAAACAGTTCAGACAAAATGTTTTTACACCGTCGGTTTGTTCGCAGGATGTTTGTTGTAAATTCTGGTCACCAAAGTCAAAAGGACGTAATAACCGCATGTGTGGTCTTCGTCTTACAAACGTACCACATAGATAACAAATTTTCGTTCAACGAGGAACTACTTTGTGCTATTCGTTTTAATATTTAAGTTAATAACTGCGAATAATTATCTAACTGAAAGACATTATAATATCATATGCACAAGACATGGATTTGATTTTCGATATTTCAATGTTTAAGCGAGTTATACCGTGCACTGTATGCATGGGCACTGGTGCACTGCGTTGTTTCGGTGGTCAAATTTGAGACGTAATAATTATTGTATGTCGATAGCGCATGGAAATACATACATGAATTTTTTAAAATTGAATCAAATCAAGTACTTAGATTCCATAACTGAATTTTTTTAATAATTTTAATGGATGGATTCTACAGGTTTTAATCTATTAAAAACATTCCTTAATAAAAAAATCATGCAGCGATGAAATGGACGTGTTAATTGTTGCAATTTAAAAATATATAAACCTGTATCGCTTGGAAATTAAAATATCGACAAACGCCTACACGGTTGCACGGATAAAATGATCGTATACCTTTATGTTTGATAATAGGTCGATTCGCTGTATTATTAAAGTTAACGGCACCGAGTTTTCCCTGTTGAAATCAAAACTTTGCTGTGTCGTGCGTGTGTACGTCGGAAACGGCACACGCGAGTGTAGCGCCCTCTTAAAAATATTATAAGTATCTATAGGTTCGAGATGTAATCGCGAGCCTCTTGAATCGTTTAGTACGTTTACTGCAGCAACGGGGATGCCGTCAGTTATTTGTAAAGCCGAAAAATGAAAGCCGAGGCGACCGTTCACGTTTTGACCTCTTGCCTTTCGTCCGGCAAAAGTAATTGAAAGGGCCCCCAGTATGACTGCGAAATATCAATATCATAGTATAATATCAAGAGTGTATTTATAGGGGTTTCGGTGCGAAATATCGTCTTGTGGACACCGCGGCAGTGTTATTTTGCGTATTATTATATTACGCGTTAAGTCGCCGTTATAAATCGTCGTAACGAATACGACTCGAGCATAGCGTAGAATATAGTTTTTGGACTCGTGCCGACACGTGCTCTGGCGTCACGGGTGTAACCGCACCCGGGCGCATATTTTGAAGAAAAAAAAACATACAGACGATGGCGTCTATTATACAAAATGAATACATTATTAACTATTAGTATTTCGTTTTACATAATCGTTTTACATTGTGATAAAGTCGCCCTATATAACAGTGTATCACAGGTCTCGTTTACCCATGTTAAGTATCTGTACACGGATACACAGTGAAAGCACGCAGTACGTTTCGATTCATTTTTGAACGATGCTCGGATTGACAATTTTCGCGATCATACGTACCTATAGTTTTTCAGTATTTATCGAGATTATCCGAAAAACGAGATTTTTTTCGAAATTCCGATTTAGTTGATGATAAATTCAAATTTCGTAGTTTGAATTGATTCTTAAAAAAACAAAGAAAATTTTATTATTTTTCTCATAGCATATGAAAATCGCTGTAAACTAGATTTTATTACCGTCACCCCGTATATACATTGTTATATTCGACCGGCCCGCCTGTTTTCTTTCACCACGCGGTAGCCGTGATCTATCACGACGTATGTTAGATACGGTATTTTGTATTTTAACGATTTATAATACTGCGACATACGCATATTAATTCGGTTTTTGATTTATACATTTTATGTTTCAGACCGACACGAACGGCCGGACCCGGAGACAGAGTTTTCTAGATTTTTTACCGTGGAATTCCAGAGTGGGTAAGTCGCATGCCAGCATAAGAAAACTAATGATATTTAAACGGCGGCGTGGCGCGCAATTATAAACACACACAATTGTTCCTGTCCATAAATAATATTATTATGTTATTTATTAAACGCGGATCGTATAATATACATTTTTTTTTTTATTTTTTTTTTTTTTTGCATTCGGGTTAAACAATCATTCCGGGTTCCTATTGTTTTTGCGGTCCGGAGATCTTCCCGACCGCGGAACAACCGCGCGCGTTATTATATTATTGTGAGTACCGTAATTATTATATATTTTTTTTTTTTTTTTACTTTTGAAAGTTACGAAACACCTACTACACAATATTATATTATTGTTGTATTGTATATATATATACACGAGAGTGTACTATAGTTTCATTATAGATAAATTAGCCCTCTTTATAAAAAAAAATACATCTATATATACAAGAGTATAATAGTATAATATAGGTATGCCTATACATTATACCGGAATCCCGTCATAAGTATGTATAATTGTTTTTTGTGTACCTGTATAATAATATACAGGATACGCCATTAATAACTGTACAATATAATATAATGTATTACCTCTCGATGATTCGAAATATTCAGTAAATCGAACTAAACGCTTGATCTCCTAACAAAACCTCTATATTCAAAGAAAATACACGTATTTCAATTCCCTAGATGGAAGACACTCTACAATAAATTCAAATGTTTGTGTACAGGACCTGTTTAATACCAAATGTATAGCAGTTACCCGTACTCGTACTCAATAAGAACTTATGACCTATGTTATCATCGGAAAATACGACATTGACCGTATATTAAACATGAAGTATATGTAAATAGAGCATACTTGAAGAGATTTCTATATTGTTTGAAGATTTGTTCACTTCGATGATAACTTCTGCCATTAACGGTACTTTTTCCGACAAGAAAATAATACAAGCTATCTATTATAATGAATCGGCATGATTCTGATAATGTTAATGGGAAAAAGAAGACCTACCCAGGAAAGGTTTCTTATTGTATTGTCTAAAGAAATACAATTTCTTAAACTCTTTTTAACTCGGTTTATTTCTATTTTCCTTTCGATAATTCAAACTCTCGCTAATTCGGAAAACCTCTATAAATTTAATTTTCAGCTCGATCCCCTGAATTTTGAACTATCGAGAGCCTACTGTAATAAGTAGATATGTAGGTGTGCATTTAAAGATAAGTCGGTTAGATTAAATTTGTAGTTATCGGCGTCGTCGTTGGAAAGTTTGGATATAGAAAATTAAAATTGATGCGAGCCGTGCCATAAAGATTATAATAACACATTGTCAATTTAAATGTTAAGGCGCCAAACAACAATGAAGTGCAAGCGAAAAATAAATTTACTGCAATAGATCTCAATTAGTCCTCCTGCAGCTATCTCTAATGTCCGTTTTTAAAATCTACCGAATTGGTTAGGTTAACTCCCGCAGTAAAGCTTCTTTTTTTATTATGTCTTTCCACGCATCATCCTCGGCCTTCCCAAAGATTGTTTCCCTTTGCCGGGCAATCTGTTTCAGTACTTCTCATAAACATAGTAGAGAATTCTGCTTTTCCACTCATTTCCAGCCAACTCATTGCGGCAAGGCCACCCACAGAAATATTTCTCAGGAAAGGGGGGGGGAAGGTAATAAAATAATATTTTATTTTTACCATAGATTCTATTTTGTAAACCCATACAATTAGAATTTTAAATTTCAAATTAGAATTTGTGATACAATCAAAGATAATAACTAATAAGCATTAAAAAATTATGTATTTAAAATTTAAACCGTAAATCCATGTCCCATGATTTAAATAATTGAGTGTTCGTATTACACATATTGGTCCTCCCTTGCGGGTGGCCTTGCATAGCAATCTTTCTTTCTTCTACGGTCTCTAAAATATTTTTATCTCAGAACTTTATATCATCTGTAGCTCGTTTACTGTTAGCCAAAGATCATTCGCAATATTTCCTTTTTGAGTACCAACTACCTACGCACTTTATTTTCGTCCACTTTCAGAGTTTCAGATCCATACAATAATACTGGTCTTAACAGCGATCGTGAACTCAAGTCTATGGCAGCACTTATTTCCTGGCTGAATTCAGATTACTTTTATTTATATTTATTTATTTATCCGAGAATATATATATAAATACAATAAAATATTATCTAAAAATAAAAAAGCCGGGGGAGTTTTCTCGATCGATTTGTACTCGTTTATAGAAATGTATATACAATTTTAAAAATCGCACGTTATCTTATAATTGATCAATGTCATTACAGTAAAGTACCTACATAAAGGTCACGAGGAACATACAAGTATTATTATTATTAATTACCAGGATGTACACCTATAATGTGCGAATATCGACGTACGAAGAGGCTGCAGTGCAGCAGATCATGACATTAATAATAATATATGGGAATGCCATAACTATTATTCATGCAATAACGTCACGTATAGTACTTCTCGAACACGCTTAAATAGCTATACATAACTACTTAAAACTATAAGGTAACCATAATATTTAAAAAAATATTTATCTTGGATTACAGAAGATCCGTATTAATATGTACCTACCGGCTACCATTCTATATTGGAGAGACTTTTGAAACTTGGCTGTAAATAGTGCCGTGTAAATTCTAACAGCGGCCGAATAGAATACCTATATTATTATTAGATATGTATACATGTTTTTAGTCAAAAACGTACTGCACCTACGTTCGTTATTAGTGGACGGTGAAACAAGCTCATTTTGGAGGACGTATTTTTAAGTCGTATACAAACAAAACCGTTTTATTTGCGCGTTTTGTTTGATACTCGCGATGATTTGACTGCGCGAATACCTATACGAAATATTACTAATCGAAATGTAAACTTATAAAATCTCGACGGCGACGATTTATACGTGTACGTATAAATATGTACAGAACGCGATCGTTTCGTTGTTGATATTATTATTTTTTTTCGTTTCATCCGGTGACCAAACGAAAATATTATTACTTAACATAACCCGATCGCAACGTATATTTTTTCATACCGTCTCGTAAGCAACGGACCAAACGAATTTAATTAACCGACCTTCGTGTTTAGAGGCAGTTTATTATACATTATACTGCTGCAGACAACGCCGCTTAGCTGTTATTATGCTATAAGATTAAGAAAAAAATAAAAACTAAAAATAAATAGTAAAACGTTAAAACTCATAGATTTTATATCAGTAAGTTTAAATATAATAATCGTAAAAAAAAATTTGAATAAAAAATCGAACTAAATTTTTCGTCGGTCAAATTAAAATATTATATACAGAACAAAGTATACGCAAAAGACGTGTTTATTGCTTTTAATACGTTGGGAGACATGAACGCTTGAATGTCGGTGTTACTTGCCTTTAGCCAAAGTGACACGGGATTTTTGTTACGGGTTACTTGTTTTCATTTCGGTAACAAACAAATTTGCATACAAAAATTGATACATTTGCCGAAATAAACAGAACAATGGTGTAAAAATAAAAACAATATTATTACAGACTACTCTTATAATGAATCTAAATTTAGTTGTATTTTTGTGTAAAAAAAACGTAGTATATAAACTGTAGACTGTTATTTCAGTTGTGCTGTAGGAGTGTAGGGTCGCAATATTTATATTAAAAATGTCAATCCCCTTCCAGAAATTTGAATGGATAGTTTTTAATAATTTACTATCAACAAACATTGAATATGATTTTTAGATATATTTCGAAAACGATTGAATTAAATTTGCTTGGAATACTTTACGTGTTTTACGTAATATAATATTTATTACAACGGAATAATATGCACAAAGATAATTTAAATTAATTATTGTTATTCACACAGTATGTTCTATTTTATGATTAAATTCGAAACGAAGAGTTTTACGATGGTAGTTATAATACAGGTATTATTAAAAAGCGTGGAACTCGCAGACATATTTTATGACGATTTTACGTACTTTATTCGGAGTACTTACGTGAATTTTGAATCGGTTAAATAATAAGATATTAAATAGAAAACCACGCTCGCAATAGTTATACAAATATAAGTAAAAATCGAGTTTTTTTTTTCAAATGTTTAATCCTTGGGAAATAAGTAGATACCTATTATACGTATTACGTTTGAATTAGAGAAAACGTAAACGTGATATTAATAATGTTCTATTTCGATATATGTACAAACATTTGTATAATATTAAAAGTTGCTCGCAGACTTTTTCGCCATATACGCGCGCGATAAAGCCGTGCATCAGGACGTGTAAAAGTAATATCATCACAATAATATTATTATGAGATTGGGATGTAGGTATAGTAGCGCCTTATATCCAATAGATTGCCTTGGTCTCGTGAATAGAACTATATAAAATGTATATCGTGTGAACAGCTAAAGCGATCGAGTAAAAAAAAAAAGATAGTAAAATAATTGCTATAAACGGCGGCAGTGACGGTTCGAACATCTGTTGTCAAAGAAAATAATCATTGATCTTATCATCGTATCGCGTACTGTTTTGTGGTACAAACGTTACAAAGAATACGGTTGAAAAACTTTACTTCGTTTTTTTTTTTGTGTTACCAAAGAGTTTTGCGATATTGGAAACCGGATTTTATAACGCGTATATACCAAATCATTTCTCTCAGTCCCGTATCTAATTTCTGAAAACGCTTCTAGCGATGTCTAGCGATGTTCGACAGACTGAAAATCGTATGTCATATTATTTTATAAATACAAAAATCTCATATAATTTGTGTAATTATTGTCGAATTTTATGGCACAATAATTATTTTCATAGATAAGCTCAGAAAATATCTGTTGACATTCCGAATGGTTTTTTCGATTCAATACCACAAATACGACTACACTAAAAATTTAAAAAAATAATAACAATTTTTCAGAAAATCCAGTGGTTAAATAAAAATTTCATACTTTAAAATCTAATCGTATTTTTTACCGAAATAACTGCCGCAAGCGCTCAAAAATACTACGCTTCAAGAGCAGGTCTCTCCAAACACCAAACGCACCTCTGATTGCCACTGCTGTGAGTAAAAGGTAGTGCGTACCAATAATTACGAAAATAAATCTGAGATTTTACCAAATAAACGTTTGAAACCCCAGCTGTAGTTATATTATGCTATCAGCGTGATCATCAAAGCGTTGCTGAAAAATTGCACTTTCTTTCAAACGAAAAAAAAAAAAACTACCATACCCAGTGGGTAGGTGTACCGTATACGCACTGCATCACAAACAGATATTGCGATACTATTAACCTATGTTATACACAAAAGCGTTTATACGAGTGAAACAATAATGCTAATAATAATTATTATTATTATTATTAGAAAACGTTTGCCGGGGGCGCTGTGCGTAGGTAGACAAACAACGCCGTGGAGCGAATGTCGCCGACGATAATATCATCCGGTCATCCGGGCGAAATTTCACCGCGCGGGTCCGGAAAAAGTTGCGTTTCGTATGCGTTATTTCGTCATCATCGGCCGGCGATGATTCGGATCTGACGGTTATTATGTACAGGGTAGGGCGATGCTATTTAAAATTCAACTTGGTGATGTCTAAAAACCTAAGAAACAGTGAAATTTGTTAAGTTTTAAAGGTGGCTGATAAAAGTGTCATATAAAATAGCTGGTATATAAAAGCGACCTTTTTATAATGAAATGGTCTTCAATGTTTTCAGAGGCCCTTATAAAACTCCACATCTATAGCAAATTGACAAAGTATCCCAAAAATATTTTTAAAGTTAAATTTTAAACGTCATCCGTTAAGGGTCATCTGTTTAAAATACCAAAAATAAATAGAATTTTACTCATCCATCACCTTAGTCCATCTATAAGGATCGCAAAACTCGAACTCGCTAAAACCTATGGAATTACGTGGATGCATTTTTGCGTTAGTAGTTATGCTTCGTTGTTTTCATATTTCATACCCAAAAGATGCGGAATTTTTATCTGTTATGATACATTGATTGAGACCTTTATCAGCATTGTTAACAGTTCACTCCCTAAATCCATATTTGTTTATTTTAATATGCATTGATTCTTAGGTTACTTCGATAACAATTAGGAGTAAAAAAGTACAACTTATACAACTCTGCTCAGAATCGGTTTTTGTTTTGAATGATTTTGTTTATGTGATTTATAATTACAATATAGAATATAGACCATATTTTACTTTTTCAAATTCGCTTCGCGTTGTATTATATTGTATAGATCATCAAAATCATCTCGCTGAACAAATGCTTTATTTGTCATAAGACATTTTAAACAAAAAATTGTGGGTTTGAGATGTAGAGATTCTTCGTATCGATATCGAGTCAGACCGTCTGCAATGGTATTTTAAAAATAGTGTGCGCTTTCCTGAGAAATGGGCAAGTACGTATTAGGAATATTATGATTCCAATTCCGGCTATGATATTTTGTCGTGGCTATACATATAGCTAACGCACCCTGAATGAAAATCGGTTGCAACAAACATTCGCATGGTGTACGATGCATGCGATAAAAAAAATATAATAATATGAATAGGTAAAGAATGGCATTGTATCATAGATTTTTTAACGCGAAAACAATAAGATGTACGAGAATAAGTCATAAAACGTTTGTTCGCCGTTTTTTTATCGCGTAATCAGTAAAAAGTTAAATATTTACACAAAACTTGGTTTTGTAAACTTTGACCTTGAATAATTTATAAAGCTCACATGATTTCGACGGAGACTTTTCATATATTGCATCATGTATGCTAAATTTGGCTTGTTACCAGTTTTTCCGATCTGAGGTCTATTTGTCGTGTAATTTGACTGGGCTAGGATTGTGTTATATTGCGACAAAATCGTTGTTTGCCCGCCCGGTCCCGATTTCATGAATCGGAAACGTTTTCCCAATGTCCGGATGTGTATTTTTTTGAGAGATGACGACGACGACGATGATGATAGTAACCCGAGGTCATGTGTCCGAGTCTTGAACAATGGATGGCCTCACGTTGTCGTTTCCTCCGTCTTTATACTACTTTACACGCGCATTTTACTCGTTGCGGCTTTTCACTGATACGAGAAGTTTAATATTTTTCCCACACCGAGTTTCAGTCGTCCGTCGATATACAACAATATTATTATTCTCATCCAAATCTCTATACTACAAAACACGACTACACAAAATCAATAATATTAACAATTTCAAATTAAGTTGAATTAATTAACCTAACCTTACCAGACCTAATGCAGAATTAACTGTAAAAATTGAATTTCAGAACACTAAATATATTCTTAATGTACTTCAAATCTGGAACAAGATTTCTGGTTAAAAAACTAAGTCAAAACAATTTAAAGTGAAGAAACTTTTATTTCCATAAATTTGTCTGTTTTTACCTCTCAACTACATTCAAAATGCTGTAAAAAATCATTCTTGTCGTTTTGGATTGGAGTAAGATTTCCGGTAGAACAGTTGTGATAGACAAAAAAAAAATCACATCATAGTAAAATCAAATCCAATACATGTCTCGTTGTATTCAGAATCTAAAAATATTCATTATTTAAGTCACATAATTTTAAGAAAATAAACAAATCAATCGTTCGTCTTTAGCAACTATTATAAACGAATTTTTAAGATAATATTATTAATCAAAAACTTTTAAGTTTTTAAACGGTTCAAATTGAATTACTTAATAATACTTTACAATAATATAAAGTTCCTAAAAAAAAAAAAAAAAAACCAAAAAAACTTTTTAATCTGACTTTAACGTTTATATTGAAATGCCTCGCACCGTCACGACTACATACAAATATATTCAAGTATTATTCGATTAAATATAATAGAGAAATTATTGTATTTTTCACGGCCATTTTTGCTATGGACTTTCAATTTTCAAACGATTTCCCGCTGTACTCGCCCATGCAATAAATTATTATTTTTCATTTTCATAACGGCCAGTTCAAAGGTTCTATTCTCACGATAATAGTATGCTTTTTTTTACAGCGGCCATCTATAATATTATATTATATTAGGTACCTACTTCGTTTATTCTTATTTTTTTATTTTTTTTTTTCTACTGATTACGAAACGTTATTTCGTGATTTTTGTCACGAACGACGTGCATATAATAAACGGTTCACACACAACGGCAGCTCGTTCTGACGGTATTTTTTTTCTTTAATAAACTCATACCTATATATACGTAAATTATTAAAACAATAAGTCATTAGCCCGAAAAAAAATAAACGTAATGGTACGAAATATTACATGATTTAATAATCATAAAAATCCATACATTTTCGTCATTGATTTTGGTGTTTAAATCGTTAAAACAATTTCAAAGATTTCGTATATACAGATGCGAAACTGTATATAGTACAGATGGAGGAAACCGGGTACAATTGTAACACTTTATTTATGTATAGCTGTGCATCATAATATATTTTTTACCAGCGGTTTTTCTTGTACTAAATGATAAAGAATGTTGTCTAGTTTCTTGATATGCGTTGTAGGCCATAATTTATAATACATTTAATATCATAATTTTGTTGTTTTTTTTTTTTTTTTTGTCCATTTACCCCAGTGCTGAGGAGAACTATAACATGATCTGGGATAAGTTGTAACGCACGTAAATATATAGTTTGATTTTAAAATCAATTATAATATTTTAAATTAAAACAATTCTATAGGCCATGTGTTGGTCTTTGTCGGTATACCGGTTAGTTGTTTCATAGTGGTGGGTCGAGTGACGAGAGATCGAGACAGGATGTTGCAACTAGCCCCCAACAGTTCATTGTGTACCACGTTCGTAATTTTTTTTAAATATTTCACAAAAAGTAGTATAATTCTTACACTAAATTAACCGTTAGTGTTGTAATCAAATTCTCATAACATTTGCATTTAAGTACGAATGAAATCTGCTATAAAATTTTAACTTGTTAAAATTGAATAAGAAAATTGTTTTGTTTTTTTTTGATAAAATTGATTTTATGATTTTAACCACAGGAATGATAGAACGATTCTAATAAAAACAAAACATTTCATAACCTTTATTTACGAATTTAACAACATGTATTGTGATATGGAATACAAATACTTTATACCAATCACTTATTAAATCTTACAGCGTATTATAACTGTACCTGGGTCTCCCTTACCTATAAAATTACAAAACAATCATTTCATTTAGCGGCTTAAGGGAATTACAATTTTATTAGTATATTAGGTATTCTTTATAAAAAAATATGTGTTTCTCTTTAGTATCGATCTTTGTTTAATATTACAGCCTTAATTTAAGCATGACATTTATTTTGATATATATTCAGCAAACACTGTGTGGCTTATTCGTTTGTTCATAAAAATTCCTAATTTTAAAATCAGTACTGTATTTTTTTCTCTCTAAAAATACTATTTAAACTCGAATTACCTGCAATTTTATACGAGATTTTCGTGTTCAAAACAACAATTGCATAGATTTTCCGCTAGATAGCGAAGTATGTTATTAAAAATCGTCGTGTTTTTCACGATAAAATAAACTGCATATCGCCTAGGTATTTTTTTTTTAATGATTACAAAATTGGAATTCCACATATATTAAAAAACAGAGTAGGTAATACTTATAAAATGAAATCAAAAATAATAATTTGGAAAAAACGTTATTCACAACTTTTTAATAAGTATCCATTGTTTTTTGTTTTCGTTTTCTTGTAGGTACCTATTTACTTTAAACGTGTTATTAAATTGATTACATATAACATTATATCAGTTGTATACCGCATAAGAGTGAATTTTTCGTTTGAAAAATTATGCTTTATAAATACAAACAAATATTCTATTCTATTCATAGATAACCTTAAAAAATAAAATAGCAACTTTATAATTTTATTTCAAGGTCACAATACGATTTTGAATTGCATAATTTCGGTTTTTTTTTCTAGTAAGTACGTAATTTCATTTCGAGAGTTATTGTACAATAAGCCACGGAGATAATGCCGTATTTCATTCATTATAATATATACTCCATATTTTGATTATATTTATTGTTCTTAAACTTAAAGGTATACAATAATATGGGTATTGGTTATTTATTTATAAAAGTAATAATTAGATGAACTCACTATATGCGGTTAAACTTTTTCGGGATAAGTCTTTTGAATTTCTTTAACAATTACGCGAATAAAATTACGCCTAACGCACATTTGCACATTGCTTTAATGTGAGACTATTTTTTATTATTTTGTTGAATATAATTAAATAAATATTTAAAAATATCCTAAATTTAAATAAGTAACTGTTTCAGAGTTATAATAATATTATATATTATATATTATTATTATTATATTATTATTACTCTGAGGTAATTGTACTATAAAAATGTACTGTAAAAAAAAAATAACAAAAGTAGAAATAGGTTATTGTGGGTTTTTGTCGTCAACAAAGTGTTGATAATACTTATTTATAATGTTTGTATATTTTTAATAGTTATAATAGTTTACTCATAAAACTTTGTTTCTCGGCCTATCGATTTTACATAATACATTTTATTTTATACATTTTGGTATTTTTTTAACATATTTTAGGATTTTGTACATTTCTAGAGCTTTTTTTCTCAAGGATTTCTTAGATAAATTTTTAAGACAATTTAAACTCAACAAATCGAGAATAACATACAAATAATACAATTATTTAATTTCTATTTTTTTGTTTTTGGAGAGCATTACTGCTTTAAAGTTTTTTAGGGCATCTGCACTAATTATAATATATTATATTCATACACTCAATATATATATATATATAGGTAGTAAATTATACGAATTGGAGATGTTTCTCGAATTTGAAAAGAAATACAAACATATTTTGTTGGCAGTGTTACTATTTTATCAAAACAAAATTGTTTAACCTAACCTAACCTATGTATCGACATGTTATTATTACGACGTTTTTGTTCGTCGATTATTCTACAATCGAAATTTGCAAAATTGTATCTAACATTTAGATGGTGTAAATCTCTACACTTTAAAAAAGAAACGCAAAAATAAAAATGTTATTTATGATTTAACATGTTAATATTCATTTGACGCAATGATTATACTTTTACTGATATTTAAAACACGCAATAGATACACAACAAGTAACTATTAAGACACTTTTAAAGTATTTTAAATAGGTATATTATGTATTTAGGTACGTAATACATTGTAAACGCAACATCGCGGAGTTATAAAATAATGTTTTTTTTTTTTCGTTTTTGGAAACCATAGGTATAATTATTGAATTTTAAATATTTGAAGAAACAGAAATCGGCGATGGATTATTTACGATCCGTGTACTCGTGATATAATACACGTATAGGCCAAAAATTTAAATTCAATTTAATGTACGTAAAAAAAATGTACGTACAATATATTACAATATCATCAGGCGGGTAAGTGGGTAAATTATTACCCATATTGAAATCGACTATGTCGTCGTTAAAAACATTGCGTAATATTGTTAATAAATTATCACTCATAACAACGCGATATTTTCAGGTTAACGGGGAGGGAGGGGGTTGGAATAATAATTTCGTAAGACGGCGTTACGTTTTATTTAATAATAATTAATTTATCAATAATAATTCGGTGTGCGGGTAACGTTTTTAAATATCAATTCGTATTTAACGAAACACCTCTTGATACTTGAATCCGTAATTATTATTCGTAAATCGATATCGCATAACTTAAAGGATACCGGTACCACTGCCCACAGTGATTTTACGACCGTAACATAATATTATATTATGCTATTCACTGACAAATGTTTGCACAATCAGCTACATAACGACGACGACGACGACGACGACGCGCGTACAACTAACTAAATGACATTTGCATCGGGGTTACTGCCGTTTTCAACACTTCTATTATGCAGTTAGGTTAGGTCAGGTTGACGCTGCCGAATTCGCTCGAGCGCGACTTGTTTGTTTGTTTTTTTTTTTTTTGCTCGAAAATACGCTTTACGGGCAGATAGCCAGAGACGTATTTACATTTACGGGACCGCTGTTCCTTACATGACATCATAAAAAAATACGTATTTTTTTCTCAATACATTTCCAGATGCACACTTTTTGCTCTGAAATAAGCTTTTTCAATTTATTTTCCACGTGGTTTCCCGTTTTCCAAGACCGTGACCACGAAAAAACAAAGCAGTAAAATCCAAAATTTTTTATTTCCAATTAATTTAACGACCTTTCTGAAAAAAGAAAAAAAAACATATATTTAAGGCACCTAGAACACAAGGTGATAGATTTAAACATTAACAATTTTTTTGTAAAAAACTACGAGCAAGACTCTTTAATGCATTACCAATTCAGTGATTAAAGTGGGAAAAACTTCAAAGGAAACCATATTTACCGAAAATTTAGGCGGTTTTTCGAGAACTAACTAAACGCAACCAAACTTCCTGAAAATCCATTATGAAAACATAAATGAATTCCAAAATGTTCTTACATCACACGTATTTGTTGTTTAAAAATAATTAAACTGAAACTCCATCCCTTCCCCTTAAAGAAATATGATTAAATATTATCCTTTACATATACCTACTTAATCTGATTATGTAAAATCAAATAGGAATTAAATAATTTATTTTCAATAGAATTAATTCGAGTTGTTTTAACGGTATCATTAAAAAGCCCCCAGTAACTATGGGCGGATAGACCTACTGGAAAGTCGAGAATTTCCCGGTGGGCTCCCCGATGGAGCCCTTGTTTTGCCCTTGGTAGTGATGGGCACGACTGATTGGAAACTATCGGTCTATCCATGATGAATCCGGGTATATTAGTCCATCATGTAACAGGCCAATAAGCAAAACAAAAAGTTCAGATTTTTTCATGTTTTCCAATTTTAAAATTTCCCAGTAGACCAAAAATGGTTTATCCATCCATACCAGTGACTACTTTGGAGATTTAAATTAAAATAGATGGATTGTTTCAACCACTGTACCTATCGTATATTTTTTACTGTACGCGTTTTCGTCGACATTCGATAAAATATACCTATATTTTTTTTTTTTTTTTATCTTGACGGTATGCCGCGACACTGAGCGCGTAGGTAGGCATCCGTTAAAATTTCCACCTGAACACACCCGTGCAGCCGGTATTATATCGTAGGGAAAAAAAATGGATAAAAAAAAAAAATGTGGATAGGTATGCCTATGAATCGGGACGAGGTCGTGTGAAACCGGCGGCGTTTAATCGAAATTTGATTGCGCCGCCGTCCATCCTCGCGTGCCTAATTTGCGCCCGCCGCCGTCACCGCCGTGATGTTTCACCGCACACGGCGCCTATCCGTTTTTTTTTTTTCCAACTTTCAGAAAATGACATTGCACCGAGATAACAACCGCCGCCGCAGTATTTACCGTACAGCTGCTCGCAACCGTCAGCTGTACGTGCGAATATTCCGTGTTATTTATTATAACGTATTTGTCGTTTTTTCCGTAGGAACGGCCGACCCCCAAGTGGCGGGCGGCACTATGGTCACCGGCGCTCAGAGCGTACAGCAGCAGAACATCGCGGACGTGTGCTTGACCAGCATACCCTGCAACCCCCGGGCCCGGTACCGGAGTTTCGACGGCAGCTGCAATAACTTGCAACAGCCCGGTTGGGGTTCGGTGAACACGGCTCTGGTCAGACTATTACCGGCCGCATACCAGGACGGTAAGTCGATTTGTATAATAATAACAATAATGATAATGTATACCTGATAATAATATTGTTACGACGTTTTACCATTCGATAGCATTAAAATAAACCGAGTGAGTATGATGTACAGATTTGACGTTAGTCGAACTGTAAGTATACATTGTACAATAGGCAGGGGCGTCATTCTTGGAAAAAATAAACCTACAGAGCGAATGTCGTACTTTTCAACGATACTGACGATTTGGTTAATCCGAGAACCAGGAAGGGACACGTTCCTCTCGCTTTGCCCCCCCCCCCACAGACGCCCATGAGTGTACGTGGGTGGGTACTCGTGATTAAACTGTATAATTGTTCCTTTTTTTTCTCCTTCGAGTGCTTATAAATTATAAGTCGATTTGTGTTATAACGAATAATTGCAACAACAATACAAACATTAATTTCGTGTTGCGTTCTTCATAGTTTTTGTTCAATTTTCAATAGATTGTTCAGCATCGAAATCCGGGCCGTATATTTTTATTTACTGGGTGTATAATTAGTATAATAATATACACATTTATTAAATACTAATTGTTAATTAACTATATTTGATGAAATACATTTTTGAATTTCGTGATTAAAATTAATTACAACTAAAATTCTTTTTCGCTCTAGTATTTGTCCGTAATATAACCATATTGCGATTAATATCGTAATGATAGTACCGATGTACACTTACCTAAATAATGTTTAGACGGTCCATATGATAATTGATTTTTTTTTTTTTTTAAATGTTATTAAGATGATAAATCATACGTTAAAAACTATTATTAAACTGCTATTTGGACAATACCATATGAAATATATAAATTTGCTCTTGTTTTCGTATCTAATTGTATAAGTGAATCAATTATTGCATAGAATATTACGTATGTTTTACCAAGGCTACGTTCATAAAATAGAAAAAAAAAAACGGATAATTTCGATACGACCTGTACGCACGTGTATATATCTATATATATATATATATATAGGTAATAGTGTTGTAATTATTTTAAAAACGTTCTTTCGATATTTTATACATCATAAGTATTAATCGTTAGGCTTTAATGATTACTTACTATGATAATATTCACTCAGTTATTTTTATTTTTGCTTTTTATACGCATTTCATTAATACCGTATTATCATTTACGATATTTAACGCCACCGTAACCTGCGCAAGGTAAACCTGTTAAATATTCAATATAATTATCAATAATAACAATAATAATAATAATAATATTAAGACAGTGAAAACGAATGATAGATATAGTCTTCGAAATTTTAACAAAAAGTCGAGTTTGTCACTGTACACAATATTGTATAATATTATGTAATTATAATACGATATAATATTATTATTATAGTATCGTGTGTTTGCCTACCTATAATTCAATAATCGATAGAAATGACAATTTCGCACATTTCCGGTAATGTGTATACTTAATTTAAAACTACGTTTAAATTTTACAAATTGAAATTTACGAAATTCACGGCATTCTGTAGGAGCGTATTCAGTGTTTATTTTTGTTTTTAGAGGGGAGAGCGTGGTAGTCAGGATTAAAGTCATTTTCGATTTTCCGTGTAGTTTTCTTAATTATCGAGCATATCCTTATCAACTTCTTACCTAAATCAGTGGCATACCCGTCTCCGGTATCAGCTAAATCCCCAAATCAAATGTTTCACTTCAAAAAAACGAATGTGACAAAAATTAACGCCACTGTAACGTTTTAAACCTTTTATTAATACCTGTGCGAACGAATGAATTAATACACAAATTATTATTAAAAACTGAAATATCGTTGAAATCTCACTTTTATCAATATACACGTATATATATATTAAGGTGGTCATTATATTTGAAGTTCAGAAATTTGATACAGAGCCCCTCCAGATTCTTCCTCTAATAAAAAAAAATTGTTTATGCGATTTGGTCTCAATTGATAAACTATAAGACGTGCCTCGAAAGAGTTGAATTTTTGAAATTGGGAATAGTTGTTCAGTTTTTCTGTTTTTCTCAAAAACGATTATATTAACGATAAAAGTGTACAGAACTTGTATTATTAATATTAATTATATATATATATCTTAATGTACATATGTCACCACGAAATCAATTGCTTATTTGTTTTTAGAAATATTATCGACCCATAACACTGTCTTCCAATCCTGTACCGCATTGATTTCACTGATTTTCAAAGTCTATTTTCAAACAGTCTATCAGATAATCGTATCTTAACATTCCTGCAATTTCTCCGTCTCTTTTCTACCAAATTTATTGGTCCAGTATTTTAAATGTTACATATTTTCCAAAAGCAAATTTTCTTTGATTACTGCAATGGGAGATCATTTTTCTTTGGTTTACCTTGCAGTTTTCTTAGCAATTAGAAAAAACGCAGAGCAAACGGAAAAGTTTACGGCAATAACGATTAAATTTGTTGAGCGTAATATAGTTAGTTTGTTTTTCAATAAGTTTGTTCATATGAAATTTCTTCAAAAATCGTAAATATTACGGCATTTTATATTTTGTAATTTGCATAATAATGATATCCGGAACGGCGTATTACATTATTTCCTGTTACAGAGCACAAATAAGTACCTAATCATTTTAATTAATTGCTAATTCGTTCTGATTTTTAAAACTGCGTGATAATAATTACGGAATAGGAGTTTACTATAATAATTGTATAAACACGCACATATATATATATACGTACCTGTACGATCGCGATGACGAAGAGACCAAATTCGAAAATTATGTCTCTTAGAAACTCGTTTTCGAAATTCGCTCAAGGACATCCGGGAATCTATCGCTGCATGCAGCATATCCGTGGATGACTGTATGTCCGTATTTTTTTTATTTTTTTTTTTCATACGCGGGCATAATTTTACTTTCTTCGGCCACAACCGGTATCCGCGATGATTTCTTATACGTTCCGGACTCGGGCCTAAATTGTGTACAATATATAATGCCTAGAGTGTACAACAATAATATTATAATTGCATACGTTCGACATTTGTGATTCTAAGACTGTCCAAAAAAAACGATTAAAATATTTCCCGTCATAGTTTTTAACATGCCTAATTAATTGATTAGCTGTGTATCGGCGGGCAAACTCGCAATTAATAACGGTAATTATTGACTCGAGATAAATAAACTAAAAAAAGAGGGTTCTGTTAAAATTCAACGAAAAATACAAGTTTAACTCGTTCAGTTAAAAAAAAAAAATTCAAAAACAAATAAAATATTTAACTTAACTCTGGTATACGAGTATTAATTCGGGATCTTAAAAATTTGATACGGTTAAATTTTATTTAAACGCATCGTAATATGTATAAAAAAAATTTAAAAATACCGCCTCAAAAATTCAATCTAGATCTATTATACTTAACCGGATCTAGATGAAAATATGACTAATGAAAAATCGAGTTAACACAAAAAGGAAACTAAACCGGTCAAATCGGTTATATTATAGTCGACGACAATTATAATTAACTAGGTAGTTAATGTTCACTGCAACACATATATAGATGCACAAAATATTTAGGTACACGTTTTAGCTTGTTAAGAACAATAATTGTAAAGTATTCGCGTATTGAGTTTGGTGATGATTGTAAAATATTAGTCTCGCGTGTGTCGTAAAGTAAATGGTTTATTTATAATATTGTATACTTGTGTGTTTAACGATAATAACCGTTGCTGCTTTTGTGCGTTGTTTGCTTTAGGCGAGAGCAGACCGAGATTGACCTCATTTGGACGGGTACTTCCCAGTGCCAGGCTCATTCGGACGACGTTGTTCCCGGAGCGGAACGTGCCCGACATACGTTTCACGCTGGCCGTCATGCAGTGGGCGCAAGTTGTCGCACATGACGTCACTCTGCTCACGGAGAAATCTGGTAAGTCGACGGTATTAGGTGAAAACAATAAAAAAATAAAAACTTGAACAATAAATATTGATAACAACATGGCGTTTGGTGGAGCGGCCGACAGGCGTTTTCTAGTCACTGGTCGACTGACTTGACGAAAAAAATAACACTCGTGAGCAGCGAAGCTCCGTCTCTACAGAGACGAGTTTTTGCCATATTATTGCCGTCACTTAATTCGAATCTGTATATAGAGGTGTTAAAAATCCGGCATTTCCTATAAAATAATGAATTTCGGACTTACAAATGACGGGAACAAGGATTAAGAGTTGAAACCGCCAAATCCCTTTCCACGTATTAACGAAATACATTTTCGAAATTGCATCCCCGTAGCTTTATTGGAGGGAAGCTGTAGAGGTAAACAGAGCTTAAAATACACTCTCTTCAAAATAAAATCTTGAATTCCTACTGAAATACAACCCAACTTTTAAAACTTCAACAATACAACTCTTAATTCTCGAGTTTGAGCTCACTTAGTTCACTTAAAGTGTTTATAAGTAGAGTAATGATTTTATGCAGGATGATTAACATAACATAAGACTCTCATTATCTCGGAAATTATGATAAACACACACAACCCAGTGCAAACATCTGTATTTTCGGAAAAATTCAATAAACAAACTCTTGAAGTTTTTATTTATATATATATATATAGAGAGAGAGAGAGAGAAAGAGAGATTAGTAAGTTAATAGGTTTAATAAGATACAACTTCTCGCCACTCGTGAACTCGAACGAACGTTATTTTTCGATCGGTAATTGGTATGTTAAAGTATAAATCGATTTTCGACATTATTTCCATTATAATATAACCGAAAATGAACGAAATTCGCACGCACTCAATGATAATGGTGTTTATAATGTGATTATTATACTATCGTGACGAGTGCAACAGCAGCCCCCCACGGTGTTCGACACGTAAATCGATGGTATAAAACTTTTATCACACGCAACCGCGGTATTATTATTGTGTCGAAATCAAAACGATAGCCGTTAATACTTTCTGTATACAGGGTCTATAAAATTGCATGTTATAATCGAATTTTCCATGAAATACTTATTTTTCCAAAAAATAATTGACCGATTTAAATACATTGTAAAATCATAAATTCTATAATGTTGCGTTGTTCTTATTTTTTCACCATTATTTTTGAGGGTTGAACGGTTACCCTATTTATTAATTTGCACATAATATCATAATGTATCTTTAGGTGTTGAAAGGTGGTGATTTTCAACAATTCGGATCAGAAAAATAATATTACGAGTTTTACGTGTATACGCGTGTTTTTAAACATCGTCGTTTAATACCGTAAACGTTTCTTTAAAAAACTTCGAAAACAATCAGTGTAGGTATAGTTTCAGAGTCCGGCCAATGAAATCAGACTCAGATCGAGACTTGAATCAGTTTGAAGGCTCTTATTTAAAAAATTTAAATCGCACACGTTTATTCAACCACAAAAATTGCGGAGGTGAATCATATTTTCAAAAAAAGTATTGCTGAGATCCCTGTTCCTCTTCCCCCCTCCCCTCTGGGTGGTTTCAAAATAGAAACGAATTTTGATTGAGGAAATATTATTTTAAAAGCGGTATAGCCTTTATTTTAATTACATTTATTTTGACATTTACGAAACATTACGATAATACATAGTGTATGCATTTAACCGAAATTTTAGACATTTAAAACCTGTTTATAAACTAGACATTTTGAACGGAATTCATTATAAGATTTTGAAAGATGGCGTTTATACAGTATACCGAGTTATATTGATCACCGTAATAAGAAAATTAGATGAGTAGGCATCATTATCGCCTCATTCGGCGATCCGCCGCTGGACGAAAACGATGCAATTTTCACCGATGCGGCGCTACAATAACGTGGCGAGGTCGTGGACTTGACACAGTTCCGGTCATGGTCATCATCAAAACTATATAATATTCCTATCCTCGTGCCTGCTAAATCGTTCGTTAAACAGTAGCGTCTTCGTCGCACTGATCGTTTTCGTTAATCGGTCCTGTTTATATAAAGTTGTTTTTTTTTTTTTTTTTTATGAGTTAAGACGCACGAGCCCGAAGCGATGTGTTTGATAAATCGCCGAGGTAGGGGGGGTGGGAATAATGGCAATAAACATAAAGCTACGGACAAAATAATAATATTATCGTGTCGGTCTATCGATGCGATTATCGACTCGACGACGACGTGCCGTCTCTCACGTTAAAAAATTATATGTTATTAAATTACTGTATACTTACGCACTTTTTATTTTCATAATAGAACGCGATACCCGCACGTGCTATCTCCGTGTTAAAAACGTAATAAATCGTGAATTCGCGTTCAGCTGAGATAACTTTGTACGTTGTGCCGTCAGTTTTAATATTCGACCCGTTAAGGTAAAAGCGCGCGACCGCGCAGGTTTTATTCGATGTTTTAATTTTGAAACGAATATAGCATTTTTAGAGAATTTTGATTGTATTGCCGTGGCATATCTCGCATAAAAACGAAAATATCGAAAAACTCGTACGCGGCCGTACAGATAACGTTTGCGCCTGTATGTTGAACGATAGATCGATAACTCGCTCCAGACTCAAAATTAACATCCCATTGTCCCCGCTGAACGGAAATTCGCCATACCGCACGTGCGTAAGACGGAGTCAGCGCTCGCGAGTATCATACGTCGCGTCGACCGACTCCGGGACGAGGTCTACCGGATGTGTGCTTAACTATTTAATATAATTATATACGGTATAGATTTCGATGGTGCGTTCGATAAAAATAATAATAACATTATTATTATTATTATTATTATTATTGAATTATTATTGAATTATTGGCCGTTAATTGGACGCTTTACGCGATGTCGAAACGTCCAGATCTTTCCCGTTTTGGATGTCTAGCGTGTATACCGTCTTCCCGACGACAACGGCAATATCCGAGGTCGCCGCCGCCGTCCAACAACACACACGCCTATACGGAATTTTTATTTATTACTATTATTTTTTTTGTTTTGTGTCAAGAAACACGGTACACTTTCCTCGTTAATTATCACATATGACGGCATAATAAAGTAGGTATAATATTAATAATATCATGTGTAACGAATATAGGCAGGTAGGTAGGTAGCTATAGCGTAAAGTCGATACACGACGGTTGCGAGAAACTTTGTTTCAACGGAATGTATCACACCGCGTGTCACCGTCGTGTGTAACATCATTATGTAGGTACGGTGTGTGTGTGTGTGTGTGTGTGTGTGTGTGTATGTGCGCGCGCGCATACAGGGTCACCGATTTTGCATATATAATGCAAGACAGTGTTAACTGTAACGATCATCATGGCCAGTTTCAAAAAATAAAGAGACATACCTAGCAAGATGTGTGGGGCCATCTGTTGTACGTGCAAAATTGAGGAGGTATAGGGAAAATTTAATTTATATCTGTACGCAAAGATTAATCATTGTTAACGAAACACGCTCCGCTCAGAATCTAAAATGCAAAATAAAGTACCCATTTATAATGTGAATAAATTCATGTTTTCATGATTTTTCAAGTTTGACTTTAGTGACGGAAAACTACTGTTCGCGGTTTTTATTTTTTCAAAAACCATTTTAAAAACTGAAATCAATAAGAGAAATCAACTACATTCGTCTCTCCGTTTCCACCTCTGTCTTCATCACAATTAACAGTTATAAAAAGCCTATCCTGTAACAACCGAATCATTTATAATAATACATTGTTTTCCATCTGTATCATCAAGTTAACTAAAAATAAAAATAAAAATTTGTTGTTTGTTCCAAAAATACCAATAGCCTTGTGTTTGCCACCCTTTAGAGGTTAACTAATTGTCAAAAAATTAACTGTACCTATTTAAATATTATTGATAATATTAAACATCATTGTTAATACATATTTTGATTTGTAAATAGATTTGTTTTTTTATTTTTCCATTTATTTTGACCGTTTTCGTTTTTTACTCAATATTTCACACCGGATTATTTACGATCTAGTACGATTCTTATAAGCTATATGTACATTGTACTTAATAGTTGTTATAACCCTCGCCAATGGTTTTTTTTTTTTTTTTAACTACGTTTAACTATTGTTTAACTACATTCGCCGTAACAATTGGATTATTTAATTTTTAATGTATTGTTCTTGACTAACATTAAATCGCTTTACACTCGTTAAAATAAATACACCTTTGATAAAGAATCATTGAAAGCAAATTGTTTTCGCCATTTCGAGAGCTATATACAATATACGAGGTACTTTATGATGCGATTTCGTGCCATAAAAACGAAGTGTTTTGTAATAAATATAAATAAATACGTATATAATCTTTGCGACGACGACTATTTTTTTTAAGAACTTAAACGTCGATTTTTTTTTTTTTTTTTTTGGTTACTTTCTTACCAATTTTTGTGCTTCTGCAATTATTTTATAATAATAATATATCATACCGAAAATATAAATATAATTGATCACGTGCTATTATCATAATACAAACGAATCTGTGAAGACGACGAGTATATACAGTGAGTTTCATTCAAACAGTAACACGAAATATTTCATCCGGGTGGGAATATGCGATCGAAGCTGAGTTTTTGTCTTTTGGAGACATTTACAAACTTTAATCCCGATAAAACTTACATTGTCTTAAACGGAAATACCCATTTTCAGCACCAAGTTCGAATAGTTCTATCTGATTATTATTACGGTTCTATCTTGCAAATTACTCAAGAAACAGTCATCTAAATTTCAATAAAAATAATACAATTCTTTCTTGGTTTTTCAACAAACTGAAAACATTGTATAATATTTACAATTTTCCTTTATTCATAATTTTTTCTTCAGACATTTGTCAAATTGTTTTTAATTTTCAAAGCCACGCGTTTTAATTTTTTGAAAATGCCGAGAAAAAATCTCAATCAATTTAATTCAATATGGACATATCTCTGGCATTTTTTTGAGACATAAGAAAAAATGTTCAGTTAAATAGTAGAACTAGATACCTTTTCGAATTCGACGTTTAAAAGCTTGACTTTTCTATTTAAGTAAATGTAAGTTTTTAACCTTATCTTTAGAGTATCTGCCGAGTGATAGGACATAATACCTTTTGAAACTATATAGTTCCCCAAACTGTTGCATTTCCCGTGCAGCTCGATTGACATGTACTTTTCAACTTTCAAAAGCACTTTTATAATCATTTGCATCAATTTTTAAAATATTGGCGTTGGTTTGAGGTTGATTGTTGAAGTTCAAATTAACTATATCGACTCAAAATAGGTGTTCCCAATAAATGATTTCAATCTTTCTAATAAAAAAAAACTCCCATTTCATATTTCGTGTTACCGTCATTCGAGATAAAAATACTCGAAAAAGTATACAGATTCATGTTGAGATGTACATCGTAAAAGAGAGGAATTTAAAATAATCAATTTTGAGTTTATTGAGCTTTATTTGTTATTTAACTTGACATAACAACAGTGTCGAAATTTTCACTTGAATCGGTTATAATAAACCTGCTTAAAAAGTTTCTTGAGATCTTTTAACTTTCCAAATATATTCAGGGTCGTTCAATTTTTTTTTTTTTTTCTATTCATTTAATTCATATACTGTGCATATTTTAAAACAATTGATTGCATTGTGGAATTACAATATAAGTCCGATCTTTAAATTCGTTACCCCGAAAAGTTGGGAAATGTCAATTATTTCTTTGTTGCATGTGTCGATATTTAAATAACTATATAACAAAAAATAAACGGTTTTTTTATTTTATTATTATTATTATTATATTTTTTTTTTCTGTGCCTGTGTAGTATTTTTCAATCGTCGCGTCGTCGGAACATGTTATTAACTATTTAATAAACGTACGCGTGTTTTATTGTGATGTACTTACCTGCAAATAGGAAATCAGGAACTACGCGCAGCGGCAGTAGTAGTAGCTAACATTTAATCGGATTGCGTAATCGTCGTCGTAATTATTGTCCAGCGACTTTCACCCGACCGCCTATACAATACTAATAATATTTTTGTTGTATAGGCGCCCGTATCAAAAGCGAATTGACTTCAATCCGCTTCCGTGCCCGTACACGTACACGCGTACAAACGCGCGCGTCGCGGTCCCGGGACGGGATTTGAAACGGTTTCGAAGCGTATTATTGGCCCATTGCAATACGATCATTGATACACGATTACGGTCGTCGTATTATCACGAACAATACCCACTTGGTCAGACCGATCCAATTGTAACCCGATGCCGCGGCGAGTTTATTCGTATGTAAACGTTCGACAGATCGTAATCGCAATAAATACCACCGTCCGTTGGGATACGTTACATCGTCTCGAAACGAAAAACGAAAAAAACATCGGAAACCCGTCACGCCGCACGCGACACGGCCATTTATTGCGGGCGGTAACAATAATAGACAATGATAAACGGTAATGAAAATGAAGTGACCGTTTTTTTTTTTTTTTTGAGCGTTCGCCGATTACAGACGATACGCAATCTAAAACAAGTTTGATTTCGCTTGAAAACGATCCAGTTATACCAAAGCATCGACGGCTCGATTCAATAAGCTTTTAAATAGCACACAAAATACGTTCGAATGTTCGCGTGTTCAACGAAATTTATTAGTCCGGTATGCTCGCAGTTATTGACCGACACGTAATTTTAATTGGATTCAAATTATTACTGTCGTTCGGCCCATAACGGGTTTAGTGGCGGTACCGTAGATTTCTATGTACTATTACGGTACAGGTCGAATGTAATTATATTTTTTTTTTTTTTTTTATCGTTTGAAATTAACATAGTTTTACGTAACTGAACGCATTTCCGGCCAGACAAACGGACGTGCTGTCTGCGGTCAACGTAATATTTGACAGGCGATTTTAATTTACATTTTTTATTTCGTTTGATTATATTTCTCCTATACAGAATGATCCATATTAATCACGAACCCGTCGTTTTATCGAAAGATTTTTTATGAATTTGATTTCTAGTTGTTTTTTTTTTTTCAATCTTTTAAGCTTTTTTTTTAACACTAGTTTCAATGTTTTACTTCTACTGATTGTACTTTAAATGAGCTAGTATATTTACACGCGTTTGATTTTCATATAATAAGTTAATAAGTGCATAATAAACGCCACGTTCCTAGATGATAAATCGATTTGCCATCTTTATACCCTTATACCTTCTTACTTCTCCGGTTTAAATTTTTAACTGCAGTTATAACTCAATGAACGATAAATCCGCAATATTATGTAGTGTTATGCATATCAAAATATATAGAGGAATAGTCTCTTTTCGAATGTGTTGTTTATTAGACGGAGAAAGAGTTCGCATTTGAATATCAAAAGTGTATACTGATTTTTGATATAAATAATAGTGATAAACAAAGTGGTATGCCTAGGCATTTTCAATGGGAAGAGACACGCCGAATATTACTAATAAATAAATCATGGCATCTTTTTTTTACCCAACTTGACAATTGGAATTTCGAAGCTGAATAAAAAAAAACACAATTTCTAATCGATAAATCAACCTTTACTGGTTGAATTACTGGATGAATAGTATTCATCAGTGTTGAATAATCATATTTGTTGTATTGAGGGGGTTATGACCTCTATAATCCCCTTCCCTTGTATACATCTCTGAATAAACAATTGAAAATAGTTTTTAAATAAAACTTAAACGATTCATCCATATGTCGATAGTAAAAAAAAAAAAATCAAATTAACCCAAAATCCTATAAGATAACCGCTGCAGGTTCATAATAAATGGATCACCCTTTGTATACTATACTTTTGTGATCACATTGTCATAAATACTAGTGTAACCATTTTCTATAATAAACATACGTCGTCGTCAACTGCAAACATACGGATGTGTTTTTTTAATTTTTTTTTTTTACATAACTCATTTGCTTATATATACGCACACATACGTACTTATAATACACTCATTGTGACAACAATACGGTCGTATATTATTATCATAATCATGAATAATACGGTCTCGCGCGTGATAAAATTCTGTAAATGCGTGTTGTTTTCACCTCTTGAGTTTCGGACGTGACGTTCTGTAACAATATATAAAATTATTGTTTTTGAACGCGGAAGAAAGCGAAAACGTCGTTGTATTATTATTACCTACGGTAATTTCGTTTTTGACCCGTAGTCAGTGGTGAACAGTGTCTGGCGTGTCGTTTAAGTACCCGGAAATCTTGAACAATAATTAAATGGGAACAGCCAAACAGGGATAGAATGAGAACTGAATTCAATCTCGGGAATTAGAATTTATCTAAGCCAACCGAAATTTTCTCCCCAAACAAAATACCAAAAAATTGTCCTTGCTACGCTCAGTTCTAATGTTTATATTCTTTATTAAATCCTACAAACTATAAGAATAAAAATTAGTTTTTAAAATTAAATTCACCATGAAATATTGCGTAATATTTACAATAAATAATCTAATTTTTTAAGTTAACAATGTTTAAGACATAGTCAACTTTTCAATTGATTTAAAACTGATGGAGATAGGTAAAAACAAATTAATCAAATTATTTTATTAGAACACTTTTACCCAGAGAATAAAATGGCCCAGGCCATCTAGAAAATTTCTCTCTCCAGACCGATTACTCAGCTCTTGAATGGGAAATCTATTTTAAAGCTCTACGTTTTATAGATTTTCAGCCAAGTACCTGACCGATAATTCGAAAAGACTAAAATTAATTTTCTGTACGAATAATCCCCAAACGATAATTTTTTTTTCTTATCAAATTATATTGTTCGTAAAGGTTTATTTCCAATTCCAGGTTTAAATTCCTAGGTGTACCTATTAACGATTTATACGTTTGGAGAACGCCCATTAAATCACACGGACGGAAACGGCCTATCGGTCCCGGTTGACGGCGCTGCCCGGAAAATGAAAACGAAAAAAAACTTCGAATTTCGTTATTTTATACACATATTATATGTGACTACAAATAATGTGCATTTGTTTTACTACAGGCCACACAAGTGATTCGCTGCGAAAAAAAACATTTAAAACGTACCTATCGTTTATACGGTCTAAAGAAAATTACATTTTGAGGATATACTTAAGTTATTATTATATTATTATATTACTATATATAGGTAGGTAGATAGGTATACAGTGGATGTCTCTCTGGAATTTACCGAACCGTGACAACTAGCGATTTGCTAAATGTTTTGTTTTTTTTTTTTTAATTTTACCTATTACTCTAATATTATTATATGAAATTATTTTATTACAGTTTTACTGTAATAGTATTACTAGCCAAACACGTTTGGTAAGCAAAAAAAGCTTTAATTTTGCAAACCGTAGTGTTCATACCTGAAATGACGCAGATTTTTCATCCGGCGGTATTTTTTTTGAAACGTTTTATCTTTGTATAATCTCAAAATTAAAAAAAAAAAAAACCAAAAACAAAAGATGATACTTCTGTTTTATTCTACCATGGTTGGCTGTAAGACAGGTACAAAAATACAACTAATACCATCATATACTTTACCAGTTTATCGAGCTCCACTTTGAATCGTTCTTTGATTTTAATGATTCCATCCAATTTATTGATCGTTCCTTACTTTAAAAAAATGTATAGTAATCCTATATAGTATGTATATTATATATATATACATAAATACCTTACTAACTTCTCTCCTATTTCTATACAGTGGTCTACGTATCCATCGAAACACGTTTTATAGTTGAACATTTTCCTCCATAGTAAATATTTTAATATGTAGTGTTCTTGAAAGTTGCATTGTAAATCGAATAGGTGCTAAATCTAATTATATTGTCGCTATAGTCACACGCTGAAGTAATAACGTGAAGTGTGTCTTTCTTGTTTTTTTTTCTGTTTAGAAAGTTTTTAAAAACGCTTACAAATACCTAATTATAATAATTTATTTATATGTTACCTACTACATAATACACTAATTATTTAAGATTCAGAGTCGTAATGTTGTAATAAATATGTTTGTTTTTACTTCATCCAAAAATCTCCCAGCGTACCTTTAGCTGACCATTTAACTTGGACATTAGTTCAGGAATATTTAGGATTACGTATTTTAATGTTAAATTTGTTGAAAAATCACAAAATAAATAATCAATGAATAAAAAAACCTACTGTATTTAAGGGATCGAGTATTTGTAATCTCAAAATATTTACGGGGAAACCGTATCGCGCGATAAAAAGTGCTCGGGCTACTGATTAAATTAGAAACAAAATGTTCACGATAAATAAACTGCACAACATTTTGGTTTAATTTTTCGATATTATTACAACGAAGATTTAAAAAACGTCTAACTATTAGATTTTAAAACAGCAATAACTTATTTTATAATTATGGTATAGAAAAACTAAAATAAACTTTGCCCAGTACAAGTTCTCTTATATTAATTATGGTGAAAACTGTGTTTTTTAGTTGAGCACAGTTCGAGCAGTTTATTATCGCTCATAAAACTGTTCTTACAGTCAAATTTCAGGTTTTAGCACGTGCCATTAACTGTAATTTATAACGATGACACGTTTTGAGGTGAAACTATCGCTCAAAATCTATTACTTGTTGTATCTTTGTTTGAACTTTAAACATATTTTGTTTACTAGATAATGTTAAAAATATTAAATTTGTTAAGCACCTGGGTATTTTTATTCAATCGTCGATGTGACAATATCGCATAAACGATTATATTTATAACGTGTTTTTATCGGTACTACACAAACACGATATTAACAATTATTTTTGTTTTCTCGATTTTTCAGCTCCTGACTGTTGTGCCAGCAACGGAAAATTATTGCCGATCGAAACTTTACATCCTAACTGTTTCCCCATTCCTGTGCCAGCCAACGATCATTTCTACTCCAGATTCGGTACTGCCTGTTTGCCGGCCAAAAGAACCGTATCCTCGGACGACTTTGGATGCACTCTCAAACCACAACAAAAGGTTCGAAATTCTTTACTATTTTGTTTTTCACGTTATAAGAAACGTAATGTTACGTTATACTGGAATTCTAAAACTCGAATATCGGCAGCTGATATTTCCCATGAACCGTTTAATCACGTTAATATTTATCTTGACAAATAGTAATCCAAAAACTGCTTATAAACATAATATATGATAACCCACAAGAATGCAATAGAAATAATTTCGAGATAACACTATGCCAAAGGGAAAACTACACCGGATCCGAGTATCGACTTGAGAAATATCTAAACGTAATGACACTATCAAATCGAAATGTACGGCATCACCGGTCTCTAAATTTAACTAACAGAACTGCTTGCACTATGGAAGTACCGTTCAAATACATTTTATAAACGTGTACAAAAGAACGGATGAAAATCAATAATACCCCAGATTAGGTTTTCATATTTAATACTAATATTAATATATACATAAATTGGTTTAACGTTTCAACAATTGTTTAAAAACTCGTAATATTCATGATATTATCAAATTAGGTGATAGCGACTACCCATTTCCTGGACGCTTCCCTAGTGTACGGCGCGACGGGTCAGACGGCCGGAAACCTGAGATCGTTCAGGGCTGGAAGAATGAGGGCTCAAATCACACGCGACGGTCGCATGTTCATGCCCAACGTCAACACTCCCACGCAATCTTGTAACGTCGCAACCAATACAGAGGTGTGCTACAGATCAGGTAAGGAAATCTATATGTACAAAAAGATAATAAATATTTTTGAAATTGTAACACGCGTAATAAGGTCTAACGTTGTAAGTATTCGGTGAAAATTTCAGATCTCTACAATTATTTTAAACTGAATTGCAACAAAAAAAAAAAATATAATAATAATCTCGGAAACTGCTGTTTCCAGAAACCGTTACCTATTGAAACAATTATCTCCTCGTTTTTCCCAATTATATTAAGAAAAATCGAACAAAAATAATCAAAAGAGGTCCCCTACAATACGCTAACTGAACAAAATTCGCTATCAAAGTCCACCCCTAAAGTTTATGATCCGAAAAAGATTTCTGGTAGAAAAATGTATAACGGACAGAAAAAAAATAAATCAAATACTCGTACACATATCAATAAACACATCCATGTTAACGTTGATACTGCGTTGTAGGTTTTCTTAATTGTTCAGTGTCTGTTAATTTCAATTTCGTTTTTCAGTAGTTCATTTCAAATATGACCGTATCGAAACTCGAATTGGTACTTATAATATAATTGTAACGTATAAACGAGGTATACAATTTTCAAAATATTCTTGCGTTTTTCGAGTTATCACTTATCCGTATGGCTATATTTTAAATTTTCGAGTTTATTTCGATTTTATGCGGATAGTACTATTGTAATTTATTTTAATAGACATGTTTAAATAGCACAAGTTTACTCGTTAAATCTCGAAAAATTTGTTGTTTTTTTTAGTTGCTATGTAATTATTGTTTAATACAATATGTTTAATTTAAAGCTACTGAAAAACAAACTTGGTTCAGAACCGTTGCGTAGAATTTTTTTTTTTTGCCACGTCAATTATACAGTTTAGAGCATAACAATACGACATTATACTACGCGTAACTATAGAATATTATCATCATTGCAACCATTACCGTTTAAGGACGATTTAATTTCGAAAATACCCGTCCGGCCTCATTTTAAATAAATGTGTTTGACTACTTAACCCAGCCTAACCGATGTATACAGAGGTGCCTACCCGCCTACCTTCAGAATTTTATACACACGCGCGGGGGATTTGACTATTGTGTTTACGGCCCGTGCGAATTAATGGCATATGTAATTAATTACAAATTGCCGACAAACGACGTAAACACAACGATGTTAATAGGTATCGCAACCGTTGTAAAACTTGACCCGATTATAGCCGACCGTACGTAAAATGGAAAAAACAACACAATTTCAATATCATCCGGACTCCTGGTGTTGTCGCAAGAAAAGAATAAGACCTCAAAAATAATATACAATAAAACGGTATAGATACAAATGCCGTGGTTAGTTCTTAACTCGCACGTCTGTATTTCGTTATTGTTTTTCGGGCTATAGATTTCCCATGTAAAAAGTGCATCATATTATAACTAACACGTGACTAACACTTTGGGGAATTATCGCGGGAAAATATTCTCGGTTTTCAGACGTTTTCTCCCCGTATTATTGGGAAATCCACAATGAGGATAATCGAAAAATTATTTCTATAAACTGTTCCCATTAACTTGACACGGCATATTTTGCTACCAGAAACCACGATGATTCTGAATCGATTTCTGGTGGAAAAGTTGTTACGGACAGAATAAAACACACACACATTATACCTATTGTAAAACCAATACGTTCCTGGTCGTTTCGCTCAGAATATAAAACGCGTATATCGTTCTTTTTTTTTTTTTTCTTAATCAAAAATAATTTCGAAAGTATTTTTAATATTTTTAACCAGCACGGATATACAATACATAACATTCTTATATCAGATGATTAAACAATAAAATTTAAACGTGCAGAACAATATTGTTCGCTGTATATACTCGCAGGTAGCGTTTTACGGCCGGAACAAATTTCGAGACTTACAATTGCGCGTGATACCTATTATAAAATATTACGATGGTTCCATTTAACCGTTGTGTTATCAGCTTACAATTGATTTCTCATACATAAAAAGTAATTGCATGATAAAAGCACGTTCGACGGGGGGAGGGGGGGTAAACTAGCGACTAGCGTTGAAAATAATCTTTCCGAAATACGAGTATTACCATTTACCACACACGTATGGTAAACAGCTTCTACAAAACGGATTTTTCCGCGTCTGACCGTTATATTTTTTCATGGTATAAAAAATCAACATACGTATAGAACGACAATTTCGTCTTTAAAAATTCACAATGGAAATTCGATTTTACCCTTGCCCTCCTGGATTTTCACCGGCTGGATAAACAACGACTTCAGTTTAAAATGTTTGAACATTTCGGTTATACAGGTGACGGCCGAGTAAACCAACATCCGGACATGGCCGTGTCGCAAGTGGCCCTGTTGCGGTTGCACAACTTTTTAGCCACGGAATTCGCACAGCTCAACCCACAATGGAACGACGAAATACTGTACCAAGAAGCGAGGAAGTTCGTTGTCGCTGTCATCCAGCACATCACGTACAATGAGTTTTTGCCGATATTATTAGGTAAGGATGATAACGAATGAAATAATAATAATATTCACAATAACATTTATATGTGTTCGGTTTACAGCAGGAAAATATTGAACGATATTAATACGAATTCAATTAGATAGGCAACTAAAATGCGTTTGAGTTTATTTGTTTGCGTTTCAAAACAGAATCGCATCATATAATAACGCGATTACCTGCGTCCGACATAAGGCACCTATCAGAAAAAACAAATAATAATAGTGACCTTAGAACTCTAAAGTCTAAAGTAACGGAGCAGAATCCGTGTAGAAAAAGACTTCTGTAGGAATGAAGCCAGATAAAATCATCGTGTCAATCATGACATTCTCTTGACATATGACGCCCGTGGAACTAAGCCACGGCCTTTTATATATTTCAATATTAATTGATTTTTATTCATTGTATCCGATATTCGAATTTTTATTTCTGAGTAAATATTTTATCGTATATAATATTAGTCTTGTAGATAAAAACAAATAAGTATATTCGTTTCGAATACTCACTTTGAAAAAAGTAAACATAATAATATTCAAAGATTTATCTGGACAGAGCTCTTAAAAGTTACAAAAACAAATCGCCAAGAATGCGTGCAAAGGTAATTGCAAAACTAAAACCTCGACATGTTCAAAAATTATGTTTGAGTACAAATACAGAAAAACAAAAAAAAATCTTGATTTTCCTAATATACACTTATTATGTAAACAGTGTTTCTTAACCTTTGAATCACAACCCGATTTCGGGTCTCGGATCGTTCTAACATTTTAAAAATTGGAAAAAAAAATACTAGATGCCAACAAAAAAGATTAAAACTTAACCCTGCATTGCATAATTTTTATCCTATACCGTGATAAAAGGAATTATAACATTATATGTTTCTATACTACATTAGTATTGATACATTAATTAAGGGAAGTGTGAGGGGTGTAGCCACACTGTTAAATTTCAACATTACTTAAAACAAATCTTAGGTCACATTATATACAAAGGTTGAGAACTACAGACGCAGACGATCGATATTGTTAATTATTGTAATTAGTTGTATAGGAAATAATAAGTAAAGTTTACTTATTCCAAATATTATTAATTTCTGAGTTTCGAATTTTATTATTTTGAATTTAACGATTCCACGCTGTTTTCAGGTGAAAACTACGTACGTGAAAATGGTTTGTCTACGTTGAAACAAGGTTACAGCAATCTGTACAATTTGAACATAAATCCTTCAACGTTGGCCAGTTTCGCCGGTGGAGCGTTCAGATCGTTACACAGTCTGGTCCCGTCTGTTTTCAAGTAAGTAAAAGATGTTCTATTGTGCAGAGACTTAAAAACCGAACAACAAGTGGCAGGTAGTTGTAATTTTTTTTTCAAATCGCGTAGCTTGGTGAACGAAGATCGGGAAAACGGCGGCACGCCGACACGGTTTAGCGAATGGATGAACAAGCCCGGTATCATACAGAGACCTGGAAACTACGACATGTTCTTGAGAGGCATAGCCACACAACCGCAACAAGCCCAAGACATATTTTTCAGCGAAGAAGTGAATATTTTATTTTTTTTCTGTAACAAGTTTTGGTCGTTTAATTTCATGAGAATAATTGCGGGTTACTCGAAAAACTAATTTTTTATATTTATTTTGTACTAACAGCGTCAAATTAATTTTACGTAACTATTTTATTTATTCCGAGTACTTATATACGTGTATAATTCTATATTCGTCTGATCTATTTTCGCAGATTACCGACTTGTTATTCAGAGCGAACGGACCCCTTGGACAAGATTTGGTAGCCAAAGACATTCAACGAGGCCGGGACATGGGAATACCGTCGTACAATCACTTTAGGTCGCTGTGCGGATTACCGAAAGCCACGTCTTTCGACGAACTCAGGGACGTTATGGACGAAGACGTACGCAAATTCACTTATGCTCATTAATAATAATAATTCGAACCGAAAAATATCTTTTATTAAAATATTAAACTTTGTACCGTACTATCTTCACAGAGAATCGAACGTTTGGCCAGAATATATCCGACGGTGGACGATATCGATTATCTGGTCGGTGGAATGCTCGAGAGAATAATACCGGGCACGCTCACCACGCCGTCGTTCAGATGCGTACTCGGCGAAGGGTTCTTCCGGTACAAGGCGGGCGACCGTTTCTTCTACGAGTATGACATCGCACCAGGAGCATTTTCACCAGGTATGGAAAAAAAAAATTGTTTAAAATTGAGACGTTTGGAGTTTTGCCGGTGTAATACCGAATTATGTTTAAAAACACACTGTTCCAACGTTTCACAGTCTACTATGACGATCATTGTTATCAATGAAATTACCGGAGTAGCGGAAGTGGGAAAGGGTTGTTTATAACTACTATCGATTCTATATACAATAGGCACCCGGCCGTTTTTACGGACGTATTACGAATATGAGTTTTAGACCAGTGTCAGATTTAAATTTGTAAATTATATAGATTTATTGACAAATTGTCCGGGTTATTTTATAAAGTCAATTGTTCGATTTAACATTTAGTATATTCTAAACAAATACAAATGTAATGTGGTTATTACACGGGATTTTCAAAATGAATACCTTAATTTTGGAGATCTTCAAACTGAAAATTAAAAATCGATTTGCTTAATAACCTAGAAAATGTATTAACAAATGTCTAATTTCCCATCGTTTATTGGTCTGAACCGTATGAAAAAAAATATTTGTATCCCAAGTCCTTTAAGATAATATTTTCAACATCAAAATTTTTTTCCTCGAATTAACGACAAACTTCCCACACGATAATTATATGAGTATTATAGTGTAAAGTTTAACTAGGCATAGCTTGCAACTTCGACGATTTAACACCAAATCACGTCATTGTGCGCTATACTTTCAACTAGGGATCGACATTTTTCAGACAAAATAAAACGTTGGTAAAATGTTGGTGGAACTCAAATTCGAATAATTGATTTTTGGACAATACTGGGAAATTGTATTATTTCAAAATAAGTACTCTGATTTTCCCGTTCCCTATCCAGTTTCAACAGTCTGTATAAATATTCTATAATAATGTGATTTCGTTATTGCGTTTCAGATCAACTGTCCATCATCCGAAGATTCTCGTTGTCCACACTGATATGCTTGACCGGCGACAATATACAGACGATGCAACGGAACGCGTTCCTGCAGATCAACCCAGGGTGAGTTTGGCGGTTTAGTTTTCGTATTGAAAACAACACAAATGCATCTAATGCGACAAATGCATTCGATTCGTTATTTTTCAACCCCGGCCGTTCGCTGTAATAATATTTTTGTTCATAGGAACGCGTTGATCCCGTGCAGACAAATCCTCGCGGAATTAGATTTGGCGCCGTGGCGATTCCAGAGTTAAAACGGTACCGGGCATATTAAAAGTGTCGAGCAAGCGGGGAAAAAAATTCGACGTTGCGTTTGTGATATATTATATTATTTGTCGTGTATATATAATATTATTATTAGTTAATAAGTTTACCCAGGAATTATTAGTTAAGCATTAGACGTTTAACACATTATTTGTACGTTTTATATTAGCCGGATAAGATTAAATTATTTTACTATGTCACCATCGGGGAAAAAAAAAAATATGTTACCGCCGTTACCGCGAGATCATTTCAGACATTACACGCGGACCGTTGGATTTCGACGATTGTTGCCGTTTTAATATTTTCAATACCGTCGTAGTACCACATTTCTAAACGTGCCATGGCAAAATATCGAAACGAAATTTGCTTAGTCCAAAAAAAATGTCCACATATAAACAATCGAGTTTTCAGGGCGTTAAAATACTACAACACTTACGCGGTTACTGTTTTTCTTTTTTTTCTTTGGAACTATGTAATACATTATTATTATATAAAATATGCTTTTTTTTTTATGAAAATATCGTATATACTTATTCCTAAATAATTAGTTTTGTATTTAATTTATTTTATAATATATTATGTTATTTTTATTTTACGTTGTATATTTACGTTGTACCTAACCGTTAAGTATATTGACGATAATATTACGATTACGATGTATCTTATCAATATTAATTTGCGTGTGTAAAATAAAATTTAAAAAAAACCAATATTGACTTTTTTTATCGCATTTAAATCTTCGTGCCCGCGCAGCGGTGTTACAAAAATCCCTCTTTTTCCATTGCCCGTTTGATTTTCTCCACTTGGCCGGCACTTACGGGCGGCAACGGAGCGCGACACGCGCCGCCGCGGTAACCCAAAAGTTCCATCGCGGCTTTTAAACCGGCTGGTCCGCACTCTTGCATCAGCTATCCGAAGGAAAAAAAAACAATTGTTAAACAGTTATAGATTCTGAGGGTAACGATGAATGTATTGGTTTTACTATAACGTTGTGTGCTCTTTTTTTTGTAATTTTTTTTTTTGTGTGAAAAAACTATTATACCAGAAATCTTGTAGCGTCCGGTGGCAAATGTTACAGTTGGTGTACTTTTACTATTGTATAATTCAATTTAAAATTATCTTTCAAGACTCGAGATTTTCACAAAATAAGATATATTAGTCCTTTCTATACGTGATAAGATTTTCAAAACAATCTGACGATTTTTGAACTATTAAATTTTAGGCATTTAACTCGATGTGCTTAATACTTTGTACACAACTATATTTCCATTAATTCTAGTCAGCCTTTGCAATCCATATATATATATATATCCCTTTGTGAACATTTCCGGTCGTGGACGCCATGTTCATATTCATATTCATATTATTATTATTGCCAGTGCGTCTGTTGCACAACGGTCAAAACAATTTGGCCTTTTGCGTTATTATTACCTATCGTTCAGGGTTCTCGCGGAAACAAATTATACGCAAACATATTTTTTGGAATACCTACCAACGCAATACAATATATCCATGAACTCGCCGAATTTCGAAGTAGTTATATACAATTTAAATACAATATAATATATAACACAGATCGGAATAATTTATTAAACAAACACTAAATCGCTAATTTTAAACTCTGTGCACGGATCGAAATTGCCAAAATATATAACTGAGAACTAAGTTTACTGTTCAAGTTACGTTCAGACATTATAATAAAATTGCTAATATAATATACTACCTATGTTTTTTTTTTTTTTTGGGAGGGAGCATTTAAAATAATCGATTAGACGAGTCTATACGTTTATTTTAAGAGTTTAACGTAACTTTAAAAAATGATACCTTATAATGAAACCTGGGTTCAATTTTCGCTAAAACAGCCATTTTATCCAAATAATACCAAATAGAAACTAAATGTCACCGAAATATTTTGAAAACTGTACCACGCATATATACCAATACCGCATGCATACTGTGTATAGGTGTCTTAGGCTTTTGCTCCCCACTTTATGACTTCCTCGATTATTCTTTCCCGTGTTCTTCAGCACACACGATCTGCCCAGCTCAATTTTTCGCTATTCAGTGTTACCACTACATCAGCATCTTCAAACACGTCCGTTTTTTCCCCTGGATTTTAAACCAAATTGATAATAACAGAAACCGTATTATTGAATAGATTTTCCTAGGTTTTCCCAATATTTAAGCTCACTACAAGGAAAATTAGTAATTGAATTCCACGCCTAGACAAAATGATTTACTAGGAACGATCTCTGGAGTTGATGATCGGAACAAGATTTCGAGTAGAAAAACTGTTGACAGTCATGAAAAAATACACGCACGCACATACATCATAATAAAACTAAAAAAAAGTTACAATATTTCATTGATTTCCATTGTGATTATTTACTAGCAAATCGATGTTGACCAGTTTCCGTTGGAGTACTAACGCTTCAATCCACCGTCCAGCAACCGCCAGCTTGTGCATTTCGCACAACGGTTCGCCGAGAACGGCTGCCAGTCCGTTTATTCCGCCGGAACATCCTTCGAGGACGAACAATTATATTAAACATCAAGAATTCAAAATAAAACAACGGAGAAGCGTGTATAATGTTTTTTTTTTTTTTTTACAAACCCACGAGCATGGCGGCCAACAGATAACTCGCTGAACCAGCGACCACTTGAAATCCCTGGTCTCGTGTTTCCGTAACCAACGCCGCAAGTTTTCCCATCTAAGTATATAATAGATATGTATTTAAATGACTGTTGCGATAAAAAAAAAAAAAAAACACTTCAAAATCGTTTTATCAAATCCCAAACCTCTTTACACCATCACACCGGTGAGAATATCCTTAGAATATACTTTTGTATCCGGCAGATGATAGAGTATCTCTTCTCTGATAATTGTAAAAGGTCGTATATATTATAATACGTGACCGTAACTTACATCTTTGTCTTTGACGCCGACTATGTTCGCGTGCAAAGCCATTTTCTTCAAAATTTCCACGCTTAGATCGATCCCGGTGACGGGAACCATGTTGTAGACGATAACAGGCGCTGGACACGATTCGGCCACCGACACGAAATGCTCGTACAGCGAATATTCCTGTTATTTATTGTGACGACAGGACAAAGAAGATAATGTAATATACAATCCCAAGTTAATACTGTCGTGCTGTATTTTTTTATGTTCTATTAAAAATGTCGCTTTTATTTTGCATTTTTCGCTGGTTTCGTTGTTTTTAGGGTAAATTATTTAAGAACGTTTTTGTGGTTAAAGGGCTTTTCTGACCATTTTTTGATAATTCTTAATACATTTAATTACCGGGGCTCTATAAGGATTAAATTGTTAAATAATTGAACTGATTTTTTACCAGTGTGCATATTGATGAAATTTGATTTTTCGGAAAACTCTCCGAACAGATATTGATATGAAATTGATATGATATGATATGATATGAAATCATACGAAAATCACCCAGGGTGTGTATTTATATATATATATATTTTTTACCGTCGTTCTGGTCTTGAAATAAAACGGACTCATCACCAAAACGCCGTCTGCCCCGGCACCGGCCGCGGCCTTACTAAGATCGCATGTCAATTTTGTCGCTGGAAATTGAAAATAATTTAACTAGAAACATTTCACCGGTCTATTAATTAACGATAATATTACAAAAATATCCGACCACTTAATTATTGCGTTTTCTTTTGCGAAAGTCACGAAGACGCGACGTATCAGTCGTTAAGAACGAAAGAAATCCACCCGACGCCCATCCTCGTTTCACAGTCGGAAAATGTTTTTCGATTTATTATATGTATTGTATTTTTTTATTTATCACAATTGTTTAGAACGATAATATATTATTATAAGGACGGATTTATGTATAAGCTAACTAGGCTATAGCCTGAAGTGACATTTTTGGGGTTGGGAGGAGGAGGGGTGATAATTGTTTGTAGCTGACAAAAAAATAAAAACTCGAAAATAAAATATCTTATATTTAGCTATGCTAGGCCTTTTATTTTTTTAACAGAAAAAAAAAAGGAAAAAACGTGAAACGTCATCTCTGAATTTTCGTATTTTTTTGTACAATAACATTGTAACGACACTACAGTATTATCATGTCCACGTAATTTTATGGTTATTATAGCGGATATATAGTTTAACCCCTGTGTTGTGCAGGTATCTATGGTAATACGAATAGAAAAAATGTATGATACACTAGAATACTTTTAGTCCACGGTCTACCCACTTTCCACCTATTTTTTTTTTTAATTCAATATATACTGACACGGACGAAGCAAAACGGAAATAAAACTAAAAAGAATAAAAAATTAGCACGGACAACGCCGGGCGCGGGGCTACTAGTTAACCTTATAAAATTAATACTAATCATAAACAAGATTTTCCGTTCCCCGTCCCCTAAATAAATACAAAATAATTTTCTTAGGTTTTAAGGGAGCGACAAATAGCTCTTTGCATTGGAGCGCTGAAACTCTAAGTCCGTCCCTGTATCTTAAGCAGGTAGAGGGAAGAGTAGTGGAGCACTCGTGAAATGCCGCGCGCCGTGCCGCCACACAAATGATACTTCACTACTCTCCCCGTACCTAAACTTAAAAGTAGAACATCTCGGGTTGACAGAAATCAAAAAATGTCGACACCAAAATTTACTTAAAGTAATACTCCGTCTGTTCGTGGAATTTTTAACATAGGGTTCTCATTTAAAAAAACATAAGTTGGTATCACCACGGGAAAATCCAAGTGTTCGAAAATATCAACATTAACTACACTTAATAATCGCAAAAATCAGAATTAGAATGTATGCAAAATTTAACCAAAACACTGGATTGAACACGCTTAGTGAATTATCCTGTATATATATAATCTTACATTCGCACGTAGTTCCGGCGATCAGCAAACGATCTTTTCCGATCATAGATCTGATTTTCGACACCATTTCCAATTTTTCCTCTGCCTTTAAGTACGGGCCTTCGCCATTTGATCCGCCGACGCAATATCCTAGGGAAAAAATTCAATAAATAATGCAATATCCAAGACGAGACGATCCGCCAAAATCTCGTTTAGAACTCCTCGTACTCTTCAACTCCTAATTCAAACCAGCTGTCAACCTAATACAACCCCATTTGTCGCCTTTTTCGGCAGTTTCCTGTACTCCCGCACCTATCATAATTAACCAACATTATACTTCCTTGCCTTTGATAACCAAATCAACTAATAATAACTGCACTTTTTTCAATCTGTATCACCAAGGAACCCTTAAATTAGCAAAAATAATTAGGTTTTCGTTCCAAAAATAAGACCTGTTTGAGCCATCCTTCCGGAATCAAATTTCGAAAAACTGACTTCAACGTTCACTTAGACACCCGTCCATCGATTTACGTTTGTAAATGATCAGACCTCTGCGTGCAACTGATTGGCCGCGAATCACGCAACGACGGGCAGACACACAAACGCTCGTCCCTTTATAATTATAGACGGTATGAAAAATCCGTCGGGAATTGAGTTTTTCCGAAAAATCGAACGAAAATCCCTACGGGTCGTTTTCGTATTGAAATACCTCACCTGCGAACGGTATTTTTTCCCATCGTTGAAAATTCGCGGCCAGTGCGCCGTAGTCGATATCGCCGTTCGCCGCGTACGGCGTCGGTATTGGCACGAAAACTCCGCCGAGATCGATACTTTTACCCGTGGATTTGTGACCGAACTGACGGCGCCAAACGGGCCTGTAAGCGTTCCTCCAGAGCTGATGCATTTCACGCGTATTATCGTATTCCGCCGAGGTCGCAAAAATGACCTTCAGGACGCGTGCCCGCCGGGTCGCTCGACGGTTCACAATGATGATTTAACAGCACGACCACGGCGGCAATGAAATGGGATACCGTGAATTCCGCGTTTCGATACGCATTTATAGTACGAATTTCATACCGTGGATTCCTTACAAGAGGTCTCCGTAATATATTGTTACGTGGCTTATATAAGCACCACCCGGTGTACATTACCGGGGTAATCATCCGTTATTGACAGGCTACCGTTGATTTCACGCTGCAGCGGGTCCGTCTGTCCAAGATCAGGACGCGATTTCGGTATCGGTTTAGTTGTTAACAAGAGTATTGTACATTTAGAAGTTATTGAGTATACGGCGTACCTGAGAAACATTTTCGGTGGAGGAAAAATATTAATTATTTTGTTATGATATGAAAACGACTATCGGAAAAAACTAATAGCGATCCTAAAAACTCAACGCTTAATGAGGGAAAACAAAAAAAACACAAGGCATATTAATATCCAAATACAATAAGAAAGTATACATTTTCAGTATAAAATCTAAGTTTCTTTTTTTACGACCGGCAAACATGTCAATGACCTTACCGACATCGATATTTCCGTCTTATGTGTCTATGAATATTAAGCAACGCTAAGCCGATCACAGATATTAACAACAATATACATATTACACAACATTGTTGTATATATCTATGAAACCGAATAACATACGCGTTCTTCACCCATATTTGATCTCAACCAAGTTTTTAACCCGAGTTCAAAAAATTAAATTCATTACTAATTAATCGTGCACATGATATAATCTAAAAAAATGGTACAAATTTTTCCAATCAAAAAACATACCTAACACTTAAGGTTATTACCTTATGCATGAATTATTCATTAGGTTACTATATTCCAACGAAAAAATCTGTCCTACGATAGTGAAGACGGGTGCAACCACTATTACACCTTTTCATGTCCACCTAATAAAAATAAATCTATTCGTGTAACACCGTGTTAGCAAAAAAAAAATCGTAATTCCACCAACAACATAACCATTGAAAACCTAACCTAAAAATTATTATATTATTATACGTGCCTATCTAAGATACAGGAATGGACTGCACGCGTTATTGTGCAACAATGTCAATATCAATTATTTAGAACAGTCAAACTATTTAAAACATCCGAGGATTTTTCAATGGAACAGGGACAGAGAGAATAAACTCGAAAAAATTGACTAAAAAAATGTTTCCCATAATACTTAATTATGCGTAGTACCTTAGTACCTTCCTGTACTTAGTTGAATAATTAATGTAAATTCACAATGTTTATTATTTTGTTTTCATGATAAGTTTTCAATGCTGAACAGTCTATACTATTTAAAAAAAAAAATGAGGTCAATTCAAACGGTAATTAGAGTGGTTTGATAGGTGAACCGATGTTTCTTCAGGCGGGTTTTTTTTATTTATTTTCATTTTGTGGGAGTAGTTTTTCAAGCTTTACATTCCTCTTGTTTTCCCTAAACGAAGTTAAAGCGGATTCCATATTTTCAAATCAATTAAATTTGTGTACAGAATATGCCATTTGTAATAGTTAGTGAATCGATTCGGAACGAAAATATTATCGGACAATTCTCAACAGGTGTACAAAACGGTATTACTCTACAGTAATCAATACTGATAACAGTGAAGGAAAATTGAACAAGGTATAAGATCCTCAAAACAAACATTTAAAATGCATATTTTACGCAAAATATTGCAATAAAATTAATTCACTTTATTCGATTGAACGGTTGTTATGCGCATTATTTAAGTGAAATATTACAGCGTCAGATGTGTGAAAGAGTACCTAGTAAGTACACCGAAAATAATAATTATTTTTGTATACGATTACCGGTGTAATTGATAACGGATTTTTAATGATTAGGGGCAATAATAGTTATAGTATTATCAAAATGCCGACGTTTGAATGGAGTCGCGGTCAAACTTAACCGATCTATTGAGAAGTTTGGCCATCATCTGATCGTTCAATAAGCTGTGAATAATTAATAATTCGTCATCTCTGTCTATTAACGGGCCATATGGTAAACATGTGTTTTTGTGCTTATACAATAGTACTCAGACAGTCAGCCTTTCTTTTGGAAACGGATATTCCTGATGATCCAGAACCATGAAAAATCAACAAAAATACAGTTATTACCAAAGCCAAAGGCCAAGAACATTTTGAGACTCCCTGGGTGGTTTAATCGATCGTTAAGAGTTAGATGATTATTATCATGTTCTACTGATTTTGAGATAACTTTAAATTTTCCCTTGTACATTGAAAAACCCAATTAATCACTTGACAGACGCAACAGCTTTAATAATTTCGTAAATAATACGATAATAATATCAAATGTTATTGAAATGATACATAAAATTAAAATCAACATTGTATTGAAATACTTGAAATTGTTTTGATAAACAAAATTCAAATTCGAACACGTTGATTGAGTTGTTATCATTGTGAAATATAATTAATGATAAAACTCCTTGCTGTGTGAGCGAGAGCGGTATAAGCAATAAGCAGTCTGTCTCTTCACATTTTGGAACGCGGCCCCTTATTATATTAATATAAGAGTAGTCTATCCATTCTTATATTATGTTCTATGATTTATACGTTTATGAGGCAATCTAACCTATAAATCTTGCGGTTATCTAACTGCGTGCAAACTAACCTTAAAAACCATCTTGTACAGAAAATAACGAAATATGATATGACAAACATCAGTATTTGATTTCGGTATTGACATTTTTTTCAAGTTTTTTCTCCCTTACATGAGTTTTAGTGTTTTCCGATAATTGTTAATTTTGAAATTATATTCAACATAAACGAACAAAATAATATAATTAAAAATATTAGTTGTTTGTTTTTTATTAATTATCTTTAAAGTTATGAATTCGCTATAATAAACAAAAGAATATAATAATTTTATTCTAAACTGCAAAATGAATAATATTAAAAAAACCATTTCATATCATGACTTCTCTAGTTAGTATAAAATTTACTTTAATATTTAATACAAGTTTTTAGTAAGTGGAATTTTTCTTTTAGACAATGTTAAAAAACTGGATGCTCCATTTGACATTTACAAATTTGACTGTCAGAGTATGATACCAATTAATGAAGCATTTAAGTTACGTGAGGTTTTATTGACAATGCCTTTTAAAAAGCGAACTTGTGATCTGTATTCGTTTAGCCAATCATCAGACTTTTACCGTATCTCAAATAAGAATAAACCAATAGAAGTGCAACAATTGTTAGAAGTCCTTGTACAAATTAAACAAAAAATATCTACTTATTTAGGTCAAAAATTTAACAATTCTATAAGTGTATCTTGTTCTAAATATGATATTGGAGGTAAATATATTCTATATTGTTTGTAATATAAATACCCTAATAACAATGTTATAATTTTTCAGATTATTTACTTTGTCATGATGACCGGGTTGATGATAGACGTGTAGCATTTATTTATTATTTAAATTATGATTGGCTCAGTGAATGGGGTGGTTCTTTAGATATTTATTCAGTTGATAAACATTATAATGCTAATTCAATTTTACAAAATATTGTACCAGAGTTCAATGCTTTCCTATTTTTCCCAGTTGGAAATTTCACTTACCATCAAGTATGTAATTTGTTTTAACATTTTGTTAGTATCATATTTAAATTAACTTTTGGCATTTTAGGTCTCTGAAAATATCTCAAAATTTCCACGCATTACTATTAATGGTTGGTTCCACTGTGATAATTTTGCTTGGTCGAAACATATACAAAATAAAGAGTTAACAATGTCATTAAAACATATCTTTTTACCAATTAAAGTACCAAAAAAGGTAAATTTTTATCTATAAAATAAAAATTAAGGTCATTTATCTAACATTTTACCCATAATCATTGATCACTTGCGCGCGGTAAACATTTACCTCAGTCATACTTAACATGCATGTATGCAAAGTTGTTATCATGCTTCTATTATTCAATACCTTCTTATAACATAAATGACTATAAATAAATAAATGTATAAATAGAATCGTTTCCATAATATTCAAAAAAAAGGTAACAATTTTATGTGCATATTAAATATGATTACTACATTTTTGACCCGTGGAAGTGGTCGCAGGTAAAATATATCTATACATTTTAATAAAAAATTATTAAATTATAAAAAATGATACAATTATTATAAATATTCATTATTTTCAGGATACACATTTCACAAAAAGGTCCATTGAAAAAACATATTTTGAACGAAATTTCAGAAAATATATAAAAGAAGGATTCAACACTGATGGATACGGTGTATGTGGCCAGTTTTTTAACTCAGTTGCACTTGATGGTTTATCTAGTGCATTATTTTCAAATAACTTAAAGTGGGAAATCAAAGGCCCATTAAATAAAATGTAATATTCACCTAGTTTTTATATGATCAATTTTTATTTTTAAAAAATATTTTATTTTTATTCATTTAGGCATTACAAGGTTTTAAATATGAACAATTTACCGGAGGTTATTTTTAATCTTGTTAACATGTTAAGAACTGAGCACATGATTCAATTTTTTAAGGACTGTACTGGTCTGGATTTTATTGGTGGTAAGTAAAAATAGTTCTAAAATATTAAATAAAAAGTGCAAGTGTAAAATTTTTCAATTGAGCTGTTTTAGAAATAATTCTATAGTCAAATACCTATTATGTAAACAATTTTAAATTGCAAATATCATCTACTGTGTATAATTTAGGTGTTTTATTGTCCTTTGATTTCACATACCAATGCCCGTATTAACACTATCTAGCAAAGTTGTATCGTCCATTAGCTTGATAAACTAAAACTGTTCCGAATTTAGAAACATTAATTGTCTTAAAGTATTATATTGCTCTCTTGTCAGATCCGTATTAGAATTTGTGTCAATAGTTTGAAATCCTAAAAAAAATTATCTAAATGACAAACTTGAAAAAATCCAATAGCGTTTTTTTTAGGATATGGCATATAAATAAGTTTGAATTGATGTCCCTCTAGATATTTCGACTGTAGAATTTGGTCTAGAATGACTAGCCTCTAGACGATTATATAATGCCATAGCTTTAGTCCGTAAATTAATAAATGGTAAACTTTATTATAAAATAATGATTAATGATTAATAATAATAATAATAATTAAACCTACATGTATTTATTTTATATTATATATTTGTTTCTTTTTTTTCTTCTCTGTTTAAACATGTAATATTTAGATCCACTCGGTATAATCTCTTGTAAAACCATAATAACTATAACTGTACTCTTTGGGATCTTTAAACTTTAAATAAACATATATACAGTGAAACCTCTGAATAGAAGATATTCTCATTTGCTGAAATTTTGTCTGTTATTCTGAGGTGGTAAATTTTTGAAATTCATTAAAAGTAACTCATACTACTTTTACATTTCCTTAATTTTGTTAATTTACTCATCATCATTTCCAATTTCAACCCACGTTTTATAAGTGTCTTCTTTATTAGACATAATACCTGCGAACTGTGTTTTACCAACATGAAACTTTTCTGCTAATTACACATTGTTCTGATGGAAATAAAGACATTGATATTGTCTTCATAATGGTCATTATTCGCTGTAATCTTATCTTTTCATCCCATAAAGACTTAAATGAATAAGTTCATTATTGTTATATTAGTAAGAGCACGTTTTTCTGTCATCGATTTGTCATTACTTTTAAATTAAGATTAAATAGGTATCTGCTGTTCAGAGTTTTTCCCATTGAAAAGTAATAAAAATGTCCTCATTTCCAAAAAAATTGTCTGCTATTGGAAGGTGTCCGTTAAGGAAGTTTTCACTGTATTCTATGTAATATTTGCGTTGTTTACATGGCTTTACATCATTGCAAAACCAATATATTCCTCACTCCGTTCAGAATCTTAAAGTAACTTAAAAATATTAAACAGAATAAAAGTTATTGCAATTGTAAGATTTCTATAAGTACGCTCTGTATATACATTACCCAATGATAACTTTATTGAAACCAGTTGTTTTATTAAAATAATAACAATACTCGAGGCTTTCATTAATTATTTTGTTTCATAAATTGAAATATAAAATTTATATGCTTTGTATTTATTGTTTTAGTGAACGTCGAAGTGCAAAGATGGCACGGTGGACATTATATGGTTTCTGGTGGAAATGACGGCTATAAGAACATGCATGTATTTCGTGTTTATATATTTTTTAGTCATTGTATTGGTACAATGAACACTGATGGTGAAGACGATCTGTACTATGTGTTTGAAGAACATAATGCATTTTATCCGGTAAATTTAATATTATATCAATTTTTAGATTAAGAACCTTAAATGTCTTAATATAAATTTGTGTTTACTTTTTTATTTTTATAGAAATTTAAATGTACACCACAGAACAATACTATGCTATTGGTAAATCGTTTTTCAAACATGGAAGTTTATACTAAATACTGTAGGAAAATTGACGGTCACTCTTGGACTGTTGTAGTAGCTAATTATATGATTAAAGATATGTTTAACTGTAAAATAAAACTTGAAAAGATGCATAAGTTATAATTATTTAATTATTAACATTTTTGAATTATTATTAATATTATTATAAAATATACATTAAAGTATGACTATATTTTTGCTGTGTAAAGAATTTATTAGCTTTAGTAACTTTTAATTTAAGGTGGGCCTAAACATAAACATACAGTCGATATAGGTGATCTTTTTTTTTTTCCAAAACTGACATTTGATCCAATATTTTTGAAGAAAATATCTGTTGGAAATGTAAAAAAAAAACACTAAATCAAGTTTTTGACTATGTCAATTAATTAAATTATCAACTCACGGTTTATGTTTTAAAATATCAGATATCTGTCCATCCCTACTAATATGTATTAGCGTGTAAGAAATGTCCTATGTAAATATATTTCTGTATATCTAGAAAAATGCTATAAACACTGCAATTTGTTATTACAAAATATTTTCAGGCAAGTTACCTGTATAATATTTTAGTATAATATAATTATCATTTTATAGTGTTTTTTTTTTCTCGTTGTTAACAAAATGTTTAAAGTAATTAAAACCAGTGGTTTTCTGTCTTTGTTTGACAATCATGGTGATAATACTTTAAACTTTGTGCTCATTTTTATTTACGTTTTATTTCCAGCATACCAATTAATTTAGTGAACAATTTCACAAAATATATTTGAATTTGTCATTAAATCTACTTAATAACGGTTCATATATATATTTTTTTTTTTCATTAAAATTCTTCAAATTTAATGACTGACTAGTGACTAATTTATTAGAGTGTTCTTAATTATTACCAATTTAATTTCACTCATTAATATTAATTGTGATAATCAATATATAATTTATATATATATAATAAATACATAATTTTGAAGATGACAAATTTTATGAAATTTAAAATTTATATACGTTAAATAATTATGTATATTTTGTACTTAACTTATTATATATTATACTACAAACTTGTTTCTGTTTTATATATGTATATCATGTTTAATACGAATTATTTGTACGATTTTATATGTTTACATGCACATTAACTTAATTTATATTGAGTTAAACTTGCATACAAACATATTTAATACGCATTATCTTAATGTTTTTTAAAAAGTTATATATTTTAACGCTGACTGTGTTATTAAGACTGCTTATAAACATGATAATAATAAATTGTTCTTAACTATATTACTTCTAAAATTGTTATTAATCAATTTACATATTATTGTATAGTAGGTACTACACGTACACTTTTTACTTACTAGTAGTGTTTGAATAGTGTTACTAGTAGTTAGTTTTCGGTAACAAAAAATAACCTTATCCGCCACTAAAAATAATTGTAACCTATGTCTGTTTTATTTATTGTAAACTTTTGAGTTCATAACATATTATTTTCCTGTTATATGTGTCGCCTTTATTATTGTGCAAGTATTTAATAATTTTTAATATTAATAATAAAATATTTCTTTTGTAAAATACTTATTTTTTTAAATAATAAATATGAAAAATGAAGATTTGAATGCAATTGTTTTTTGGGTTAATCTCAACATTGATCATATCTGTGGGTCTAAAGTTTAGACTCTAAACTTATTCATGCAGAAAATACAGTCAAAAACTGTTTTTTGATACAAAATCAATGTTTCATTCATATATAGAATCATCTCGTTGCAAGTCACTAAAAATTCTTGGTTTTGTTAAGTGTGTTCGTGCTTAGTATAAATTAGTTGCATAAATGTAGTCTATACTGCAATGTAAATTGTCCTTTGATGGGTTTAAATTGAAAATGTTCACATTCTTCAACATATATATATATATATATATATATGTATATTCATTCAACAGATCTGTTCTTGCTTCCCTACAATTATCCTAGCTGACCGACAGAAAAGTTCAAGCTAATGTAAATTTTCTAAGCACGCTACTCTAAGGTCTAGTAGACTCTCCACTCATTTGATATGTTAATTTTAAAGTAGGTTCATTTTTTCACACAGGTAATAACTATTATTTAATAAAATAATAAATTTAAAACAAAATTATTAAAATGATTAATACTCGTAAATCAATATATGAATTTAAAAACATGTTGTATATATGAAAAATAAATTGTGTCACCTGGAATATTACAAATGTATTAAACGACCGGTTTATGAACTGGTTTTTTTTTAAAAAAATTCATCATCAGGTACATCATAATCAAAATGTAAACTCGATTAAATATAAAAATTAACTGAAGGAATACACGGAAAAAAAATTATACAAATTGGTTGTTTTACATAGAAATAATTTATTTAATAGAGATTATTTAAAATGGGTTATTATTTAACATAGATACGATAAGAAATATAAATTAATTATATGGTTGTTATATTATTTATTATCTAAATGTATTGACATAAAATGTTATTTTTTAAAATCTGTTTGCACATTTAAAATATTATTAAAATTATTTTTCTTTATTTCATTGTAATTCTTATAAAACTGAATTAATGAAAATGTTATTTTGGGTATTTAATATTTCTAAGACTGTATTAATATCAAAATTTATATTATGATTATTTTCTAAAACATGTTTAGCGAAATTTGAATTAGAAGCAGTATTTTTTAAATTTTATTTCACAAATGTGTTCTTTATATCATATTTTAAAAAGTCTATTTCTCGTACCTTTATAAAATTGATTATAGTTACAATATATACCAGCATTTTAAAAACAAGAGGGATTTTTAGTGAAGTTTATAGTTCTATTATTTATACGTTCGATTAAATTATTATTAATCTTAAAAGCGATTTTGACATTATTTGTATTCTTGTACAGAATTTTAGCAAATTTGTTAGACTTATTATTTTGGTATTCCATACTATAATAATTAATAACATCATTTAGATGAGTAATGTATTATTTTTTCTATAATGCGTTTATGAATTTTTTTTAATAGTATTTAAATTGAAATTATTTCAATGGACTATATTATAGATAATATTCAGCTTGTGTTGATAATTATATTTATTTAATGGAATACGTTCAAGCCTATAAAATATTGATCTGGGAATTTTTACACTGGGGAAGAAAATTAAGAAAGTACACTCAATGATTTTTTCTTGTAGCTCGTTAAAATACGGTTATTTATAAAACAGTGTTTATTTCATTTTATTAGGGACAAGATGACTCATAATCTGCCCATAACTGATATCACATGCAATTTACGTAGTAATGTCATACATTTTTCTGCAAAGGTTAATACCCCCCTCAGTCACCTCCCTAAAATAAACACAGTCAATGCTGCTAATGAGCACCTTGCAAGTATGATGCCAATATTGAACCCTCACCTTTTCTTACAATTAATTTATATTGTTATATGTTAATATAATAATATATTGTTGAAATATTTCCTGTAGTTTAACTATTGTAACTATTGGGCTACTAGTCCGCACTTTCGATAAATACGTAATATTCAAATTGTTTTCATAAACACTAGATTTTTTTATAAAAATGTATGAACAGCACAGCGTAAATTGGCCTAAATTCCTGGTAGTGCAGAGAAATCTTTTAATTTTTAACCCACCAATACTCAAACTTCCCTAATAAATTACCACCTAATAAACAATTAATTTTTTTATGGATACTAAAATTTGTTTTTAAGAAATTAATGTTATAAGTATTGAATTATTGTAATAGTAAAACCTTTATTATTATAACATTTTAAGAAAAACTATAAATAGGTACTGGTTTAATAAAAAAATATACTTTTGAAAATAGAAACTACAGGTATTCTTATGATTTTCAAATATCAATAATGAATCAATCATTTAAAAATTTAAGCACTCATAAATGTCATATTTTACATATAACTTTCTGGATTACTTTGGCTTACAAAGCATAAAAGCACTTGAAACACTACTACTACTACTGTTGATTTCTATAACTGTTGTTTGTAAAATTCCAAAACAACTCTTATGTGAAGAAAATTTTTGAATAAAATCAAATACCAAGATATTATAATTTGCAAATATTTGTACTTATACTTTTGTAAAATAAATAAAAAAATGTGGCGTTTATTATCGTCAACATAAATAAATTTAATAACAATTTATTTTTTAATAATCTATATTAAGAGGTGTTACCAATGGGTTTTTTCTTGTAAATATCAAATTTGCTTATCGCATGAATTGTAAAATAATTAAAAATTGTATTAAAAACAAAAAAAAGGAATCCATATGGAAATTTTATGTGGACTTGATTTGTTTTGATATAATTTTAAAAAGCATTAAGAAACTTAAGTATACCATAATTAATATCAAAATGTACTATTAGCAATATTAATATATTCTTGAGTAATGGTTTCAAATATTTTTAAAATATTTGAATAAAAACATTTTTCAAGTTTAAACAGTTTTACTTCTTGTAATATTATCTCTTTAGATAATTATTATTTTTTTTTATCTGTATTTATGGGCCTACTATAAAAAGCATTTTTTTAGAAACTTACAAATTCTAATCCTAGATTCAATTTTAGATAATATATGTATGTTTTAAGATCTTCATTTAATAAAATATTTTCAGATTTATCATCTATATTTTAACTTAATTATTGTCAATACATAAAAGTTTAAAATAAAAATAGTTAATTCTAATAAGTAAATTGAATAAAACATTTCTTTTTGTCTCAGAATCACAAAAAATAATTTAAATTTTAACATAAAAATTATTTTCCTAAAACTTTTAATTAGTATTAAGAAAAAAAGAAAAGTTTTTAGAATCTGTTTACCATTTCTATGCGATTATTCTTAACAGGATAGGATAAAGATATATTTAAGGTCAACAAATTGAATGTACTCTTATAGTATTAACTATTTGAATGTATTACCAATTAAAATGTGTTCATCCAGATTACCATACATAAATGCATCAAACATTTTAAGTAGACCACATATTATTAAATATTAATTATTGTTCCAAATATATTTTGTTTATGTGTTTCGAAATTTAATTGGAAAAATAAACCAATTAACTTAATTGTCCAGAGTTGGAGACAGTGATTTTTTTGGTAGTTTTGCCGCTTTGAGTTCCATAGGACTCAATCTTCTTGACAACATCCATGCCATCAACTATTGAGCCAAATACTACGTGTTTGGTATCCAACCATGAAGTCTTTACTGTTGTGATGAAAAATTGACTACCATTAGTATTGGCTCCAGCATTAGCCATGGACAAGATTCCTAGTTAAATAACAAAAAATTAAAAACTATTTATGCAAAGCTGAAAATTTAAACAAATAGTGAGGTTTTAACTAAATGATATATATTTTATTTTTTTTAATATTTATTAGAAATCGTACAATCTGTAAAAAATTTTACAATGAGTATGTTTAATATTTTTAAAGATGACACGAGTGACTTGACTTAAAGAAGCTACCCAGCGGTAACACTTTTGGCTTGATTAATTTTTTTTTTCTACTTTAAGCTAAATCTTAACACCAGTTTCTCTTTAGTCTTCTCGGGGGATTATAAATGATATTTAAGTGTCAATTATTGAAGCAATCTTAAAAAGTTAGCTAATTTAAAATTTCCAAATTGTAATTAGTATTAGAGTTAAATTTAACAAGAGTAATTAATAACTTCCGATATTCATATTATATTTTATTTAACAAAATTTTCTATAAGCTGAATTTTAAATTCACTTACCTGGTCCAGTATGTTTCAATGTGAAGTTTTCGTCTTCAAACTTGTTTCCGTAGATAGATTTTCCTCCGGTACCATTGTGGTTGGTGAAATCACCACCTTGGCACATGAAATTTGGAATGACACGGTGGAATATACTTCCCTTGTAACCAAAACCCTTTTCACCAGTACACAAAGCACGGAAATTTTCTGCAGTTTTTGGTACAATGTCATTACGGAGCTGAAAAAATAAAAACCAAAAATATCCTCTATAATTATTGCTCAATTTATAGTTAAATCAAAAATATGAAATTTTTAAGTTTAAAAACAGTTATATATTTATAAAATGGTTTATTATAATTAATATTCACATTGAATTGCTGTAGTGTATGCAAATTAAGCAGCCAAAAACCTTTGAACCCTAAATTATCTTTTATAGTACCTTTTATTTTTTCAAGTAAATGAAATAACTATGCTTAAGTTGCAGGTACAGTAATTTGTTTAATTATATTACCTATAATGTGTGCATTTGTATATTGTAAGTAGAAAGTAAAATACCGAATAAAATATATCGATGAAAGTATTCAAATAGCAATCACAGTTTATCAATATTTGTCAATGTCTTGTATTTAAGATAATAAAATATAATTTAATTGTATAATAGACCTATATATATATATATAATACATTTTTTTTCTTATTTCTTTAATATGATACATACATGATATTTTAATTTTGTTGCTCATTAATTATAATAAAACTAAAGGTCATCTGATGCTTACTACTAAAAAATTAAGACAATCAACATCGTGACATAAAGAATAGCTTAAGGGCCAGCAAAATTTCGGAATTGTTATTCAATTCACAGAAATATAAATAATTAGAACAATAATATATTCAAATCTAAAACCACAAAATAAACATGGCAGAAATAATTGATCATGAATTTTTAAATTATAAAAAAAATAAATGGAAATATTGCATCATTATAGATTGTTCGAAATTATTGTATTCTAATATATTATTTGTATTCCAATTATTCCTCTATATTATATATTTCCAAACAAATTGTTTTCTAAATATTATAAATATTCAGTTTGTCGAATATTTGCCAATGCATTGCAGCTATTCTATTTGTATACACATAAATGTTCAAATTACGTTTTAATATGCAGTCAAATTACAGTGTTCAAATAAATTATACATAAAAACTGTTTACAAAGATTCTATACCCATGATTATCTCAATTCCGGACTAAAGGAGTTATTGTTATAAACTGTTATAGTGTGAAATTATAAGAAGATGCATAAAATATGACAATATCACAATATCAATGAGAGTTAAAATAGTAATACTATTCTGAATAATAGTATAATAGTTGGGGAACTATTAAGGGAACGGGGCACCCCCGATATTTTTTATTTTATTTCGATTCAGTATTATGATTTATTATAGTTCTGAAAAATAGTACCTGGATGAGATAAAAATTATTAGCAATCTTAACATCCGAAAAGTTTAATTTTTTTATTTGGTAATGATTTACATTATTCAATCATCGTTGGACCACTGCAAAATAATTTTTAGGAAATCGTTTGGACAAAATGCATTCGAATCTACTAATCTCGAAACACGATTCCTAATAACTTGGACAGAGAAATTATACCGAGACGGGCGTCATAATCAGAACTAACAATGTTTTAAAAGATAAATGTAGTTTAACAACGTTTTACGAAACTCAGTCGAGAGATGTGAAAATCGAATTGTTACAAAACACATTAATATAATGTTGAGACCGTTTTCAGTTAATTAATTCGGTCATCTGAACAAATTACATTAACGATGATTGAAATATGAAAAAAAAAAAAATATAGGCGGGCGAACGATTTTCTTTTTCGAATTCTATTTAAACCGTCCGATGAAAATATGCCGTACCTACAACTTTGGGAACGTGCCAAATGGCCGAAGCGTAGGTAAGGAAGAGCAAAAATAAAAATCCAACTGAAAAACAAATTCAAAAATCGACTCGTTTGTCAGTTGTTCCAAACTAAAACTAGGTACCGATTGAATAGAATAGAAATATGGCCACTGTGACGGTACTGACGCCGGAAATGAAACTGTCGAACGGTCCGAAAACAAATCCAACGGGGCCGCCCTTTCGGCAAAAACAACTACAACTCACCTCAATGATGATACGTCCTAAATGTTCGTTGTCGGCCGACATGTCAAAGAACACTTTTGGCAGACTCATTTTTCCGGTTGAGGGTTTTGATTTCGTAGAAAATGACAAACAGGAAGCAACACCTCCAGCAAAAGAATGCGTTTGAGAGGAGCGGTACTGGAATTGCCGGCAGCTGGTGAATAAGCGAAACGTGGTGGACGCCATTGTGTTTGGTACGGAACGATTTTCGAGGTTATGCGGCGTAAACGGTGAGTGAGTGAGAGAGAGGGAGAGAACACGCGCCGTCCAAAGACAATGGAAACGGTACGATGACTGCGGTGGTGCTGCACTGTATACGGGCGCACGACCGGGATGGTCGGTCGCGGTTTCTACTCTACCCGCTCCCCCCCGGCGCACACCTTCGCGCAGTGCGCAGACTCGGTGGCCGTGCCCGTAGACTAGTGTACTAACGCTGTGGGCAGCACTGCTAATCGCTAATCACTAATCATAATTATTGCACGTAATATTTCAATCATAGACGTATAAACAATACGTATTATTTATTGTAGGCACGCGTTATATGTCCGTGATTTCGTTAATGAAACATGGGCGCATGGGTGATGGGTCTACGCTACCGTGCGTCGATGAAATGTGTTTAGCTACACGATTTCGTGAATCTGCCGAGTGCCCGGGTACTGTCGTCCGTCAATTCCAATAGGAAAAATCAAAAACCAGTCGTTTTACCGGGGCACGGTATAGTTTTTACCTTGTGGTTTTGCCTCGGTTTTACCAGGATTCGCGGGATGCGGGTCCCGGACGAATTTTTATCACAAAACGCGAGTCTATATAAATCTTTTTGCCCCTTCGCGTGTAAGCGAGTTTCTTGCGTGTGAAAACCTATTTCAGAAAAAAAAAAAAAAAAGGTCCCTGACGTGTTTCTGTCCACTGTTTTTAGATTTGATTATTCAGCTTGAATAAATGTCCGTTAACTTTCAACCCCGATTCCCGGTGTTTAAAATAACCGATTCATATTGCAATTCGCAACGATCAATTACAGTAATTATACGTTCATCTGCGAGTTTGAAACAACGATCAATGTTACTGATGAACTTAACTGCCGAAAAATGCCTATACATGCTGCCTTTAAAAATGATAATAACGAGTTATGGGCTTGGGCTCGTTACAAACACAATGTCAAATCGCTCAAAATTCAAATAGTAGGTACACACAAATATTTAAATCAAATCCGTTGACATCGGCGTAAATCAGTATTTAATGTATCGATTTGACGAATACAATTTGCCCGGAACTTCACTTCGGGTGTCGCCTTGAACAGCGCGTCCAATGTTCAAATAGTCCGAACATGTCGAACGCGCATTTTTCTCGCCCAAGTAGAATAGACCTCACGCACCGCAAAGTGGAGAGGCGGGGGTGGGAGGGGGGGCACGGATATTGTCGGTTCTCGACAAAAACGCTTGAACGTAATAACGGCATAACGTAATAATATGTGCGACATTCACAAAGATTAACCCCGAACGTTTAGCTTATATTCGATTAGACGCTATAACCGCATCATCGGTCATACTGGTGTTTGTAGACAGTAGAATTATTGTTAAAAAAAAACCCAATACGAATATGAAAACGTGTGTTCCGGGCATCGCAGATTTTCGAACAACGAATCTGTCCGTCGCCGTTTCAATTACACTCGATTCGGGATATGCGCGCCTAACGCCCGTTTAACGCTTAAATAGGAACATATCACACTGTTTACTTGTCTGTTTTAAAGTGGATCGTGTCCGTGGACATAGGCACGATACTTGTACGACAGAAGGTATTGAAGGAGCGTACAACACGAAAAAAAAAAAAAAAAATGTTCTACAAAATTATTATTAAATGCTAAATCGCGTTCGTGTAAGAACTACTGAAAACGAGTTTGTCGAAATCCGACCGGAAAACAAAACATATTTTAGGGGATATTGGGATGTCTAGAATAACCGCGCGATGTCATTGGGCCGGGCTCGGCATAATCTGCAGCCTATCTTACACGTGTAAAAACCGATGGCTTTAAACAATAGTTTACCAAACTAAACATTTCATTCTACACGTTTGATGCATCAATGACGTCACGCGACTTTTTTCAATTCCTCGTAATTCATCGAATAACGTGCGTAAACAAGTTAAACCTGTACCATTGATAATACTTATTTTTCGTGTTTCGTGCTCCTTTGAAGTCCCTCAATCGGTAAATACGTAACGTCAAGTACATACCGAATTTACCGCTATCCTATATTATCGTGTAGATTAGATTTAGATCAAAATAATAACAATATACCTACTTTTTACGAGTACTCAGGTCGAGCCGATTTGAACACCGCTGACTTGACGACCGCACGGTCCGCGATCATCCAACTAACCTATCCGTAATTGTTTTAACTTGAGCGTTTCCGATTTACGGTCCCGTGAAATCGGATTGTGCTCGAGTTGAAACTAAATATAGGTAATTTATAAATAGGTGAAGTTCTCCGGAGTTCTTACACCTACGTCGTTATTGGAACGGTGCCCGCGTATGCATCTGCGTGTGAACAGGGGCACACACTAGGAGGGAGCGGTGCCCTCCTCCCACCGCCCCCTTAGCACGTAGGTACCGTCATATAGATCTCGTGCTGAATTATAAAAATTATAACTTACTTATACGAAAAACGTATTCCGAACGCACACGAAGTTAATCATTTCCACTCCTCGTGCCTTAACCGACTCCTAAGCCCGCGTGTGAAAATTACTCCGTTTCACGAATAGCCGCACTACCTTGGACCGGGACTGCCTCGGTTTAAAGGACGCGCCCCGCGGTGGTGTCCCGGCCGGTTAATAGAGGCCGAGAGTAAATTTACGCATAACGCCTTTGTCGCATAAAAAGCATCGGATGAACATGGAATATCGTTCGTCGAACCCCGGTGATCGATACCACGTCCGGTTTGGGGATTTCAAAATCTGGTAACTCTACGCTATCTGTACCCCGCACTACCAAGAAAAAAAAAGTGACGTAAAAACAAGTTTATTAGTTTTTAATTTACTTACGCCTTTAGTGGTTCATATTCTATTTGATTTCGAATAAAACAAATTTAAAACATATCAGACTGTGTATAGCATTTTTCACAAGAAATAATGCAATGAAATAATTATAAAATAGTATTATTGATTCAGCAACATAAGCCGTATGTACTATGGAAAAATGCCATTAGTACATTTTACGGCATTATTGCTAACGTTCACTGCAACGATTGTGAAAAAACTAACGAATAATTTATAATCAGAAAAAAATAAAATAATTATTATAAGTTATAATTAGGGACCGGATTTATATGTACGTAAAATTTACAAAAAAAAAAAAAAACCGCTTAAAATGTCATAAAAACCCTAAAAATTCGTTTGAAAAAATATTTTAAAGAACAATACAGGTAGAGGAGTTTAAAAGGTTCCCCCCGTCTATTGTATCAAACTTATTAAAAATAATTTTTAAACACTAAAAAAACGATTATTACGTTCGAAAAAAAAAATGAGTTAGATACGACATTTGATAATTACAACAATTATACACATTATATGTAAAAAAAAAAAACCCCAGAATTTACATTGAATAGGTTAAAAACACAATTATAGTTAATTGATTGAATATATATTTAATCAATGATATCATTGATTAAATATACAGTTAATCAATGATGATATATTATAATTATTCTAGTTATTTATGAATTATTACCGGCAATAATTTAAATCATGTGACGACAGCTGAGACCACTGCGAGGTAACATGTTTTGAACAATAACCATTATTTGTGTAGACATTTTTTTTTACATACAGGTATTGTCACAAATAATACATTCTTATTTTATGTATATAGGTACACAGTCTACACTTATTATATTATTTACTACAAACATAAATTATCGTCAATAATAATAATTTTGAACAATAGTTTCTTGTTGAATTAACTTAACAAACAAATGGGGAAAAAATACAGGTGTGCACTTAAATCGTTGGATGGACAATATTTAATAAGAATAATAATAGAACTTTGTCATAATATTATTTTATCAAGCGCAACATAACATAGGTAATATTAACATTACACACAAGTACTTTGGTACTTACTGTTGTATGACGCAAAGTGTCAACATTGTTGAACAGTAACAGAATAGAGTATTATTATTAAGAAATATTGTTTAGTTGGTATTTAAAAAGTAGGTTAGGGTTATTAATATTGTAAATATATTAAAAATAGAGATAAAAAAGGAGTGCTGGTTAATCAAGATAACAATACTGGACAATACAATGTAGGAGTAAGACATTCTTTTGAAATTTAATGAAGTTAAAATCAGCTTATATATTTTGTATTGATCATAAAGTGTTGTATATTTTTTTCCGAATGTGGGGTATACAACAGTAATAATTTGTGTGAACAGAAAAATGTTTAAAATTGTTGACAATGAAGATAATAGTTTAGTAAGTTCAAAATAAAAAAAAATGTTACTTTTAATACCATTTTGAATAATTACATCTTATCGTTTTTTATCACCAAATTTTAAATATTGCTAATTATTATACCTGCAGGCAACAGTAGTATTGTATTAAACATACTTTTTTACTGTTATACAAATTAATACACTATAGATAAATTAAGTTTATTATTAAGTTATAGTATATTTTAAAATTGTTAATTAAATTTGATTTTTATTTTGTTTAGTATTAACTAATTACAATACAATGCAGTACAATTTCTTTGTATTTTAATTATCCATTGTTTAATAGTTATGCTATTGTAAACTAAAACAGTAATTTAATGATAGTTAACAAATATATTTGTATCGTATTATATAGTTATCAAATCATACTTTTAAATAATTTTCATTGTATACAAAGTATAGCATATAACACATCTTCAACTACAAAGAATTGAGAAATACTTTTAATATATTGCTTAAACCTAACATAATATTATTAAAAATGATTTATTATTTCAGATTTTCAATTCTGGAAACTATACATTTAATATTTTAATAATAGTTAATTAAATATAGTGATAAAATTATATTTTTAAATAAAACAATTCAAATATTAGTTTAATGGGGCATTACTAACTAGTTAAACAATTGTTTTAAGTGATTATACTTTAAACTAATTGAAATATTTCTGACTACATTATCACTATCAAATTTTTAATGCGCAATATTCTGATTCAGCAATTCTACACAAATTTATCAAATTTGTCAGTAATTATTTTTAAAGATTGCTTTTTCATAAATCTTAAATGTTTAAAAGTATGAAACTTTAAAATCTTTAAATTTCTTCAAATTAAGATCAATAGTCACTTTAAATATTAACTGAATTTGTTAATAAATGATTATAATGATTTTATACTTGTACACACTTTTTCTAATGAAAAAAAAAAAATATTATTTATAGTAAAAAAAAAGCTATGTAATGCTCTTAAAAACATAATTTATAACCATTAGCAAGGATTTGTTAGTCATACAAAATAAAACAACTCATTAGATTTTAGTTTCTATAATTTATTAATTTTTTTTAGCCACTGTTGTAACACTCTAGATGAAAAACACGTTTGAAAAGAATTATAATAGTAAATAAACTGTTTTTTTCATCTAAAAATTATTATCAGCTTGTTATAATTTTCTAAACAAAAGTATATATAAATTGAAAAAAAAAATAACAGTTAAAAAAGTTAATTATATAATAATTAAAAAGGATGGAATGTTCCCATTCACTGAAAATAGTATTAATGGTCATTAATTTGTTTAAATGAAAATATTAAGAATGGAATACGTGAAAAAAATTATTAAAGTTCTCCACAGTTGGCTACAATAACCTTCCTTTTGGTCTCTCCGGTATCAGTTCCAAAAGACTCTATTTTTTTTACAACATCCATACCTTCGGTAACAGTTCCAAATACTACATGTTTACCATCTAACCAAGAAGTCTTGACAGTTGTGATGAAAAATTGACTACCATTGGTGTTTGGTCCAGCATTAGCCATTGACAAAACACCTAAAGAATGAAAGTGTTAACAAAGTTAATTACGTCAATGTTAATTATTAATTAAAGTCAATTTTTTCAAACAAATAAATATATTTTATATATTTCCATACCAGGCCCTGTGTGTTTAAGGGTAAAGTTTTCATCAGCAAATTTGGCACCATAAATAGATTTGCCTCCAGTACCATTGTGATTGGTAAAATCTCCACCTTGTAACATAAAGTTGGGTATGACACGGTGGAAAATGCTACCCTTGTAGCCGTAACCTTTTTCACCGGTACATAGACTACGGAAATTTTCGGCAGTTCTCGGCACTATGTCTTTTCGTAACTGAAATACAAATAAAGAGTTATGCAATTTATTAGATTTGAATAGATTTATATTTTCAGAATTCATAACTTCAATAAATTAATATAAATCTACCACGTATGTCGTATCCAAGACGAATACACGGTAAGTATTTAATATCTGCGTATAACGCACATATACAAAGTAACAAATTGAACCATTCAACAAGGGCAATAGAAATTATAATTTGTTAAACAAACTCGATACACCAACGGTCTACAATGTAATGAGTAACGATCCATCGATGGTTACTATAGACCAGTAGAACGCAGGCAACAGAGTTACGCAAACAATATACGTGGGTAAAATTACTTTAGTGTCAATAGGTATTGAATATTTCGGCACTCCATCCGAACGCCTCTCACCGTATTAAGTAGGAACAAGCGCGAAGTGGTATTAAAATGGACCCAAAGGAAAAATACGAGGTGGGCCGACATCATGAATGCGTTTGGGGCAACGAAAAATTCTAATAGAAACGGGGCGACCGCATTTCTCGAGAAAAATAATTCCCAAAAGCGGGCCACTTTCGTTTTACACGGGTACCGTGTTGCCGGTGGTCATTACCCACGAGGTATCGAACACACCAACAATAGCCGCCGTTCAAATGGCACGGGGCCGGGGTCGAGTATTACGGAGAGGCGGGGTGGCCGTCATTCACGCGCGCTCGTGTAGAATATTCGCGAACGGTTTTCCCGGACGACGGCGAGATGACGGAGGGGGCGGGAGCAGGGTGACCCGCAAAACTGTAGACAACGGACGAACGCGAGGAGTACGCAGGCGGCGGGCACTTACTTCGATGACGATCCTGCCGGCCGATTGTCCGTCGATGGTCACGTCGAAGAAAACTTTGGGATTGGCCATGTTCGATTGACACGGGCGACGGGGAGAGAGAAAAAAAAGTAAAAGAAAACGTTTACTGAAAACCGACGAGACGAACAGCCAGACGAACACGGCGGCGAAAGAGTTACGTCGGCGTAGGTGTGCGTGCGAATGACGGGGCGCCGGGCCCAGAGTGCGTGTACCGAATGCGTGCCGACTATCGATAGCTCGCGGTCGCGCTACCGACTATCGATTGTACACCGCGGACGATTTCCCGAACGCGATAGTATTTGTTTAATTACGATAATTGGTCGGTGCTCTTGGACCGCCGCGGATTTTACCGTCGGTTGAGAACGGAATCGCGAGTCTCGGAAAGTCGGTTTTTATTCGGGGGGGAAAAAAATAAATGAAACAATTTTCCAAGTGATAATAGGACGTGTAGACGTACCATGATAAATTGTAGGTACGCGCGCGCACTCGATTGTATATGGTTTTCCCACGATAATTTCTGCGTTACTGCGCTGCGGCGGACGAATTTCGTTTTTTTTCTTTTGGCCTTTGCCCCCGGGGGCGTGGGGTCGCGGTCCTTTCGGACACCGGAGCGCTCTCGGATTGGATTGTAGTGTAGATTCACTCGTGTCCGTCACCGTGTCTCCGTGACCGGCCGTCGATTTTGACCCGCGCGCGCCGTCGCATCGATTGACCCGGATCGAAATCGATTTCGGCCGGGCGCCGCACCGGTGACGCGCACGTCTACAAAATTTTTAACGTCTCGGAAATTACGCGACTCTCCGCGCACTCCGCCGCCGCCGCCGCCGCCACGGACGCGACGCGTAATCACTCCGCGTCCGCGGCCGCAGTCAACATGGCGGCTTTTCGGCTAATCGATTGCCGGAGGCGCAAATTCAAAAATGTATGCCCGGCCAACAGAATACGCCGTGTTTACATGAAAAATGTATGCCGGCAAATGGGTTGTCCGCGGACGGGCCGGTGGCCGGCGCGCGATATTATTAATGAGAAAAAAAAAAACCCGTTACGGATCCCGAACAAGTTGCGTTCGAAAACGGTACTCGCGATGCTCGGGCCGTTCGGGGAACAACGTTACAATATAATAATATTCCTGTCGCGCACTGCACGTGCAATCGTCTTTCCTCTCCACGGTTGTGCGTGTACATTCGCTATCGCTGTGGGGCGCGCATCAATAAATAATATTCAATCTGAGAACTCGACCATTGCGCACGATACCCGTTGTTTTATTAATCTGGATTTGAATTGTACGCTGTTCAGAATGTAAATCCGAAAACCGCCCGAAACGGCCCACGTCGTCCATTCGGCATTAACTCGTGGGGATTTTCAGATTCTGAGCGGAACGGGGAACGTAATTTTCCTCGTATGGGTGGGTACTAACTAGGTAGAGGTGCCTGCTGAGTGTACGATGTAAAATCGCAAACGAAACGAACGATTCTGAGCGGAATTCGGTTGATATTGTTGGTTTATCAACAAAATGTCACATTATGTCAAAATAATAACATACGCATTATATATTTTCTTTAATAACATTTGTTTTTTATTCCATCAAGTTTTCGGTTTTTCCTACGTTTTTTCTCGATTTTTTCTCATATTGGGAAAACTTCAGGAAAAACCTTAAAGTATCACCCCCAGTAAAATTTCCTTTTAGAAACTGTGCTATCATTGTGAATTGGAATAAAATTGCTGGTAGAACCGTTGTTCACAAAAGAGAAAAATAAACATCATTGTAAAACCGATACATTCCTCGCTCCACGCAGAATCTAAAAAAGATCAATTCAAACACTTAATATTTTTAGAGGCTACATTATGAATTTCGGAATTTTTTTCAGGTGATCAATTTAAAATTTGAATTAATGAAAACTGTATTTAGTTAAAAAGAAAAAATACTAAAACATGCAACATGAAAACTTTAGAATACCTATCAGACAACTGCTATAAGTAATGAGCAAAATAATATTTTATCACCCTCAATTTGAGGTAAATCTCAATTCAAACAAATTAAAATTCTAACATTTCTTACTTCTTTAATTAGGTACAGTTATTTTTTACTTTACAACTTTTTTTATAGAAAATGTAAATTTATAACAAGTATTTTAATCATTCAAAACTTTAAAAGTAAAACAAAACCTCATTTATAAGATAAATTTATTTTTATGCACAAAGGCTTTGTCAAAGCTATTATTTGATTCAATTATTTGTATTAATTGTCAATAAGGATTAAATTCAACCATTTAAAATTGAATTAAATGAGTTACTCTTGTTCCTAGCTCTGTTACAATTGTAATATTTTTTTTTTATTATTCATTTATGCAAAAATTTAGAAAAGTTAATGTTAATGGTTGCATACGTATTTATATACCTAAATGTTAAGTTATTTTCACGATGAAAAATGAAATCAAACAAAAATTTTTTGAACCCTTGTAGATACAGATAATTGTACGAAAAATGTTACAACTGTACCGAGTCTCCCCCATACCTGTAGGGTATGCTCACGTAATCCCGGTGTCACAATACATACAATTAAAATATTCTAATTGTATGACAAAACTTGAACATTTGAAATAAAACTTTAAGAAATTCGAACTTAGAGAAGATACATACAATCTTCGGTTATTGTTATTCGTGGAGCAGAAGTGAATGTCGTTCTTGTTTTACATTAAATGTTGACGGCATGTTACATTCGAATATATTGGATAACGAATTGTCGTTGAGTTACAGTATAGTTATCAGTTTAATAATTTAAAATACTAATAATAGAACCTTTTGTATTTACATCTATTTACCGTGAGCACGGGTAGATGATTGATAATTTCTATTTTCGAACGAGGTTGGTATTAAATATCAAGATTCGGTGAACAGATTTATAACTTTCATCAAATATGTTATCAGTAATGATAATTTAACAATACAAATTTGTTTTTTCCGAAATCCCACACCACCCATTGGCCATTTTTACGGTGTATGTTTTTTATGTATCAGATTCCTCACACTTTGAACCGTGTAACCGTTAAATTGTATCGCAAGGATAATATTTGTATACATCAGTAGTATAAAATGGGTTTTCTAGCACCGTAGCCGCCTCAGCCGCTATTTAAATGATGAACTTGTTGGGATCTTTGATGAACTTTGATAGTAATTAACAAGACTACAAAGAGAAACAATACCTACTCAAGACTAAGGAATAGTCTATAAATAATAATTTGTAATATTTTGTTGTTTAATATTTTTGCCAAAAGTATGATATCAGTAAGTTACTTGATGATAATAAAATCATTATTTAATTTGAGTGTTAATTTATTTTTCAAACAAATCTTGTAACACCAAACTACTGCAATGATGAGCCTATAGGCTAACGTGAAATCTGAAAAACTAAAATTAAACTTTTTAAAAAAATTATGACCTTTATAATAACTTTTGAACTAGTGGTTCGGATTTTTTTTCATTTTTGCGTCAAAAAAAAAAAAAAATCCTAAAACGTGTAGATTATCTTACTTGTTTCAAATTATTCAATAACATACTTTTATAATCCGATTTACAGTCGCCCCAAATAATGGGTAAAGTTTGACCACTGAGATTTTTTTTTTAAATCGGTGCTAAATCAATTTATTGGACATTTTAAGCGTAGATTTGACAAATAGTACACAGTCATTTAATGGCCATATGCCTTTAATTATTATAAAGTCACTATTAATTGAAATAACTCGTACTCATTTCAACAATTTTCCCTGTAACGAGTACCTATTAGCAGGTACCTAATGGTTAATTTGGTTGGTCCTACGTTATAATATTACAGTGATTTTTTGTCGTGTGTTTGAAAAACATAACTAGGGGGTATACGAATCTACCTATTCTGATAAATTATTTTATACAAACTAAGTATTGCTCAGATTCAGTCGAAATCAATCAAAACTCAAATACTTGTCTTTCAAATGTACAAAGATACAGACATACTTCACACGATGGGTTGAGACACTGCAGGTGAGATGGCGGAAAGGTAAAGGGGAAATTGAGCGTCTATCTGTACGCAATGATTAACACCATTATTAATGAAAAACGATTCTGAGTGGAGTTCAGTTAATAGTGTTGCTTTGTTAACAATATAGGTTCATGTCATATTACGGTAAAACAATTACATTATAATTTTTTTTTTTATTTGATAAAGTAAATAACAAACTATACAATCATGGGCGGTTCTAGAAATATGTAATAGAGGGGGGGGGGAGCTAATTTGTATTTACAGAAAGGCAAATTATATTATTTTAGTAAATACATTTGTATATTAATTATAATCTATTTCAAAATGATAAAATATGAAAAACTAATAAGTTCATTAATCTTTTTACCAAACTTCAATTTTCATTAGCCTTTGTTTTTGTCGAGAAAATCTGTTTACCGACTCCATCGGTGTCAATGGGTATTGCCATAGAAATAGATTCGACGCACATTCCGATATCGCTGGACTGATCGACTGACACTAACTGGCTCGTTTTGAGCCATATAAAGATGATGATGGTTCTAGAAAGTACGATAACATTCCTGATTAGATACCGGGCATCATATCGAACGGTCGTTGTTCGAACATAATTGCACTTACGTTTTAAATGTGTACCCAGGTATAAAGAAATACTTATTAAGTATTTATTACATACTTACATAAAATATAACACGTCCAAAGGGGGGAGGGAAGCCCCTTAATTCCATACCCCTTAGATCCGAGACTGTATACAAGATTATGTACATTTATAGCAATTCAGATATAAGAGTAGGTATGAGTAATGAATGAATATTTTGAAATTGCCCACATTATTCATAAGTTTATATTTTCTTTAATACTCAATATTAGTCTAGCGTTTCACCTGTTTTCCTGTTTCTTGTCATTTATATGAAAATAGCCGGAAGAATCAAAAAATGACCTCCTTAAAGTACCACCCCAGTTTGAATTTCTTTCATAAAAAGTGCTATATTTGAAAATTCGTTTTAATAAAAAATAAAATAAAAACATCATTGTAAAATCAGAATCCAAAATATAGGTGTATAATTATTTTTTCTTTATGCCTTAAAATACCGGTAAATTTATTTGTGTGTTCCTATAATCGGTGTTTTCAAAATGTTTTTGAGACTAAATACTATAACATTCTGTGTCATACATTGAGTACTTTATATCATTCTTATAATTTATGCTATTTATTGAGAAATAGATATTAAATATACAGAAATCAAATTAAAATTATCAAAATAAAACACTCAAATTTAAAAGAAAAAATATAATTGTAAATCATTAGAAAATTGTACCTAAATTATAATTATCTACTGAAATAAACACAATTTTGTATTACTAGTATAGTACCTCATATGATTTTATTATCATATGAGGTATGAATAGGCAATTTTTTTTTATTATTATTTGGGAGTAGGAAGAACACCAGTGAATTTTTAACAAAATGTTGAGACTTACAATGCACCATATATGTGGTGCCTATAGCCTATGACAAAAATCAAGAACTTCATTTGTGACTATGGAAATATTATTGGCCATAATATTTACCTATATTGTATTAATGCGTTTGAAGAGTAAATAGTTATAATTAGTGATTGGTTAATTGTTTACTAACCATAGGTTCTCTCAGATTTATCTATTATAAGTACAGGACATTTTAAATATCATTTAAAATTTATATATATTGCAACAAACTATGTAATGGGAGGGGTGACGGTAAAGGACGTAGCCCTCAAAACTAGTTTGTAATTCAAAAGTTATCCATTCAAAACCAAAAGTTTAAGAAAAATAATGTTGAAATAATATTGACATATTAATAATATATCAACATAGTTTAAGAAGGTAATTTGTCTACACTTCTACAGTGATATTAACTACTCAATCTCATGATAACACGCTAATTTAAATTATATAATTCAAGAAATAAGGTAAATTAAGGGACATACAGAATGGGGGATTCTAAAAAACGGGACAAAAGTGTTGTTTAGAACATTTGGTTGGGACACTGGGACACTTGTCTATGGGATCCCTAACTAGCCAGCATGTATTGCAAATAAAGAGTATTACAAATTTATAACTGAAATATTTCTGACATTTTTCATTTTAATTAATATGCATTTTTAACATTAGGCTTTTCTTTCTCAAACCCCTAGGAATCTGCGTACCCCCGGTTAAGAAACACTGGTTTACAGTAAAATACAAGTAATTACTTTATTTATATAGGTAATACAAATAATTGGTTTAAATAATTAGTATAACCATACAAAACAATGGCTACTACAATAAACAATAAACTATTAAAAATTATTACTTGTTTTACAAACATCAGTTAGATACCTATTTATCATTTATAAATAATTTGATTAATTTATTTTTGAAACTATATAATAAGTTTTTAGAATAAATAATAGACCATTTACAAAATATTTCCACTGATTTTGAAAATAAACAAGTCCCCCCTCGGGGAAGAGGAAGAACAAAAAAGAGGTAGTTGAATGAGGATGGCTTATATATATGTATATAACATGATGTAGATGATTGAGGCAAGTGGAAGTTTAGGACGAGATGGTTGGGATAAAGGTAATGAAGAAGAAGACACTGTTTTAATATAATTTATAGAATATGACAAATGTAAACAAGTTTATGAGAAAAATTGTTTTGCAAACATGTCTAGGTGCTTAAATTTAAAACCTGTAACATGGTTTTCTATTTTATGTAGGGACCTATTTAAAAGACAACAATGACCAATACCACTGCAATATTTTTTAAATTTGTTTACATAATTTATCTTAAAAATACGTTAAACCTAACTTACGGGAGCTGAAGTACTCATATCAAATTTAAAACCAAAACCTTATTTTATATAATGAAAAAAAGAACATTCATTTTTAACTATTTTTTTACAAAACTGAATTCTCCTGTTTTTAAAATATGAGTATGTTAAAATCTTCATAGTGAAATTCATTTAAATTGTGAATTTTAATGAAATACATTATAATATGGACATCTATTTCATTAAATAGACAATTCCTATATTTTATACTTTTAAACTATCCAAAAATATAATAATAAATTACCTATATTATATTTTTAATAAATAATATGTATTATTTATAAATGAGAAAAACCATAATTTTCTATATCAATAATGACAATAATAATTACAATTAAATTTTGGTAACTCCCCATCCAATTATAAAACTAATTTCTCCTATTGGATACCAATTTATTTCCAGAGTTGTTCAAAAATAAAAGGTAAAAACTATTTTCCAATCAAGTAGATGTATGTTTTAAAAATAACATAAGACGTAATGTCGCAATTTTCGAGTAAAAATAAATTTTACCATGTGAATGCAACATATACATAGGAAACATTTGTTTATAATCAAAATTAATATAACTGAAAATTAAATAATCTTACATTAATACTCTTATTATAAATAATATGTTGAATCATAAATATTTGTATAAAGTCAAATTAAATGCTTTTTTTTTTTTATATTGTTGAAACAGAATTGCAATAAATTACTTATATAAAATAATACATTTTCTACAGTAATCTTTAAAAAAAAAAAAAGAAATGTTTGTTTCAAAATATACATTTTACTTATTAGCTATGATATGAGCTACTATAAAACGTATATACCTCTTTATGTACATATAGATCTGTCAGGCACAATGAACTAGTTGTACTTGTTAGTTAACAAAATATAGTTATAACTTATAATTAATTTATTTTGCTTGCATTCGAAAAATCACGAAGGAAAACATATGATAATAATAATAGCTAATTTGATTCAATAATTAACTATAAAAGTGAATTTTTAAATAACAAATAAATTATCTAAAAAATTGTATGTGTATGACAGATATTGATGTAAGAAATACACATGAGTTATTTGTTATAGTAAAATTAGAGTATTGAAATATTATTATTAAAATATAACTTCTGTTAACAAAAGTTTTGTTAATAAAGGCGATGTTACAAATATAAAAAAAAAAAAACCCAAAATAATATTATAAAAGTTATTCTGTTGTTAAATTTAATATGTAAAAAAGTTAATTAGATTGTAAAACAAATTAAATTAATCTTTAGAACTGCTGGGTTGATTTTCTTTGTCACTGCCAACGTCTCCTCTTTTGCGTTGCACCATTTCACGCAAATTATTTTCACTTTCTTTCAAATTTCCTTCCAAATATTGTTTAGAATTCTAAAATAAACAAAAAAAAAATTAAAATTTTATTTATTCATTATTTTAAATTATCAGTAGATTTACTTCTAAAGCAAATATTTTTTTTTCTGTTTCATTATTAAATTTATCTAAATTTTTGAACACTTCTTCCCTTGGTGTTAGTACAAATGCTCGACCTAAAGCTTCATATGTGTTCACATCTTTTGGTATTTTCTAAAAATGTAAAAAAAAAAAATTTATTCATTATGGAACATTAAATATATTTGTTGTACCTAATTTTGAAAACTTTTATTTTATAATTAAAGCTTTCTCATAGAGATTATAGCCAGCTCTTTTCTTAGGGTAGATGAGTATGAAATGATTAAAAAAAATAATAATGAGAAAGTAAAGATAAATGAAATTCAAAATTTTAAATTTTAAATTTCTTGTAGAATTATATTAACATTACAAACAATTTTCAAAGGAAATTATATTTTTGTAGATGTTTGATTTACAAGCGTGTTATTATTAATCCACAAAGGATTTTTTTTTTTAAATAATTGATACATTTAAAAATTACAATTGACTAATAACCTATATTAAATTTATAAAATTATAATTTATTGTTTGTATTAAATTATGAAAAAAACATATTTATATATATAAAAGAGTTTTTTTTATACATTCTACAAGTTTTAAAATCTGGATTTAATTCAAGTATAATAAACTTGGATATCTTAAATCTTATAAGTAAAATAAACCATTATATATTACAATAGTTCACTTTTATTATAAAGAGTAATATAATTATATAGATTTGCACTCGCATGGTTTCTTGTGCATGTCTATCTAATTATATAATTTAAAATTTATTCAATAAACAGTATAAACAATTTGTTTCAAAAGCCAGATAATCGTTAACAAGTACCTATATTATTACTGGTAAATATCATAATCAAGGAATATTTGGTTGACATGTACTATGCATATATATATATATATAAATATTATGTCAATATTTATTGACTACAATACCTCTAATTCTTGTTTAGTGAGAATATTATGTTGCTTTGTACGACGAAGGGTATCAATTTGTAAATCGGCTACTTTTATTTGTTGAGATGCATATAATAGTTTTTCATGTAGTTCTTTGAACGCCTGAAATAATCATGTTTTACACAAGTTTAAATTAGTTAAAGTTTAGTTTTATAATTTTTTGTAAGTCTAGACCAGAGGTTTTCAACCATTTTTTATAGTGCTACAAAACTGATATAGCTTTGACATCGCAGGCCAAAATTGTTTAGGGAGGGGTAGAGAGGTTATTTGATATTATTAGATGTGGATGACACATAAATAAAAACTAATTTATTTTCTTAACAACAGTTAGTTTGACAGCTGAAACCGGCCCATGGGCATATGATCCTTAGATTAAAATATGTAGAGTATCTACTTCAACGTTAATTTGTTGTTCAATATCTTTTCACATAATATTTTATACTCCAAAAATACAGTCTTATTTAATAGAAAAAAAAAATGCTTTTTCTCATAGTGACACTAATTAAAATAATGTTGGATTTATTGAAATAACTGAATTAAGTTAATATATTATTCAATTATTATATTTCTTAATCGATATACAACTTTTATTTTGATAATTTATTAGACAATACAGATACATAATCTATAATAATAATACATAATTATATTAATTTATCGAATAAGAAGTAAACTAGTAACTAATTATTTAATTATAGTTGTTTTACTTACATTTTTTAAATCCATATCTACCGCCATTTTATGTAAATGAGTAGATGAAATAATTACAAATTTAAAAAATATTTTAACACTTTTGCTAATTGAACTATTGAAAACAACCAATTTTTTAATTTTGTGACAGTGATATTGTGTTAATGACTAAACACGTTATCACAAATTCACAAATTTGATAAGTGTTGAATATTATTGATAATATCAAACAGCGTGGTTTTGAAAAATTGCGGTATCCACGGTTATAGATAAATATAATTACTACCATGGTAAAATAATAATAAAAAAAAACGCCAAAATAAAATGGTTTTAAATTTTAACTTTATCATTATGCGCCACTGTATGTTGTGCTTGTAATTTATATTGCAGTTGCCCTTTACTGGATTTTCATCCATAGTAGTAGGGGAACACGGGGTAAAACCTACTGGAAAATGAATACCTTCATAATTATTTAGGATCTTAAAACATACTTAATGTTTTTGCACAGTTATATTAAATTACTTCTTGTTTAAAATATTTAATTAATACAGTGAATATCATTTATAATTATTTTTTAACAAGCTATTAACTTTTTTCTAACATTTTATCGATATTGTCCAGATAACGGGGCAATATCGATTTGACATTTGTAATGAGGCAATACCGATGAATAGTATGACAAGTACTTATGCTAACCTAAATAGATATCAACGATTAGGTATGCATTATAAAAATTGATAAACAATCAAACTATTGCCCCAAAGCATAATTTTCACAAAACTGTTGATTACTCATACAATATTATCAAATAAAATTAGGTTAGTGATTGTAAAACAATCTTTACAAGTTGTAGATTCATACCAGACGTGTATGGTAATTGTAGTATAATCCTATCGTAGTTTAATCTTGAATACAAAATATATAAATATAACAACAATTGCCTTCAAAATGTTCGTTATCGAATACCAATTAAACAAAAAACGTTGCAGTTGATGTTAACAGTGATAACAACATGTTTCATGATAAGGAATGAAATAAATGTAAAACCGATAATTTTCATCCGTAGAATAATGCATTATAAACAATATCAGTTTTGCGTCCGTAGCGGATTTACCCCGTGTTCACCTTATACCTACATCTCGTGACAAATTAGATCGCACAAAATTCTGTCTCGGTTTATCTTACAATAGAATTTATTTGTTTCTCCGACCAAAATTCATTATGAAACAGTGAATGTGTAGGTAAAATTTATTATTTATTTGTAGGTACCTCACCTACGTATGGGAAAATATTGTATACCTATGTTACGTTAAAAGTAATAAATATAACCTAGAATACACAAAATAATTTGGTCAAACCCCCACTGAATTTTGTAGTTCGGTTTTTTACAAACGATATTTTTAAAATTAACAATATTAGTTTTGGTAAAAGTCAGAAATTTTGTTTGTTACTAATCGTTTTTTCCCTTACTTTTTATATTATTACAATATTATGCTACGTTAGGTAGTTATAAGTTTATATTATTATTAAACGTTACAGTAAAAATTGAATTAATTATTACTTATTACCACATCGATTAAATAAATAGGTATATAAATGCATAGGTATTCAATCAATGATATAACGTCCATTTTTATTATAAAGAAATTATTATACATTTGTGCGGGCTTGGTTACTGTGTCATATTGAACTACTTACATGATACTTCGACTAATTGAACGACATTTACATCGATTTGTCATACATTTTTTCAAACAGTCATACCTCATTGGCTTATTACTGGTTGTCTACATTACCACATATCTAAAGAATAACAATCAATTTCATTTTCTGGAATTATAGCCATTATTAATAAACACTAATCGTTTGTTCTAAGATTTACAAAATCTCGTGTGTAAAAGTCTGAACTAAAAAATAATCATTCGGGGTTCGACTAAATTATTATTATTAAAATATACATATTATCCTAGATTTAACTGGTATTCGTATTTTTATTTTTTACCCTATCATATAAGGTATATTACACTATATTATTACACCTATGTACATTTTATTTAAATTCGGATATTTAGATCATCCAAATATGATACATGCGTGCACAGTATAATTCAAATGGCTGCGTGATTTTTTTTAAGACAAGTTCATCCTTGTTTACCAGTAAGAATCCACCTCCCAGTATATACTTGTCTGTACAGAGGGATGGCACTAGGTATTGTAAGGCGGTGGACAGAATACTGTTTTGAGGCTTAAATATTTTACACTTTGAACATTATCTGACTGGAGAAATCATCAGTACTTACATAATATAAAGCATATACGGAAGTTATTTGTTATTATTTATTACTGTTATTAGGTAAGGTAGGTACGTTAAAATTGTTAAAAATATGCATTGCGGACATTCCCGTATAATATGTTGATATATTATATCATCTTTATTTCAATTTTTAGAGAAGTTAAAATCAAAAGTGTGGAAAAGTTGAGCTCAAGTAGACTTGATGAAAAATAAAAAAAAAATATGTTTTACAAATTTTTATTACTTCATTAGATCAATCGGTACGGTGGAAATAAAACACATCCAAATCCTAATGGTATACGTAACAAACACACCAGATAACAGGTTTTAATCTCACCAAAAAAATGTTCTTCATGGCGCAGTGAATGATATTTGATATACGGCTAAATCAAATATTTACCCTACCTCTAAAATAATTGGTTTACTGATCTGTGGAGAGGTAACTCTATTTTACCGCATTTTGAATAAACCCCAATAATAATGTTATTAAATATAAATGCCATGCTTAGCAAAATCGGCACACGGTGCTAGAAAAACTTACCGATGAACAAAAAAAAAAAAATAATTATATTACAGTATTATGATACAAATATTAAATTACGGAACTTTAAACATTTTCATTGGCCTCCCAGTGGTGCACTTCTAGAAGTCCCTAGGCAAGGTCCTGTGTAAATACAATAAATAACTTTTGCTGAATTGTTCAGTGAAATAATAGAAATAATTGATTACGGTCAATTGTCCATTTCAATCTATGATCGCCACACCGCTAATCAAAATAACCAAGGCCGTATTTTATAAGAGGATTTTATTATTTTCATGATAAATATCAATTATGTTTTTAACAAATATAATAGATAATATAAACATTGTAAATAAATATATAAATAAAAAAATGTATGTATTTATTTACGAGTATTAACCATTTTAATAATTTTGTTTTTACTTTATTATTTAGTTAGATAATTTAATTTAAGACCCTTTCCGATAATTTCGTCCAGCATCGGCCATTAAAGATGATAATTGATAAACAACTTTTCCATCACTTCAGATGGAATTTAATATATTAACATAAAATTCGAGATGAATTTTTGATTACGTAATGTGAATTTAAAGTCTGATTATTATTAACACTACCTACATGCTGTGAGCTGTGGCTACAAATGTGACCTGTGGCTAAAACAAAAATATGTTCTGTTTGGTGATCTACTAGTATTGGCGCGAAGCCTTGTTTAAATGAAACGGAAAAAATGTAATTTATTCTTAGATGAAATTATTGATGTGGGCGAAATGTGTTCAATGTGGCTAACGTATTCCCAGCGCTCTACATAAATACATATTAGACTATAGTCTAAAATTTAAATGATTCGCTAGAAATTTTGCGTTGTTGAAAACTGACAGTTAAGTTTTAATATAGAAAATTATTTTAGAATTCGAGCGGAGCGAGTAATGTATTGGTTTTACTATGCGTGATTATATTTCGTTTGTTTTTTAATTTTTGTGTCTGTCGGCAACTTTTTTTTATCAGAAATCTTGTTTAGTTACAAATAAAGATAAGAGACTTTTTTTGTTGAATTTTAGATATGCTTAGTGCATTGTGGAGGTCATATTTGATTTTTTAACTGGTTTTCATAATAATTGGAGAAAACCAAACAAAAAATTGTAAAAAAAACGGATAAATTTACGGTTTTAGAGATTTCATTATTTTTATTTTTACGCTTTTTGTTTTCTACTTAATATCTTAGTACAAATTTCAAAAGTAGTATATTTTTGGAAAAAAATATTTTGCCTAGTTAATTTATAAGAAATTTGGTTTAGATTTTCCGTGTAGTTTTCTGAATAATTGGGCATAACGTAGTAAAATCGAGAAAGTTAACTACATTAATGATTTATCTTGATTATGTCTTGTCTATGCATTTTTTTGATTGATTAAAAATAATCGTAGACATCTGAAATTTATACGGAATATTTATATTATGTTAACCTTTTCTAGATGTAACATTTTTAAAATATTTTGGCAATTTTCGAGATAGTTTTAGGCATTTGATATTTTCACATGAGGCTTAAATTGTTTGATCCAACAGAAATACTTGATAATTTATTACGAAGTTCATTATAAGTTGCACTTAGTAATAAAAAAAGTTGAGCGTAACGAAGTAGTTTTTTTTATGAGCTTTACAGTACAAATTTTGACAAAAATTGTAACAATTATATGACATTTCAAAATATGATTAACCGAACTTTATTAAAAATCATTTTTCGTTGTATACAATATTATTGAATGCATTTTAAAACATTTTTAATGCATATATTATATATGTTACGGTAAAAGTAAGCAGTAAAATCTAGGATGTGAAAAATAATTTGGTGAAACCCCGAATAATTTTTGTGGTTCCGTTTTTAACAAACGAGAACAAATCATTTAGTATTATAATTTATTGTAAATTAATACATTTATATTCACTATATATCATTAGCTTTACGACTTATATACAATACTATATAATTTTATTATCAAACAATAGTTCATGCTTATCATGCATCCTGGTATTTATATTAACGACTATAATAGCTGTATTATACCCAGCTTGGTCTATGGACAGTTTTGTAATTTAAATTTGTAATATTATTTTATGTAAGAGGTAGCAAGTTTGTTAAATAATTATGTTTTTAAAAATAATAATTTAAAAACTAAATGACTTTGAATAATTTTGTATTGTAATTGTATAGCTGTTGCTCATGACTTGGTTCGCTCTTTTTTCTTAATAACTAATGTAAATTTCGGAAACTTAGAGTAAAATTACTTAGGTTATTATTCACAGGGAGTTATGAATATTTCTTTTTTCTTTTTTGATTAATTAATATTTATTTTAATTAATCTAGTTGTCTTGACTCGACATTGAGCGTATATTCTAACCTAACCAACTAAACATTTGACAAAAAAAAAAAAAATTATATTTCTTGTATTCCAAAGACAAATTGTTATGTTTGAGACAACCCTAATCGGAGAAATATTAAGATAAATGTAGCCTATATTACTCAGGGATAGTGTACAATTTTGTAAAATAAAGTTTTTTATTTGTACCCCTTTTTACCCTATTTAACTTCCGGAGGGGTTGAATTTTTGAAAACTTCTATGAAAATGGATCTTTACGTCATAAAAAAAGCTACTGAACAAATTTCATACTTATAGCTTCAGCGACTTCGGCTAGGTGATAATGAATCTATCAGTCAGTCAGTCAATCAATATGTTATTATATATACCATATAGGTATATATACATATACATATATAAAATAGGTAACTATTATTATAAAAACAGCATTCGAAGTTGTAAACTTATGACAAATTAAACGTAAAGTCGGGCGTTTATCTACTAATAAATTATAGCTACATGCAGCTGTTTGTCACCTACTTCGTTTTTAAGATTTTGTTTAATATATTCAGATAATGTCCTATGTATAAAGACCACATAGGTGCCTATAATATTTAATATGTTTGCTGCAATAATAACAAGTAAATAATATAAATAAATATCGTTAAATAAAATTTTAGGTAGATTAAGTTGTTTTTTTTTAATAATAACAATTATTATTATACTGTTCATATGGTTGTTGAGTAAATAGTTGAAGCCATACACACGAAATAATGCCTGTATGTATTCCTCTTTGTTTAAACGATTTTGCTTTATTTTCGTCCGAATGTAATCTAATGATATTATATAGAGGCGAGGCTGTATACTATATGACATTGACGATCTCTGGTCGAGTCTGGCCAATGACAAGCCGACTCCGCCCCGTGAAGTCTCGCGTTACTCTTTGCCACGGCACCGAGGTCACCGGCGATCATCATTCTGCTGACAGCAATATGGACAGCTCAGAAGGACGACGACCGAAATGTGCACGATGTAGGAATCACGGAGTTATATCGTGGTTGAAGGGTCACAAAAAACGGTGCACATTCAAAGAGTGCGTGTGTCCCAAATGCAATCTTATAGCCGAACGACAGCGGGTTATGGCTGCTCAAGTGAGTAAAATTTAATATTTTTGTAATTGGTTACCTACAGGTTTCAAGGATATATCTAGGTTTAAAAGTACAAAGTCAATTTTATATTATAAGTTTTATAAACTCGTGTAAAATTTCTGTTAAATAATTAAAATTACTTTTCAAACAGAATTGAACAGTATATGAACGTAGTTAAAAATATTTAATATTAATAATTTACTATCAAAATTATTCAAATATGTTGGTATAATAATACATAGAAATTTACTTAATAATTATCAACTCTTAGGTACGTATTGAAATTATATTATCATTAATAAAAAAACCAAATTAAAATAATAAATGGATTTTTATATTTTTTTGTATGAAAAAAAATCCTAACTAAAGAAGCAAAAAAAAAAAAAATGTTTCAATTGCGTGTCTTCAAATTTTTTATCAATACAAAAATTAATAATAATAATATTTATATTTTAAATTTTTAATATATATATATATATATATATACATAGTAAATAAATATATAAATACAAATTGTATGTATACAAATAAACAAAAGAATAAATGCGTCGCCTGGAGTATTATGATAAGTGTATTCACGACCGGTTTTGAATTAAAAATTATTCATCAGGTACATCAAAGTCAAAATGTAAAACGTTACTGAATTATCATTTTTTTATTTTTTATATTTATTATATATTTATTTATTTATATTTTTTATATTATTTAATAACCATTTTAATAATTTTGGTATACCTTATTATTTTATTATTTATTACTATATATTATACCTACATTATATCAAGTCAAATAAGATTAATAATAAAAAAAAAAAAATGTAAGAAAATACTATAATTGCAAATAGGTATTCACATATTTTATATTTTTAAATAATCAATAATTTAATTTGTATTGTGCTGAGGCTAAAATATATACTTTTTTCAAATAGTATCAACCAAAAGCAAACAAAAATATATAAACTAGAAAATATAAAATACCTATAATTAGCTCAAAAATGTTTTAAAAAATTGACCACTATAATTTTTCCTTTTAAAAAAGAAAATTTAAATTATATGTCAAAACTTAAAGTCTCTATGAATATTTTTTATATTTTATATTTTTATTTTTAATGTTTTTCAACAAAAAAAAACAAATTTAAAAATAATAAAGTATAATTTTCGTAAAATTTTCCGTTATTCTTTCTCGATATTGTTCAATTATTAAAAAAACCAAACGGAAAATCAAAATAGGTTTTTTTTTATACATCAACAAGATTAAAAATGAAACAAAAAAGGTCTTTTGAAATGTTTTGGTAAAAGCAGGATTTCTAGTAGAAAATATAATTCGAAGAAATAAAAAATAATAAAATCGTAATGTCGTAAATTTGTTAGGTTTCATTTTATGTATTTTCTTGGTTTTTCTAATTATTATGAAATTATTGGAAAATCAAAGTACGACTTTTTCACTAATCAACTTGACCTTAAATGCAATTAAAAAGGTCTTTTGTCATTTTTCGATTGGTGCAAAATTTTTGACCGAAAAGTTGTCATAACATAAATCGAAGTAAAACCAATAGATACCTCCCTTCGCTCAGAATATAAAAACAAATTAGAAAAGTCCACTCCTAGAGTCCACTCTAGATCGTAGAAATTTCCTGGTTTCTAAAGTATTTTACATTATTAAACAATCAACTATAATTCCGTTTACAATTTTGAAAGAATTTTGTAATCTAGTTTAATATTATGCTTATGTGTAGAAACCTAAATACTCGTAAATTTAATGTCTTTATACTTCGTAATTAGTTGATAAGACATTTTCAAAATTTTTAGTGTACTTATTTTACATTCAGAGCGTAGCTATGATGTGTATTTTAGATTCGAAGCGTAGCGAGTGATGTGCGTGTTTTTATTTTTTATATCTGTGATCAACTTTTCTACCAAAAAACTAGCTCTGAAGTGACGAGTGTAGCATCTTTTCTGAAAGGTAATTTTATCTAGTTGGTGCATTGAGTAGGTAATTTTTTGATTGTTTAAGGGGATTTCAAAAATTAATGGGAAAAATCCAAAAAAAAATTATAGATACAATGGTAAATATTTACGTAAGGCCGCGGCGTTACCATTTCAATATTTTTACGGCTTATGTTTTTGACAAAAAATATTTCTACAGTTGAAAAACGACAAAAAACATTTTTTGTTTCATTTTTAATCTAATTTAAGAGTAAGTAATTTCTTTCTTGTTTTTTTTTTTTGCGAGTTTTTGTAAAAACTGATAAAACCCGGAAAATGAAGAAAAATGAAAACTGACAAATTACGTCGTTACGATTTTATTATTTTAAATTTTTAAGTTTTTCGTTTTCTATCAGAAATGTTGCTTCAATAGAGAACAAAAAAGAAATATTTTTTGTTTAATTTTTAATTCAGTTAGTGATTGAGAAAATCGTTTTTTTTTATATAGTTTTTTTAATAATTGAGCAAAACTGAAAAATACGTAAAAATTCGGGAAAATTTACGAAAATAATTATAACATTATTTAATTTTTTTTTTTTGAAACGTTAAGTTAAAAATATTCGTAGAAAGTTAAATTTTGACAGAAAACTTATATTTGCTTTTTCTAGATTTGATAAAATTTTGCATTTGAGCCTGTTTTGAGCTATTTATAGACAATTCAATTTTGCCATTTTTTACGTAATTTTATTTGTTAGGTACTTTGTGGATAAAATTGTTATATTGAACAGAAATGCTTGACAAATTGATAGGAGGTTTATTATAAGTCACACTTAATGGAAAAAAAAAAAATGAATTGTCATGTATTATTATTATTATTTTTTAATACGAGTTTTAAAATCAAATTTTGACAAAAATCGTGAAAATTACGGTTTTTCTAAACATAACCGAATTTTGCCCCGAATTGTTTTTCGTTAGCAACGGTTTATCGTTAGTTACAGGTATAAATTAATTTTTTTTTTAAATATCCTATTTTTCTAACTACCCACCTACAACAGTGGCCACACCCGTTCCCAGTATCAGCTTTTTTTTTTTTAAAATATTTGCTTATATAGGTATAAGTTGGGTAGTTGACAGTCTGCAAAGACCGGTTGTCTGTCATTCATCTCGCTGCACTTAATATAAGCTCCATTCCGAAATCTGATTATTAACATATTATTTAAGATGTATTAATATTGATATTTTTTTTCTAATACTAATATCTTATAATAATAATGATACGAATAAAATCTATCCCAACAATTATGTCAATCTACCAGTAACTATACGGGCGGATGGGCTTAACGGGTTTATAAGTCGTTCAAATGTTCACATGTAGGTTTTGAAACCTTAACAACTGTATTATACGAGTGTATAGTTATTTATAATGGTTTGAATTAAACATTTAAATTGTAAATTTAATGACTTATTATACATTAATATGAAATTTAAAAAATTGATTTTAATATATTTATTTTTTTTTACCGAGGATTGGGTAATTCATTTTTTAAGTTATGTAAACTATTTATTGCTTTAGAATAGACAAGTTAAATTTACTTTTAATTTTAAACATTTACCTCTTAAACCTATATAAACAATAATTGTTTGTTATAAATTATTATAAATTATACACATATTATAATATCGCCTATATAATAACAGATTACACTTATTATCAATTTTCAATAAAATTGCACATTTTATATTATACAAAAATATCTAATAGTAATGGTTTAATTTAAAGGTTGCGTTAAAAAGACAACAAGCTGCTGAAGATGCCATAGCATTGGGATTGGCCTCTGTTACTTCTGGGACGAAATATGGATGTTTACCTCAAGGTCCCATCTTTGGAATGACTGTCCCGACTTCGAAATCTCCTGTCGGTATGTAAATATTAATTTTAATAAATATTATAGAGACGGGATACAAACCTATTAAAATTCATTTTTTTTAGCTAAAGAAGAAACTCCTCGTCCCGAAGAAAATCTGACAGTAACTTCTCAGACATCAGCTGACGGTGCTGCTAAAGGAGTGCAGGTACCGCCGGGTTCTCTCGATTTGCTTTGCCGGTTATTTCCGGAGAAAAAACGGTCGGTTCTAGAGCTGGTACTCCGTCGATGCGAACATGACTTATTGAAGGCTATCGAGCATTGCGTTCCTTTGTGCAAATCTTTGACCGCTAATCAAAAATCTCGAAAGTCCAGTGGTGCCGGTAATTATATTTGATAAATCATTATATCTTAAGCTATTGCATATTTACGGTTAATTTTAAATCGAATCGATATTTTTTTAGAAAAAATTGATACACCACCAACTGCTACCATTGGTTCTGCTTTTATGCCTTGGGGTTTGCATCGTGAACCACCGGTAGCTCATCAAAACGCTCGACGGCAGCTGGCCACAAGATTAACTTATCATCATGTACCAGAACCGACTACAACGTTATTTCACCATTTTAGGTAAGAATCGAGGTTAGCAAAATTATGCTGAATTTGGAAAATAATTTATTGAGCATATTATTTACTGATCTGTATTCGTGATTTTTAAATTTCTGAGTAATGTTTTATAATATTTATTAGTAGTAGTAGTAGTAGTAGTACTTTTGTTGGTTGTTTTAAATATTTATGTTTATATAATCCAGTAGATTTTGGAGGAAATTAGTTAGTATTATATAAACTACCAACCTATTGTTTTTGATTAAATTTAGCAATTGTGTATTTTCTGCTAATTTTTTTCTTAAAACTAAAGAGTAATTTAATAATTAGTTATGTTAAAGTTAAAAATATTTAATCGGAATCGAAATAATTATAGTATTATGTATCCAAATTTCATAAACATTTTTTTTTATTTTAATACAAGTTGAATTCAACAAATAAATAGGTCATTTTTTTTTTATTTGATTAGAAGACAATATTTATACCTATGTATAGAAATAAAGAGTTGAATTATTAAATTAAATTAATTTTTTTCAACAGGACACAGTCTACAGGAGTCTCATGCGGACCGCCGTTTTATTTGCCGCCGTTTTTACTGGAATCAGCAGAGTCGTGCCATGTAGCCAACTGTGCAGAATGCGCATCAGCTGCAGTTCAACAGATATAAATATTGAAGTCATCATTTTCGTTAATATTTTAACTACACGTATTATATTATATATAGATTAAAAAGTTTTTAATTGTATTAATAATTATTGTACTCCTTAAAAAAAAAAAAATAAACATTATTTACCTATTGTACCTTTGTTTTATGGTCAATTATTTAGTTTATTTTGTACTCTGGGCACATTGAACTCCAAGTACAAATTATAATGTTCCTTCTTGCGCTATGTCGTGTCAAAGTCAAATTAATGAAACATGGATGATTCGATAAACGTATAAGCTAGCAATAATAATGCATTTGGCAGGAAACAAAAGAATTTCTGGAATTTTTTCAAAATAACGTTTTTCAGAAGTTATAATTGTATGTGTCCTCTTCAACGTTTGTGATGTGATCGATTAGAATTTATTTAATATAAAAGAATACGCACTACTGTCGAGTCCATATGGTTCATGTCAACGCGATTTTGTAATGAAACGTGTTTACGGAACGATAGAACTATAGCAATAAAAATAAAGTGAAAAAACTATAAAATCCGATAGTGTTCGAATTTTCCATTAAATTACGTATTTTGTTATTGAAAACAATTGTAGATAAATATAAGAAAACTTGAGTATTTGTATTTTAGTTGCTTATCAAACGAACAATAACCATTGTAACATTATAGTAAAAAATTGGTAGTTGTATGAAAATAAACGGTAAATTTCAAAATATTTATAATACCAAGGTAATATAAATAATGTAGTTGGAAACAATAGCGTGTGCTGGGGGAGTAGAGGTTAAAAGTTTTACCCCACCCCGTCCTATTTGATTAAAATTATAACGACCAGTACTTATTTATTTAGTAATTGTATCTTGAAATTATATATTTCAGCCAAGTTATGAGAAAAATAGCTCGATTTATTTAATACAAATTGGTCTTTTTAAATTATGTTTTTTAATTGTTTGCACTGTCAGTTTAGATATAACAAAATGATTTTATGTATTATCCATGAATTACGATAATCTTTATTTACAATATTGTCAACTATCAAAAGTTTTGGTCACTCTACTGATTGGAAATGTCAAATATCTACACTGGTATAACAAAACAGTAGGTACTAATAATTCGAAGGATTAAAAACAGAATTGTTCAGAAAAGCCGTTTAAAGTTTTCGAATTTTTCAAAACCATATAGTTTTTTTAAACTTCTATGTAAACTAGATATGGCGTAAGACTTACCGTAAAATAATAATAGTTTGTTAATCAAACTCGACCAAAACTCTACATTTTTGCAAAATAATTTTTAAGTAGTAATATAACGGACTTAATATAATTGTTATCACGATTACCTATATGCATGGACATACGAGTTTTTTATGGACGTATTATCTTATAAATTAGGTTATTACAATAGTCCGATAATGCTTTATCAGTTTTATCAAATATTGTGGGTTCCGGACATGTTACATTTGTCAGCTTATAATGGACACCAATTTTAATATAATATCCATTCAAAATAATTTAATAATAATATAAAATAATAAACAAATTTTAACATACACAATTTGTGTGGATTTATCATTTTTGTGCGTTCAAAAATGATGATCAGCTCTTAAAATGTCAAATATGATTATGCAAAAGTGACGTGGTTCCAATGATTTTGGTTAGATCTTTGGTAGGATCGTAAAGAGATCCTAGTTTGCTCGATTGGACATATTATAAAACCGATTTTTGAAAAAGTGGACACGCTATTTTCGGCCTTTGAGCCATCGATATGATACGACAATAATCGGACGAGAGGAACGTTTGTTGAGTGTGATGATGCTGCAGTATGCAGACGGTCGTACTAAAACGTTTACGCACATCATAGGCCCGAAGAAGCCGCGAAGAATATCGCCGGGGGATGAAAAAAATAATAACAACAACGAAAAAAAACCCGTCTCGGAGGCGTGAGAGTTTTCGATAGCACGTGATGATGATGTTTTTTTTTTTTTCGGTTTTTTTTTTGTTTCTCGCGTAGGTCCGTTACCGGAGTGCACGGGGACGACCGACGGGGCGGGAGTAATTACAAATTGGCCCGGTGTCTACGACGACGACGGCGCGAGTACCTACGTAAGACCATCTGGCTCGGTAGACGGCGAACGGGCTCCGGAAAGAAACCGCGTGAAAATCTCAACAAGTACGCTATACGGCATCGCGTATATTATTACGTCGGTACCTATCAATATATGTCACGGGTAGGTGTACACGTCTCGGACGGGACCCTCGGGTGATGTGCGCGCGTGCGGGTAGCGGGCGGGCGCAAATTCAAAAACAAACACGGCCGGCGTATACCACACAGGTACACACTATCAATCAGATCGGAGATCCACCGGCGGCTACGGCGGCCGCGACGTGCCCGCCACCGTATTGGATTTCGCGTTTTGTGTGTTTAGTAATATACGTGCGCGCGTGTTTTTTCTGTTTGGTTATGGCGCGGTAACTTAATAGTCGCGCGTGTTTACGTTCAATTTCACGGGACGTTTGATTGAATAACCGGCCGGCTTATTATTATTACATCCGCCGCGGTGCCCCGCGCCGGCCGAGGGCGAAATCGGATTTCCTCTCGTGTCGGCGGCCCGCCCGGGACAAATGATTTTTAATTCCGCGACACCACCCCGGCGTAATTGATATTGTACCTACGGGGCGACGAGGCTACGCGTTTTCCCGGCTCGCCGCGTATTATATTTTATTATCGTTCTCCATGCGGTTTTTTTTTTCCTCTCTCGTCTTCTTTGTTTTCCTTTCTTTTGCGCGCCCGCTCTACGTCCTCGTCAAAATGGCGCGCGAGACAAACAGCCGCCGCCGCCGCCGCCGTTTTCGTTTCCTCCGGAGGAATATCGCGCGCGCGCCGCGCCGCAGACCGGGTGGTCCATTAGCCGGCGTGCCACCGCCGCCGCAAGCGGCTGATTGACGGCCACTGACACTCGTTTGACACACGTTCGGAACAAATGCGACTCGTCTGATATAGAAAAAGAAAAAAGAAAAAAAAAAAAGGAAGAAAAAACATTATTTATATACATAATGATATAATATTATAGAATATATACGCGTGAAACACCGCGCGTGGAAATAATAATATATTCTTGTTGTTGTTTATTTACGTAATGAAAGCAAATGTTCGGATAAAAGGAAATGTGTTTTTAAATGTGTTTACCGTGTTTCGCCCGGTTCACTGCGCGTCCTCGTTCATCTGTTCGGCTTTTAATTGTAACGGAATTTCGTGGGTTTTTTTTTTTTTTTTTTTTTATTCTTATACTTATACACCGCATTTCGTATGTGCGCGCAGGTTCCGAACCGGACATATTATATTTTAATACACTACAATATATAATTCGATAATGTTTATAATCCCGTGTTATTGCGTTTTGGATTTTTGTATATTTCGTCTATGTACAGAGTGTTTCTCGTATCATGGCGCGAACCAGCGTGATTATCTATCGGTCTCGATGAAAAAGGGCTTAGGTGAATGTTTGGGTTTTTTTTTATTTTTTTTATACATACATTTCCGATGTAATTTTATTCACGATTTTTCCTAATTTTCAATCATATTTTCATAGTTCCGTAATTTCCGTAATTGTTTTTATTGAATTGACCTACGTCTCCCATTGTCCCTGGCAACAAAACGATTTACCAAATACCACGAACGAAAAGATCATGGAATTTTCTACTTTGATTTTCTTCAGCCATGTCATAGATTCAGTCTGTCACTTAGCGCAAAAAGGATCAATGTCGAAAAAAAAATGTATTTATTTTCAAAAATTAGAAAAATCTCACGTAAAGTTCGCAATATTTATTGTTATACATGCATTATGTCAAATTATCATCAGGTGATATAATATTGTATTTGCACGAAGTTACACATTGAACTGCCTACTGCAGATTGAAATTCAAACATTTTAAACCGGACAACGAGAAGGGTTATAAATTGCATATTATAGGTATCCAGTTTTAGTTGGTAACCTTTATTCTCTAGATTCTTCGTCAATTTGGTAAAAATTGTGAATATAAAACCATTAAATGATTCTCTATTATATTATTATATAAAATAACTAAATTGCCCGTTATTTCCCGGGCTCAATCCTTTCAAAAACAGAAATCAATCAGAGAAATTCAATTTAGTGTGTCTGTCCGTTTCCACCATTATCCCTATCGCAGTTAATCGTTGTCGCCCGGTAATTTATCTTTTAAAAAGGGTACTTCTTTGTCTGTGACAACTAAATTAAACAAAAATAATAATAATAACCGTTTTTTTTTTCATTCGTTTCGCCGAGGTAACCTGTAAATCAACAAAACAATAAAGAAAAAAACAAATTTCGTTACAAAAATCCCGTATCAGACACCCTTTAGGGGTTAAATTTTAAGGTAAAAACTAGGCGTTCTTCCTTTTGTTTTGAATGCCAAGCGTGCAAAATTTCATGATGATAGGAATTAAACTATAAAGATTCGCATACTGGAAAGACATACAGTTATAATTTACATTTTATGTATACGCAAGATGAATTATTAATGAATGCCGGGAAATAACCAAAATCAAATTTACTTAAAACCGTCGTATTTAGATGATAATCTTCGGTTCGTAACAAAAGCCACCAAACACACACTCTGTGTGTTTATGTTTTTTCAAAATTTAATATACATTTACTTACAACTTTCTCGTATATACAAAACATATAATATATACAATATTAAACATCGTAGAATGGGGATCTACACATTATACACAGTATTTATATACATTCCGTGTGATTGCATTAGTAAACGTTCAGTTTTCCGACTCGTATATCATAGAAAATATATAATATATACTTAAGACTTGGCAACATTTACGTATTTTAAGTTTGTTTTAAATTTATCTTCGTGTTTTATCCCGCATCGTATAATATATTTTGCCGCTGTGAAGAAATATTGTGAATCATTTTTTAAATTTGCAGCAGTATCGCCATCAAAAGTATACTGAAAACTTTCCAGCCGGAAAAAAATTAAAAATGTTTTTTTCAATTTCAACCCACTTTCGGCTGTTGTAT